GAAATTGGAGAGCCAAAAATCAGGTGCAAAGAGAAGAGAGACATGCATTGCTAAGGATCAAAGAGGGTATTTATGAAGATGATCAGTATGGTCTTCTTTCATCCCAGGGGAAGAAGAAGAGAAAAGAGGGTGCTACAAATGGATTGGAATTTGGTGCGACAACCAATCCAGTCAAGTCATCAAGCTCGATCTTTCTGCTTTATTTTTTGGCCGAGATTATTACGAACTAAGATGTAATATCAGTTTCTCACTGGTTAATCTTCACTATTTGAAGTATTTGGACTTGAGTGGCATTGATTTTTATGAGCAGCACTTCATCCCAAGTTTTATTGGCACTCACTCTCAGTCTCGCTTACACTTCCGGGGAGAAATTCCTCATTACCTTGGAAACTTTTTCAGTTTTTGGATCTTAGCGGTAATTCTGAACTAGCAACAAGAAACATGAATTAATTATATATATAAAAAAAGAAACATGAATTGGGTCTTACATCTTTCTTCTTTATGACACACGACGAAAAAAAAAGGTAAAATGGAAACGAAGATGATGAAATTTTTCAATAAAAATGGAGTATTATCTGATGATTATGAGAGTATAAGCGTAATTGCATTTTCAATTCTCACTAAATAAGCTACACGTGGTAATTCTGTCACTTATTATAACAAAATGAGAAAACGTATTAACGGAATAAAGTTCAGACAGAACGGATATTACTTTATAAAATTTAAAAAATAAAATGTTAAAAGAGTTATATTTGGGGAAGAATTTTTGAAATTAATCCTAGAGAATAAGATCGACGTTGTAGCTTGAAGAAACTCAGAGTCCGTCCGAGCTCGGGGCAACAGTTTTATGAGTTTCCTTGACGTCCTGGGCATAGCCCAAATCTCACATAAGCTCAGCCCAATAGTTTTTTGTTTTTTTGTTTTCCTGAAAGCCCAATATTAATTAAACCCAGGTAATCAAGCATACGAGGGGCATAGATTGGGCGATGATTCGATGAAGCTACTATCCAGGCATTGACGCAATTGAATAATTGTTAATCCAGAAAAAAAAATAAAATAAAAAGGAAGGAAGGAAAATCACGATTGGAAGGCTACTTTTGTAATTTAAATCCCACAATTCAAAGAGGAGATATCTTCAGGATCAGAAACCAAGTATTTCCTGAGGGGAAATTAGGTGATTTCACAATGGGAAATGGTAGTAAATAGTAAATTTTTTAAACTAAATTAAGTAAATAGTAGATTTTAAAATTATTTAAAATAAATAATAATTCATCGTATAAATATGTTATTACTAGAATTTTATTACATTCCCCCTTTTTCTATTTTATTTTTATCAATTATAATTATCGCACAAAGACTATAAATAGATCTCATTTTAAGCATTACCGTGTGTATTCACATTCTCTATAGTGAAAAATACTTTAAATACCAAAATGAAGGCAACTCTAAAATTGAGATGTGCCACTCTAAAATTCTTTTTGGTTCATTTATTTTCTGCATTCTATTCATTATTAACTGCGTATACTAATTCAATGACGAGCTTAAATCCTGAGCTTTTGTGACATTTCTTGATGTTTTCTTTCACATTACCCCACACCTTCAACAAATAAATTGTCAAACAATATACCATGCATCTCTCCAAGTCCTTTATTAAGTTTGTGAATAGAATAATTCATTTATTGGGATACCTAATTAAGCCGTGACACAGACAATTAATAATGACTAAAAAACTTGTGGAGGAGGCACCGACCAAGTATGAGTCGCCCTCAACCTTAAAAATTAAAATCCCAATACCATATAATATACCTCCCAAATTAAGAGAGAAGAACCAACATTAATCATTAATTTTTGTTTGATTTAATCCTACGCTCCATATTTTGACACGTGGCACACTATCGATCACAATATTTTTCCAAGAAAAGCAACGTCAAGCTCTTATAAAAACAATAATAATAAAATCATGTGCAAAATGTTATAATGGAATGTCAATTGATGACATAATTCGAATCGAATTAGGGATTTAGTCGGAATAGGGTGGCTACGAATTGAAGGTCAATTCCCAAGTTCATCGCATTAAAAATTTTACAATTTATAATATGGTCTTTTCCGAACCTATTAATAAAGGCAGTTTTTAATCATTAAATTTAATTAAAATTACATTAAATTAAAAAAATACGTAAAATAGACAGTTTTTAATATAAATTTAACGTTTGAAAATAAAAATTTTTAATAGCTCATTCGATGGCTACGAGAGAAATCCTCATATAATACATTGTCAGGCTTGAATTGGGAGGTTTGTTTTAACTTCTGTTTTCGCTTTTAATTACGTTTGAATTGAATTTTCTACTATGAAAAATACATGTCGTATTTGGACCACTTATTGGTTTGTCTTCGTGTCTCTATGTTGTTTTCTTTTTGGCTTTTTGTTTTTGGTTTTGTTCTTTTTGCTGATTGATCGCCACTTTTTCGGTTTATGCATCTCAAAATCTGGGTAACTAGCTAGAGGGAGAGAGCACCTTTTTCTTGTAATTCAGTCACTAAAATACAACTAATGAGCTGTCCAAAATGAACCACACTAATCTAATCATTAATAGATACTCCACTAATCAAAAAGATCAAGCATAATTTTACTAAATTTGAGGAAATAAAATTGCACTTTTATTTTTTTTTTTTGTTATTTGCTTTGTTTTGTTTTCAATCTAGTATAACTGTACAAGTTATAAGTTGTGCAGAACTGTTTATTGATGCCATGAAGACCATTATTTGTAAGTGCAAGAGTGTTAAACTCACCTTTTCTAAAAACTCAGGGTTCGTTTGGTTGAAGGATTCAAACCATGTGATTCGAACCATTTTTGATTTACGTGTATTTTTTGTGAGAGAAAATACTGTAGCGAACCACGAATCATGATTCGAATCAGGGAACGAATCTCTCTACCAAACGCCCCCTTAGAATTCATTCACGTGTTGCAAAGGATATTAGAAACATGACCCTTTTTTTTTTCCTTCCCCTAAACCTTCTATTTACATATCATTTTATGGTTTACATATGGAAAAAATTTCTCTAAAGCATTTAGATATGATAATTCCTTGGTGAATTTGAAAATTGAAACTTATTTAATTTCACCACGCACATAAAAATGCTTGTGTTCTATATATAGCTGGCATCAATTTGTCAGGGAATGCAAGAATACGGAAAAAATAATTGATTTAATGGATTCTCATATCTACGTAGAAAATGATAATTGATTGATAATTGATCATGCGAATTACAATAAAAGTAAAAAAGAAAAAAAAAATGATAAGCAGCTTCATAATTGCAATGACGACTGTTATGGATAACAATCACATATAAGTTTCAAACGCCAAAGTGTGATATTAGGTATAATACAGATAAGTTCAGCTGGCAAAATTTCGTCAGCCAATAATATGACAACACTATCGTACATAAATTAACATCTTTCTTAATACTCGTGAATTGCTATTAATAATATTTAATTGGTAATCTTTAGATAATGTAAGATAATGGGTCCAACTTTATTGTATTTTTCTCTTTTAGACCCCTATGTTGATAAAGCTTTTAGAGCTTTTTTGGTAATAAAATAATTTGTGGATGAAAACTGTGCCCACACTGCACATGTTAGTATTGACAGGGAATTTACGTTTGGGTTGGACCCAGCCTAAAATTGTTCGAAGCTAGGCTTATAAGCCAATTTCCTTTCCTCTTTAGATTTTTGAAGGTTTTTTTTTTTTTAATTTTTCCTGTTCATAACAATGTATAAAATAAAATCAAAGTTTTTTTTTTTTTTTTTAATGTTCAGAAAATAGGATTATTTAGGAAGTAGTCATGTTTTTGTACTGATACTAACTGCAATTCATTAATTCATTTCTTCTAAGTAGGGAAAAAAACAGAGTAAATATCCATATATGTGTTCAATCTCTAAATGCACTTGTTCCTATGTTTCATTATGTCAAAATGTAAATATAAACTATAACCGGAAAAAAAAAAACAGAAAACTATTAACGGTATCCAGCATACATGTTGGAACTAATTATAATCAGTCTCATCAGACAGAAGAGGAAAAAGAACACAACACCTTTCGCGCTTGATGAATTATAAACTAAGTGGATTAAAAGGAAGAAAAAGAAAAGGAGGGGACAGGGAAAAAAAAAAAAAAAAACTTTGATGATGCTTCTTTATGCTTTTAATCGGGTCCCCGCTACTAAAGAAAGTGAAAAATGATATAGAAAAGTGAATTATAGCCTAACGACTACCACATATGTAAACCATAACCCCATGGACCGTTGCTTTGCCTACCTTTTTTTGTCCTAAATATTGTTTTAGACTTGATACATTTAGTTTATTATCATCATTCGTTACTGTTATCATTATCATTATCATTATCATTATCATTATTATTATTATATCTAGTTGCCAACTCACGTACATTTGTCTTCTCAAAAAAGGAAAAACACACACACACACACACACAACATTTTGCGTTGTCTTCGTGTTTTTTTGTTTATTAATGTTAGCTACAGTTCACATCATCCAAACTTTTAATTTGTTCATTTTACCGATTTGAGATTTTAATTTTAATTTTGTTACACTTAAAAAGTTCTTATAAAAAATAACATCTAACTTTTTCTATTACAGTTAAAAACTCTCACATAAAATCACATATCAATTTAAATTGAAAACTCGAATCGATAAACTGAATGATGCCGAATCATTTCTATTCGTTGATCCACTTATCCCTTGAACCTCAAAATTATTGATTGATGACTTCAATTCCAAATCAATAGCCGTTGAAGCGCACACAATGAGGGACCCATGCAAGCGAAATCAAGCTATATGGGCGGCCAAAAAAAATGGAAGGATTACAATAATTAACATCATCAAATGATAATCATCGTCACATTATTAAAAAAAAATTAAATTAAACCCCACTCATAATTATTGCCCACCCTTTTCTCTATACCCATAAATACCCCCCTTTAAACACACTTTGTCCATCCACAGATCGCTCAGACAGTTCAACAAACGCATACAAGACTACTAGAAAGCTCTCTGCTTTATCTTTCTCTCTCTAAAAAAAAAAGACAGAGAAAATCAATGGCGAAGGACGTGGAAGTAGTTGAGGGAGGAGAGTTTCAGGCGAAGGACTACCATGACCCGCCGCCGGCGCCGCTGATAGACCCGGAGGAGCTGACCCAGTGGTCCTTCTACAGAGCTCTGATCGCGGAGTTCATAGCGACGCTTCTGTTTCTGTACGTCACGATCTTGACGGTGATCGGATACAAGAGTCAGAGCGCCACCGACGAATGCGGCGGCGTCGGGATTCTCGGCATTGCGTGGGCCTTCGGTGGCATGATCTTCATCCTCGTTTACTGCACCGCCGGTATCTCTGGTGCGTCAGAGTAACTTTTTTTTTTTTTTGCTGTTTTCTGTTAATATTCCGATAACAAGCAGAAACTTTTTCTTCTTCTTTTTTTGTTTGTTTGTTTTTATTAAGTAAAGACGAAGTAGTGTTAGCTTTCCTCGAGCAGAGCACTGACGGAGGAAACAAATTTAAAATTTGGTTTAAATTTTTTTTTTCCTGGTTAAAAAAGAAGAGAAAAACTGGGGTCTTACTATTTTCACGTAATATAGTGAAAACACATTCTAGCAAAAATAATCAGAAAACAACCCAAAAAATTAGCTGTCTTACCTTTTTTTGTTTTATCATCGTTTTCCTCTAATAAGGTTAACAAATGTAAAATTTGGTTTGGAATTTTTTTTATGGTTAAAAAAGAAGAGAAAAACTGAGGTATTACTATTCTCACGTAGTATGGTGAAAACAGTTTCTAGCAAAAATATTCAGAAAACACCCCGAAAATTAGCTGTCTTACCTTTTTTGTTCTTATCATTATTTTCCTGCTTTCTTACTCAATTTGTCTTCTGTATGTTAGGTAATCATATGAGATCGATTTAAAAGTTATTAATACTAATTAACGATCATATATATATATATGGTGAGGAAATTAATTAATTTAATAATTAGTATTGTGGGCCAAAATAATTAAATTGGGAAATATATGCAGGAGGGCACATAAATCCGGCAGTGACGTTCGGGTTGTTCTTGGCAAGGAAGGTGTCACTGGTAAGGGCAGTGTTGTACATTGTGGCGCAGTGTCTGGGGGCCATATGCGGCACCGGCCTCGTTAAGGCGTTCCAGTCATCTTACTACAACAGGCACGGCGGCGGCGCCAACACCCTCGCCGACCACTACAACAAGGGCGTCGGCCTAGGCGCCGAGATCATCGGTACCTTTGTTCTCGTCTACACCGTCTTCTCCGCTACCGATCCCAAGAGGAATGCCAGAGACTCCCATGTTCCTGTACGTATAATTATTTTAACCATGCATCCCTTAATTACTCATATCTAAAGCTATTATTATTAAGAAGAGCAGTGTTATGAATATGAATTTTAAATTTAAAGCCATTATTATTAAGAAGAGCAGTGTTATGAATATGAATTCTAAATTTTTAATACCTCGAGAGGTAGTTAATTGTCATTTTTTTTATTGATAAATCATATAACGTTAACATTAACCTAATAATTTTTAACAACTAAAAAAATGACAACTCATATATTAAATCAGTTAATTAATATCAAAAAGTTGGTATGAAAATTTAAATCCTTATCCTTATCATTAAAAAGTTGGGATAAAAATTAAAATGCTTAATATTATTATTGTTTATATATAAGTAAAACATTCCATTTTTTTTAACCAATATAAGTATCCATAGGTCACAGTTGCAGAATTGGTCCGTTTTTGTGTTGTCTCCAATCTAACAACTCTCTCTCTCTCTCTCTCTCTTTTATTTTTATTTTTTGGTTAAAAAATATATAGGTGTTGGCACCATTGCCCATTGGATTTGCAGTGTTCATGGTTCACTTGGCAACCATCCCAATTACTGGAACTGGTATCAACCCAGCTAGGAGTTTTGGAGCCGCTGTGATCTACAACAATGACAAGGCCTGGGATGATCAGGTATATATCCAACATTCCTCTTTACCTAACCTTTTTTTTTCCCCTAAAAAATATAAATTTATTTATTGGTAATTAATTATAATATTCTAATTACATGGTTATTTTGGTGATTAAAAATTTCAGTGGATTTTCTGGGTTGGACCATTCATTGGAGCTGCCATTGCTGCATTCTACCACCAATACATCCTCAGAGCAGGCGCTATTAAGGCTCTCGGATCCTTCAGGAGCACTGCTTAATTTTTATTTAATTAAGCATTTTCCTGTTTCTATGCAGTTAATTTCCAAAAGAATAACAACAAACATGAAGAGTGCAAAAGTCTGTTCTGATCAAGCTCGTTTCTGTGTATTAATATATGTCCTTTGCCTCTCTAGTGGGAATGAAGAAATGTGAGGGCCAAATTTGGAATTGTAGATAAGCATGTTCTGTGGACTATGGACTATATGGGCAAAGGGTGTATTTTTGCATATCCCTCTTTTCTCTCATGTTGTACTTTCTTTGATGCTATATTCGCTTGTATTTATGTGGTATTGGTCAGAATTTGTGTATCCTTATCCTTTTATTTTGAAGTCTATTTTCTTTTTTCTCTTTTTTTTAAAAAAAAAAAAAGAAAAAATCTAAGTGGAGTGTGAATGTTTTCCCACATAAATTAAGTATTGAGTAGAAAAAAAAAAAATTTGTGATCTTTCAATCAACATCTTCCAATGGGAGACGCCTTCCAATATTCCAACTTTTATGCTAGTGTGTGTATATACATATATATATATATATATATATATGCGCGCGCGCTTGGGAATTAGTTGATAATATGTGATGAGGATCACACCCATTAGGTTTAAGTCATGCCATCACTAATTGCAAAAATAGAATTCTCTTCCGACATTGGCTTTGAATTTCTAGTTATGAGATTGAGACACAGAAAAATATGATTAGTTTCTTACCCACTTTACCCAAAAGCAAAAAAATGTAGTGGGACTTTATTAAACGCTTGCTTTCATTCAGTAAAGAATTTAATCATTTTATCAATATTTGCATTTTCCCTATAAGCTAGTACTTGAGAAAACGGAGGATAACGACAAATTAAGATTGGACCTTTTGACATGTTAGGAAATCATCGTTATCAATGGTTATGAAATGAACGCAAAAGAAAAGCAAACAGAGAAGACGGGGAAAAAAGATTAGAGCAACCTAATCTCTCTCTATCTCTCTTATTGAGACAAGTGTTCTCTTGTAGACCTTCAATTTATTAAAGGTGTAAATTTCAACAAATTATTTTCATATTGTCAAAACCATGGGCTTCGCAATCATTCTTATCATCTCCCATTAAAAAAAGGAAAAAAATCTTTCTTATGACCAATCTACTAAATAATTAGTGATAGATAAATCATAAAGGTTTTAAAACTTGGCACTTTAGTGGTGCTGGTTCTAGGATGATGAAATGGTGCATTTTCATAGGGCTTGTTCTTTTAGAGTTTAACTTGAGTATAATTTTTAAGTTGAATTTGAGTTATAATTTGAGTTGAATTTGTAACTTGAGTTTGTGTTTGGTTGTATACATTTGAGTTATGGTTTGAGATAAGAATCTTTTTGAGTTTGTGTTTGAGTGAGTCAAAACTTGAATTTGTATTTAGATAGTATTTTAATAAAAACTCAATGCTGATGAAAAATTTTAATAGGGTATATGGGTCGGTTTTATTCGTCTTTTCATTGGCAACGCATAGAAAAAAAAATCATCTCAATCAGAATTAAAACGAAAAAGTTATAGCATTTTTAAGAATATAAAAAATATTGTTCATTAATTTGAGTTCGAATTTCTGAACTCGAGTTGAAGGAGAAACTTGAACTCGAGTTTTAGTCCTAAACTCAAGTTTGAACTCGAGTTTAAACTCGAGTTTAAACTTAAAAAAAACATAAACTCGAATAAAACTGTAACTCGAGTTGTCTTTTTTTAAATTTTTCACTCAAAAAAATAAGCCTATAATTTCTTGTAGTAGTTGCGAAAAGGGACAACATATATAGGGAAAAGGAAACATTTTTTTAAGTCAATATAACATTTTTTTAAGTCAATATAGTGCCTGTGATTCCTCTCTCTCTCTCTCTTTTTTAAAGGTGGGTATGTTTATCTTATAGTTGGCAACTGTATTAATTTATCTTATCTTTTGTCCCTATTTTATGGCATTGAGGTCGTTTCTCAAGGTTCCAGCAAAAAAAAAAAAAAAAAAAGTCGTTTCTCAAGGCATCATATTAGGTGAGGTGTTAGCTGTTTGATGATGTAGGCTTTGGTTTAATATACAAGGAATTGATAAGGATTTGTGCTCAAGAAAGAAATTCTATCCATTAATTATTTAAGTGACTACTATATTGTCCAAACAAAATATTTATGTGCCTTTATCTCTACGGCTAGGATTCTATCAAGTATTAAGATAATAAATCATGCAGTAATAATTTATGTGCGTATTTATTAATTAATATATTTCATGGAGAGTTTTAATCATTGTTACTCATGGAGCAAAAACCCACCTAGCAATGGCAGTTTATTTTTCCGTAGTCGGTAAATAAAAACAATAATACTTTGTTATTATTAGCATTCGTCGTTTTCATTTCATTCGTGTAATGTATAAAATTGATTATTGATTTTATCTTCAATTGAAAGCAGATAGTGAGGAGAAAAAGCGAGAAGCATCGGAAGAAAACGACATAAAAACATCATCTTATTTGTACTCAACTATACTTGTTTTTTTTTTTTTCCTATATATTTAATATTTAATATTCCTTTACTAGGCGTAGTTTCATGAAAGGTTCGGAAATTTTATTTCTTAGTGTCCGTTATCACGTCGTTAGCATGATTCAGGACTAACTAATATTCTTGCTCGTTTTCTAATTAGGTGGTCCCACTCATTGTACATGCCAGCCGTATCGTATGGACTAATTCTCAACGACAATTATGATACACCTATTATTTATGCTAACGACAATTATGTTTACCTAATTATCTTTTTCTTTTTTAAGTTATATACCAGGAAATTAAACTCATTTCTGTATATTTGAAAACTTGACTCTAAATTTCAATTAAAAAAAAAAAAAAAAAAAAACTTGACTCTAGATCTTTTAACTTATATTTCCTTGCAAGTAAATGGTTAAGCTAGGGAAACGGTTTTATGTTTCCTACCAGAAAGGAGTCATCACAACAATGCATGAAAAATCTAAGAGCTTCATCTTCTCTTCTTCTTGGGTCAACGCAGTTTTTTTTGTTTTGTTTTTTTTTTTGTTTTGAAGAGGAGACATGAAAAGAGCTCCATCTTAAGTATTAAAAAACAATATAAAACATTAAGTAGTAATTAAGTTGTCACTATAAAAAAAAAAGTTTAATAATCAATATCTAATATTATCTTTTAAGTTTAAGCAGCTAGCGATTTGGTCTCTCTTTTCGGCCGGTAAAGAAGCCAAGTTTACCCCCCATTTTTTTTTCTTGTGCTTGAAGCATAAGTTTAGCATTATTCATTCGTTATTTATTTTAAAATTGTTATAATAAACCCTCATAATAGAGTTCAAGGTTAGATCTGATCAAAATTACAATAAAGTAAAAAAAAATATTCAAAATTAACGGAATGTAATATAAATATGATGGTTTCTTGTGGGGGAAAAAAATATAACTGTTCAAAATAGAACCATATTAATAAGGTATTTTCTTTTTCTTAAAGGATTCATCCCATGAAATAAGTCCCTCCTCACATACGGATTCTGTTGAAAGGTTTCATCTCTATAGTGATGAATATGAGTGTTTTTTTTTTTTTTTTTTTTTTTTTTTTTTTTTTTTTTTTTTTCCCTTATACTATCGTAGAATTCTCTTATAGTCTTGATTAATACTCGAGAACTTTAAAAAAATAATAATAAAAAAAAAAAAAGTTCTCCGTGAGGCCCAATTCAGGGAATTCAGTGAATTCGATATAAATGGGTCAGAACTTCACCACAAGAGTGATGAAGGATCACTTACTCCTTGTTACTCTTTTTGAGGCCTACGAATTATTCATGGGCTTTTCATTGAAAAATAAACATTTTGAATTTGTTTAGTATGTAGAATTTGAAATGGAATAATAATGCTTGAAAGGTACGCATCAAACTTTGAAACGTATAGTTACATTAATAATTTCAGATTGCCAATGGAAAAGTCTCGTGATGACATATATAGAGGTGTATTGCCAAAACATGTGAGGCTCTGAAGGATCTTGTGCACAACTAGCTCGGAGAGCAAGGATCTTGTGTGCAAGATAAATAAGCAGAGAGAGAGAGTGTGCAAGATAAATAAGCAGAGAGAGAGAGAGAGAGAGAGAGAGAGAGAGAGAGAGAGAGAGAGAGAGAGAGAGAGAGAGAGAGAGAGAGAATTGTTGCTTCACAAGGAGACTTATGAGAGAACTGAAATTTACAAAAATTACAAAAATTTACAAAATAGAGAAATATGTCGTAGGCTAAAAAAAAAAAAAAATTCTTATCGATACGTACGTTATGAACCATTCATTAATTAGCACAATTACGAATCACGCAAAGCAAATGAGAAATCATATCCCCGTTTATACGTAGTAGTCTAAAATACAGGATTACGCAGTTAAAGTAATATTGTTGGAATCACACGACACAATCATATTAGTATTTAGTTCTTTTATTTTCCATAATTCCATCTACTAATCTTAATTAGTAGCAGTATCTATAGACGCAAGACGTACATGAATATGATGTAAGAAAAGTGTAGAAGGGAATGCATTTATTTTAGCTAGGGCTTGCGCTTGGCCCTCTGCAATAAATTAATGGACATTTCTAGAGCTGCCATTATAGTTACACACTCATCATACGCACTATGTTGTGTGCCCTTTGCTGGCCCTTCAAGCTAAGAAACACCATGATCCCAAGCCTCCCCTCGCTTATAAAAAATAAAATAAAATAAAATCTTTTTACATATATATAAAAAAAAAAAAGCAGAGATAAAATAGACCCTTTTATAGATATCATCTATACGTTTTAATTATTTATTTTTTAGAACATTTCCATTATATATATAGAAGACACTTATGAACGCATGCTCGCGTGTATGTAAAGCTTGTGTACTTTGGATCACGACACATACTTAATTCTATGTGCATGACGATAAAGAAGAGATTCTTAAATAATTAAAGAGCAGCAATTTAAAAATTGTAGCAGTCATTTCCTTGCGACACGCATGGGCACAGTAGTTTAATTTTGAGTAGGTAGATAAATAAATAAATCAGTACCTTTCCATTAATTATAACCATTCTGTATATTGTGTTTTAAGGCACTCAAGTACTGACCATAATTCCATATATTATAGTATTAGCTTAGCCACATTACGTAAGATCCCAAAATTAATTACGGAAGATCCCAAAATTAATTACGGAAGATACTCATGCAACGCCACGTCTCTCTCTCTCTCTCTCTCTCTCTCTCTCCCCTTTTCAATAAAAATTTCTTTATGTCATGCCATTTTACACTGGGAAGTGAAGAGAATAAATCTGGCAAGGGCAATTTGGGAAATCTAGATGATTTCCTTTTAGTGATAATGTTGAGAGAATACTGTACATCATTCTGTCGCCTACTTTGTGGCCTCTTTTTCACCACCAAAAATTGACGTCCAAGCAACAATCAACATTCCCACATGACACTATAAAAGCCGAACCAAAGAAACACCAAAACTCAACTTCCCCATCCAAACTAGAGCCAACATTTCTCAAACTCCATCACTCAAAAAGCAAAACATGACTTCAAAAACAGTTTCTTTGATACTCCTCCTCTTCTCTTCTCTAACCTCCTTTCTCTCCATTGCCATAGCACAGGGCAGAGCCCCCCACGGGCTGGCCAACGTGAACCCAGTGGCTTTCTCTCCATCTGCCTATGAGTTCTTCCATCCCACAACACAAAAGCCCAAATCCGTAGGCCCATGCAGTACTGGGTCCAGTTGCTCGCCGTTGCCTTTGGCGGCCCAAGTAGATGCCACCAACAAAGCCCAAGAGAGGAAAACAATGGCTTCCCACAGTGGTGGGTCCGGATTGGGAGCTGGTGGGGTTGCTGGGATTGTGTTTGGCATAACATTTGCTGTGTTACTAGCAATGGGTGTTTACTATGTGGTTGCTACTCGGCGACAAAACTTGAGTCTAGCGAAGACTGTTCAACCTGATGCTTGAGTACATTAAGGACAATGCTATAGGCCACCGGTGGTTCTGAACACCGTCCACTAATAAAAGATAAATCCAGCAATACGAGCTTAATTATAAGTGGGATTGAGTTTCTATGAGTCGTAGTATTTAACTCCGACGCTGTCTCGAAGCATTTTTCTATTAAAAAAAATGCTGCAACTCTCCATGCATCCCGTTTTTATTGTTTTTCTCCTCCTTCAATTCTTCTTTTTATTAGTTCTTGTATTTAATCAGGTTATGGCGCTTATGGAATGTATCTATAGATCTATTAGTTTGTATTCAATTCAGGTTATGGTCCTTGTGTACTGTATCTATAGATGATATTAGTAATCAAGTGTTAGTTCCCATGTGACCTCTATTTACCAACTTCTGTTCCAGTGTTTGATATTCACGAAGTTTTTCCACTGTATCACTGATAACTTGTGATCAACGAATACAAATTTATAGCAAAATCATCTGAATAATGTGTGCATACACACGCAAGCAAAAGCCTGTATTGTCCTGATATTTGAGAATTTCTCCCATAAATAGTTTCCTCCCTTTAAAGCTAGTGGAAACTTTCTACTTAAGTCAGAAGAAAAGAGTTCCTGAAATGCTGGAAAGGGCTGCGAAAAGAAACAATTATAAAAGTTAGTTGGAGTCTTGGAGATGCAATGGAACATGAATGCACCATCTTTGTTCAATTTTTAAGAGAATTCCGCGGGAGTTGTAAAAAATTTACCCGAGTATACAAAACTAACGTCACCTAATACAAATTTCACGGTTTAAGAAAGAACCTTATAAATAGGGTACTTTTTCAACCACAGAATTTTTAATTTTTATGATATTACCACGCTACAAAATTTTACTCAAATCTTATTTATTTAGGATAAAATTATTTTAATACCGTTTTAATAATATTAAAATAGTATCTTAATATTTTAAAAAATATTTTAAAGATTAATTTCTTTTTTGAGACATAAAATGTTAAATTTACCCTTCTATTTCATTTATACATAATTTATATTTACAAACCTATTAACAAACCCAAAAAAAAAAGAGCCCAAAAAGTTTCTTTCATTCAAGAATTCAACAAATTTTGGCCCAATTTTGATTTTCAATATTCAGTAAAAATTTAGGTCTCATTCATTTCACTGATTCGAGTTTTTAATTTTAAATTTTTACAATAAAAAATTTTTAAAAAATATCACATTTAATTTTTTTTTATTATAATAAAAAATTTTAAGAAAATGTCATATCTCAATTTAAATTAAAAATTTAAATATACGAAGTAAATGAGGTTTTAGTCCGATAGCCACTTTTTGAGTTTTTCAATGGCTTTCCCCTCAGGTCTGAGTTTTTAGATCCCATCAATAATTGTCCACGTGAATGCTTATCATCTCCCTTATCTTTCTATTTCTTCTTGGTGTATTTGGTCAAAAGGCAAATCGAACAAGAATATCTCTCTAAGCGTCTTTGTCTTTCAATGGAATTGAGAGATCAAGAGAAGGGTTTGGGGGTGCCTACCTTTTGAGGGAAAAAATGGGAACAGAGAGAGACAGAGAGAAATTAAGAAAATAGGAATGGATATATATTTGGAGTCCGACGAGGATATGAGACCATGAGACAGCTTTCCGGAGAGGGGTCGCTGCTGGTGTGGGGTCGGACCTTTGGGGAACGGCGGTGGCTGTCGTCGCCGGAGGGAGAGAGAGACGGTTTGTGGAGAGAGGAGAGAAAGATTAGTGTCTGAAATGATCAATTACAGATGAGGCTCTTTTTTCTTCTGGATGAACAATTACTCGGTGATTATTGTTTGGAATATTAGCATTTGGATTTTTCTGTGTTGTTTATGGGAGGGAGATGATGAAGATCTTTTTTTTTTCCCCAGAAATTGTTGCATTTTTGAGAAATTAATTAACAATAAAGAAACTTAATAGACAGGTGGAAATGACCATTTTATGTCTTAAAAAAGGCTCTGGTATAAATTTTTTTTTTTAACCATATCTATGTACTATTTTAATATTATAAAAAATAAAAAATATTAAAAACATATTTCATTATATTTCACTTTAATGCATGTACCAAAATAATTTTATCTGTTTATTTTGCTGAGAAGGAACGTGAAGCCACTACGAGAAGCAACGTGAAGCCACTACGAGAAGCAATTTCCAGTCAGTCAATTCTATTGATGGTGATTAGTGGCCATGTCAAGTCATGATAAACATAGGGCAGAAAAAAGTGGGAGAATAGAGCCTGCATATTACTATTATGTACATGGAGGGTACATAGTGGATAAGCCTGAAGGAAAAAGCAGCTTATATTCCTAGAAGTCCCATCTTAACTGCTAAGTGCATGAATGCTGAGACAAAGGAGAAAAAGAGGACTAATCATCCATGGAAAAAGAGTACTAATCATCCTACAATTAGGGTTGATAATTCAGGTAGTCATATGACGATATGATTTAAAATTTGTATAAAATTAACGAGTTTAAATTTATTATAAATAGGTTCAGATTAAAATCAGATTGAATCTGTGAAACACGATTAAATAACGTATCATTTTTAAGTTGACCCGTTAACCCACAATTGACCTGCGATAACCCGTTTATTAAACGTGTCATATTTAGATAACACGATTATACAACCAATTTGTTACCCGTTTATTACCTATGTTAAAAATGTTTCACTATTTATAATTCTCTAATCTCGCAGCCGCCTATCATTCCAAAGTCCAAACCCTCTTCTTCTCTTTAGTCTCGACTTTCTCTTTCGACTTCCACTCTATCTTAACTCTCTTCTCCGCCGCCTGAGCTCACCTGAGCCCTCAGTCCACTGGAGGACCACCGCTTCTTTTAGTCCAGACCCACCCACCCTCGCCCTCACCCACCCTCGCCGCTTCTTCTTCTTTCCTCTCCGCCTCATTCTCTCTGGACTCTCCACTCTCTCCGTCAGATTCGACCTTGGGGAGGCAGGGGAATAGATTCGGTCCATATTCTTCTCATTCTTCGTCAAAATCGGCCATGGGGAACAAATTCTTTGCTTGGGGAACGGATTCGGTCTTATTCTTCGACAGGTATTTCTCCTGTCCATTTTTTTGTTTTTGTTTTGATGATTTTTGCTATGATTATTGTTTTTATTTGTTATTTTATCTGTATTCACTTTGAGATTGATGGTAAAGATGGGCTATGAGCTATATTAACCTAAATCGGTTCAGTTCCTTTTAATTTTTTTTATCAATCTGTAATTTTGTATCATACAAGCAAGATAGTTCCTATGTATATATTATATACAATATGTAATTAGGAATTTTATATCATACACGGCGATAGTAAATGTTGGCCTAAGGTTGAATATTCTCATGTTTTGATGATCACAAACACAATGTATTATGTTTCTAATGATTCTATTTTGAGTTGTGTATTTAGCGTAATTAATGTTATAAATCAACTCAAGAAGCATTTTGCGGAATACAATGCAAATACATTCAAGATTGACAAATACAAATTGAAGAAGGAATTCAAGGCTTGAAGTGCTAAAATACCAAAGATCAAGAGCAAGCAAACAAAATCAAGCTAGACAAGTACTAATAGGTTTTTAATATCTCCTTAGTCTTGTATTTGATTTTGACTTCATACTATCATGATTAATTCTTGTTTAGGCTCATGCACACACTCACATTATTCTTTAAAAATGAGACTAAACTTAGTGCATAATGACATTTGGCCTAAAAGTACAAATGTGTGAAGATTTGAGGCAAATTAAGTGTCAACCGGTCGACCTATGTCGTCCGGTGACAGAGAAGGCTAAATGCACCGGTCGACCGGTGATGCCTCAACCGGTCAACTGCTCCGGTCGACCGGTTCCGTTCAACAGTCACTCAATAAGAATGTTGAACAGCTCGAATTCAAATTTGTCTCAACCGGTCAACCACTCCGGTCGACCGGTACTGGGTAAACGGGCAAAAATATGACCGTTGGAAAGAGAGGTTAAATAGAGAAAAGTCATTTTTCTCAACATGAATCTTTTGTGAAAAACAGAGAACGAATTCAAAGTTTCAAAAATCAAAAAGAGAGTTCTCCATTGTGTCTACATAATCATCATCTTCTCTAAATCCTTAACTCTCTCACACATAATTAAGCCTAACTTGAATTATCTTGTGATAGTGTGAGTTCATCATCTCCTAGTGATTTTAAATTGTGTAAAACCATTGTTAGGAGAGTAAAACTAAGTGCTTCATTACTCATAATCATTACTTTAGTATTGGGTTACTTGGTTGGTCGATCTCCGTGAAAAATCGACATTGTGTAAGAGGTTAGGCGAAGCCTCGGGTAGAAAGATTCGCCTTCTTGTAAGAGGAGTGATCATGCCGGAAAGTTGATCGAATAGTGAAAGAGGTCGAGAGGCGGAATATCTCGGCGACAGTGGATGTAGGCAAATTTATTTGTCGAACCACTATAAATCTCGTTTGCATCTCTCTAACTCTATCTCTTTAATTTCCGCACTTTAAATTTGATTGCTGACATTGATTGTTTTAACTCATCGTGATAAGTTTATTGAACTCTTTTTATGATATTAGATTGGTCCATCCTGTGTACATCAAGTGGTTGTGCTATTACATTAACTTACATAATTTTCTGTACACCAAGTGTTTGATAAAAGTACCTTGTTCAATTAATTGTCTATATTTAGTTTTAATCTTCGAATAATTGTATAAACTCTCGAAAAATATTCAAAACCCAATTCATCCCCCTCTTGGGTAGCCTTATTCGGGACAACAGTAAATTGTATGCTTTCTATTTTAATTCTTGGGGTTTAGAGATAGCGGAGAACTATTGGGACAAGGCAGTGAAGTCTTAAAGCGTTGGATTCATTATTAGACAGATTAATGTTTAATTAGTTGGTGACAATACCTACCAATTCTTATGTCGTGTGTTTGTATGTGTGTATATGGTACTTTTATCCATTGTTTGTTAACTCATTTTTTATCCCATTAATTTGTGTTGGTTATTTCTCTTAGACTCTTACCATCTTGAAATGTTTTCTTTAAAGCGGAAAGAGGATTGATGGGCATATTTTTTAGAGGCAAACTTGTTTATTACACTATTTTTGTAATCTGTATACTTCCTGCGATGTTTCTCAACTTGTAACAAATTGAACACGCCCCTGAAAGCTTTCTCTTAAACTATTGTTTAAGTAATGTTTTATTTTGTGCAGATTAATTTAACACAATGGAAATTGATCTTGAGTCCATTGAGTCTCTAAGTGTGGATGTTAAGGTTGAAGAGATTTATGGATCGAGTTTGAATAATGAAACTCAAGGCGATCAACTCTAAAGAAGAAAAAGGAAGCTGACCTCAAAAGTTTGGAGTCATTTTGTTCATCTTCCTTTGGGTCCGGACAAGAAATTGAAGGGCAAGTGCAAACATTGTAACTCTGTGTACCTCGCGAACATCAAGTACGGAACTGGTAATCCGAAACGCCATCTTGTGAGTTGTCTAAAAACTTCCTACCGTGATATAGGGCAGATGCTCATTGCCCAAGAAGCTGGTGCAGTGACACTTAGTGGAGGTAAGTATGATCCTGAAAAATTACGTGAGTTGGTTGTAGCAGCTATAATCATGCATGATCTACCTTTTAGTTTTGTTGAATATGCGGGAATAAGGTCTCTATTTCAGTTATTGCACCCTCAAATTCAATTGGTCTCTAAAAATACTGCAAAGGCTGATGTTTTAAAGTTTTACAAAAAGAAAATGTCACGAATTAAATGCATGTTAGAGGCTACTCTAGGTAGAACTAGCTTTGCTTTTGATGTATGGAGTTCCTTGACTAGTGATGGATATGTTTGTCTCACTACGCATTTCATAGATAATAATTGGAACTTGCAGAAAAGAGTGTTAAACATTAGTTTTATGCCACCCCCACATAGTGGCGTTGCTTTATATGAAAAACTTTATAGTTTTTTGAGTGACTGGGGAATTGAGAACAATATGTTTAGTGTGACATTAGATAATGCTTCTGTAAATGGTGTTTTTGTTGACATGTTAAGACATGTTAAGAGAGCAACTAGTTGTGAAAGGGATTCTCGTACACAATGGCGATCTATTTCACATGCGATGCTGTGCACATACTAAATTTAGTTGTGCAAGAGGGTTTGAAGCAGATTGATGTTTCTATTGTTAAGATCCGTGATAGTGTCAAATATGTCAAGGGATCCCAAGTGAGGAAGTACAAGTTTTTAGATTGTGTGAAGTTAGTTGTAATTTGTGATAAGAAAAGGTTGTGTCAAGATGTACCAACTGGGTGAAACTTGACATATCTTATGCTTGAAAGTGCTCTTTACTATCGCCGTGTATTTCAACATTTAGAGTTGAGTGATTCAAATTACAAGCATTGTCCTTCTACTGCCGAGTAGGACAAAGTTGAAAAGATTACAACTTTTTTGAAGTTGTTCTATGATGCAACTCTTAAATTTTATGGAACAAAGTATCTCACTATCAACTTGTACTTCCCTTCCATTTGACATTGTTGCTTCATGTTGAAACAATATTCAGAAGGTGATAATGAGTACTTAAAGTATATGGCAACAGCAATGTGGGGCAAGTTTCAAAAGTATTGGTCTCAATTCCATCTTACCTTGGCTATAGCATGTGTTTCTAGATCCTCGTTTTAAGCTTGGGCTTGTTGAGTTCAGTTACAAAAAGCTTTATGGAGATGATTGTCTTGAATGCATATCAATGAGGAGTAAGTTGTACTCTATTTTTGAAGAGTACAACAAAAACAAGAAGGATTCAACTAGCAAAAAGACCAATGCTTTTGAATCTTTTATGATGAAAAAAGAAAGAAATGATGATGTGGATGCTATATTCAAGGTAATTCCTCTATTTATTGGTAATGCGGATGCTCTATGCTTATGTCTGCTTGTGTATTCTTATCTTATCTCCTTCTCATTTTGTAGGAATTTGATGAGATGTCTTCGGTTGAGTCTACTGCCGCATCACAGAAATCAGAGCTTGACCTTTATTTGGATGAGCCAAGACTGGCTCGGAACGCGGAGCTTGATATCATTTCCTTTTGGAAATCAAACCAATTTCGATATCTAGCACTAGCTTCTATGGCTTGTGATATATTGGTTGTCCCCGTTTTAACAGTTGCTTCTGAAGCTACATTTAGTGTTGGTGGTAGAGTTTTTGATTCATTTCGTAGCTCACTTAAACCAAAGACAGTTGAAGCACTTGTTTGTACTGGAGATTGGTTATATGGTGACAAAGGTGGTTTCAAACTTACTTAATTTATTTATATTTTCTATATTGATTTTGAACTAACTTGTATCTATATATATTTATTTTCGTGTAAATTTCAATGAAGATGTGGAGGATCTTACACAAGATATCTTTAACTTTTCATTGAAAGATGAGGAGCCTTTCTCACAGAGATCAACTTCTCTTAAACGTGATGTACTTAGAGTCCTCCCACTGCAACAAATTATTTAAATGTTTAATTATTAATCATGTGTGTTTATTTTTTAATTTGTGAGACTTTTATTTGTTTATTTTCTAATTTTTATGTGTTTGTTTTAATTTTGAACTTAGATTATGTAATGTCTCTACATCATGTTAAACAGGTTGAGAAACATGTTTTATCACTCATTTTATAAACATGTTCAAAGTAGATTCATAAATAGGTCCACACGACACATTTATCACCTATTTCATAAATAGGTTCAAAAATAAGTTAACACAACCTATTAATCACTTATTTCATAAACGTGTTGACAGGTAATTAACGGATTGATATGACACGTTTACGACTTGTTTAATAAACGGATTAGTCGTGTCGTGTCAACCCGTTAATATACAGGTCGTGTTTAGATTTTATATTTTGACACGATTAATAAACGGATCGTGTTCGTCTTAGACCTATTCGTGTTAACTGAGGAATTTAACACGACACGAACATGACCCGTCAACACAAATTGCCACCCCTACTTACAATATGTTATTTCCCTCTTTCTCGCTATTTCTTTCGCGATGGTTTGAATTGTTACGATAAATTGGATTTGTCTAAAACATTTTTCACCAAGTAAATAAATAAATAATTTTCCTAGCAAAATAGATAAAAGGATATAAAAAAATCCTAGCAAAATAGATCAAAGGATATTAAAAAAAAAAAAAAAAAAAAAAAAAAAAAAAAAAAAAAAAAAAAACTTGAAATCAAGGCCGCTGTCTCATTAAGCAAAAAAAACTCTTTTATTTGTTCAGAGTGTGTGAAAAATAGAAATTTGGCCATGTTGTTGTAGCAATGCACAAACGTCAAAACAATACGGACGTTCATACATTGGTAATCATATTACTTAAGATCTACCATCCACGAGAGCTGAGATACTGGATTACAGGTCCAAATGACTGGTCTACAGCCTTGTTCCATAGGCGTGCAAGCTCTGCACGGGTTTCCTTTCCAAAGATGGGCTCCTTCGTCTGTCACAAATTCCAAATTGAAACCATTAAGTTACTCGATAAGCACTCCAGAAAACCGAAACTGGAAATTCATGAACACAGTTCGTTTTATGATCTGCACGTTTTAATTGTAAAGTTCATCATTTCTACCACATGGGAAATAAAAAACCCAAGTTGGACGATCCAAAACATGAGCTTGGGTACCATCAGATCATTAGCATAAAAACCGTTGATCTGCAGGCATAACTGCGCATCAGAATTATGCTAAAAGAAGAACGGCCATAAAATGCTGATGAGGCTACACTCAAAAGCATCAGATAAACTATTCCTCATAGAACTCAAAACATGACTACTTTCGGCACCATCAATAGTCCATGCTTTTTTCAAACTTTTACCAACTATTTCTTCCATTTTTCAAGTTGTGGTTTGCATTGGTTACTACTTACTCGTCATCTTTAGGCAAAAGACTAAAGAGCAATAACAGAACGGGCAACTAATTGTTTTATAGTAGGAACACCATTATCCTTGACCTTGACACAACATCACAACTTCACTGCAATTAAAATTTAGCAGGAGAAAGAAATGAAAGGATAATCGAAGCTTTAATGGCTAAACGAATAAGCTCATGAAGAACCTAAAATTGATTGATTTAACTTCATCCTTCTAAAAATTATGGAAAGGATAAGGTGATATAGAACAAAGTACAAACACAACCAACTCTACCAACAGTTACAATTGATAGGAGAGACACAATCTAAATATCTAATCCCAACAATCACTCAAGACCGAGCTCGAGAGAGCACTCTCCAAGCTCTGCCCATATAGGCGTTTCTTCGAAGACCCTTACCGGCCCAGTCCTTAATACAGGATTTCCAATGCTGACAGGAAAAGGAGGGAAATGGATACTCAATTTAAAGTGAGTAAACATAATTCCATACTCAATCTCATAGATACATATAGAATTCTATGGAAAGCCGTATTCGATGAAAGTCGTATGTGCGGCTTGGAGGGAGATCTTTCATATTTTTCGAGATCCAGGGACCACATGGGCCTACCCCTCGTGTTCAAGTGATGCCCCTGCATCAAAAGATCATGAAGATCTCTTTTGCTTCCGTTGGAATTACGGGTTTTGATTAGACATCTTTGGTTCAACAATCGTAAAGCAACCAAAAATGTCTCCAAAAAACACTTCAGTCTCGTTCATTTCACCGATTCGAGTTTAGAATTCAATTTTTATTACAGTAAAATGCTCTAAAAAACAATCACATCTAACTTTTTTGTTACAGTAAAAAACTCTCACATAAAGTCACAATCTCAACTCAAATTAAAAACTCGAACCAGCGAACTAAACAACACAACAAAGCATTAAGAACACTAGTTCGTATGGAGCTATTTCACAATTCCATTTTACTCCCCGAGTGTATATAACTAAATTCCACAAAAGCTCATCTTGGAGACAATTTTTGTTCATGACCCACCAACGCAAAAACACAAAAATGATCATAAAAAATACCCGAAAAAAAAATTACGTGTACCAGACAGCATCGAAATCTAGGGTTCCGGTCACATAGACAATCACAATGCGGAAGATAAAATCAGAAAGAGAATTTACGTGAAATTGGGAGGGCAATTGGTGTTGAGGATCTGAAATTGATCTATAAATACTCTTTCTCTGCTCAAATACTACGATTCCCGCGAACGCGCTTCCCAACGCAGCCCCCAAAAGGCGCTCCTGCATAATTCACCCCCAAAAACCCCAATTTTTTCCATTATTTTTTCAGTTAGAAGAACATTGGAAATCGAACCAAAGAATTTACAGAATAATAGGATCGAATGTACAAGAATTAGCGTTGTTTACCTGGGCAAGAACGCTGATCATCGTGTCTTCGTTCGGCTGCAAAAAATGAGAAATTTTTTTCCTTCTAGTCGATTCTGATACAGGAAGCAAATGAGGAAGACGAACTTGTGAGTTTGGGCCCGTTTTCTAGCTTGTTGGGCTGCTACAGATTCAATGGGCCTAAACTCGTCTCTGAACATTAGAATTATTATTATTTTTTTTTTTTGAGAAATAGTAGAAAATAAGTCAATATGAAAAGCTTAAGAAAATATATAGGTTGATTTTTAATTATAAAAATTAATAGGTCATAACTTATCAAGTTATGGTTCATAACCAGATAAGTTATGGATAAACTTGTCAAGTTATGGTTTATAGTCAGACAAGTTATGGACAATTATGGACAATAACTTGTCAAGTTATAGTTCATAACTAGACTAGTTATAGACGAAAACAGTTAGCCTATTCATTAATTTATGTAAACTATTGGCCTATTAATTTTAATTCATCTCAAGTCTTGGCCTATTTCTCTCTTTCTCCTTTTTTTCTAATCAATTAAGGACGTTTGGTCCGTGAATTCAGAATCATAATTCAAAATTATTTTCAGTTTACGTATATTTTTTGTGAAAAAAATATTGTAGTGAACCACAAACTATGATTCAAATCAGGGTACGAATCCACCAACCAAACGTACTCTAGAATTATAATTTGATTTTCTTTGCAAATCCCTCCCCTATCAAGGATAAGATTGGAGAAAACATACACAAATATTGTGTTGCTTTAGATTTGTTTAGCTATTAGAATACTAAAAATCCTATGAGAAATTATAGCATTACTCTTTCTCTCACTCTCTTTGTCATTCACAGCCTTCATTGTTCACTGTTCGACATGTGGACTCCACTATGTTATTTTCTATTTAAACAATAATACATCATGTTTATGGAGTCCACATGTCAAATAATGAATGCAGAAAGAGAGAGTAACAGAAAGAGTGATGCTAATATTTTTCAAATCTCTAATACCATCTAACACTGGTTGTATTATTATTATTTAAAAAAAAACTTGAGCTATGTAATAGTGGACTATAATTTTAAAAAATAAATAATATATATGTGAATTGGAAATACAAGAGAGGTTTTATAATTATGCAACACTCTTTTATATTTCCACTTGCCTACTTATACAAGATTAAGGTAACTGAAACCAAACGTGCTCTTTGCCAACAACCAGAGACCAAATAATAAAGGGAGCCAAAATGTATGAATGAACAGAACCTGGGGTAAACTCTTCATCGTCCAAGAGTTTCAAAAACAAGTTAGAAGTTTGATTGAGCATCATTAGTTTCAACTTCTATAATCAAAATTGCTTTTTTGAGCTTATTGGGTGAGAAACCATCTTATTTATCAGTGGTTGATGTGGTAAATTCCATTATTTGAAACACTATAACATGTTTGATCTAATAATGTATACACACACACACACACACACACATATATATATATATATATATACACATACATACATATAAGTCCCTTGGTCATGATTAATAGCGATTCTATATAAATCTAATCTGCCGTAAATTGATAACGTACTTCTTGGGACAAGTGTAATTGTTGTTGCGTAATTTTATTTTGAGCTGTCTTAATCCTTTATTTTTCTAAATTAAAAAAAAAAATTAACAGCATGTGGAGAGCGGTCCGAGTATGATACATTTAGCTATCAAGGGGACGTTTATTTTCTATATTCATTCTTGATTTTAAATCATGATTTATAATTTTTTATAGTGTTTTATCTCACAAAAAATACACGTAAAATAAAAATAGTTATAAATCATGATTCTGAATATATAAACCAAACGTACTCTAAGTATTTTGGTCAATCCGAAAACCTTTTTCTCTAGTAGCTCTCTGTATTGTTGATGTGGCCCTAAATTTAGCGTTAAACTGCCGAAATACGGCTTATAAGAGTTTCTGAGTTTTCCTTTTTGTAGGAACTATACAGTGTGAGTTCTATTATTTACACTTCTTTTTGGTGAATTAAAGTGTGGGGGAGGGATAACTTGTTGCTAGCTCCTTAGTATGTGAACATAGCTGTTCGGATATTCCAACAAAGTCTATTAAGTTATAACTATTTAGATCGAAAGACGAAACACGTTACTTTAATCTTATAAAGATTAATAAATATTGAATCAGTAGTCTAAAAATAGTCTCCGACACTTCCCTAAGATTGAATTTAAAACTTGCCATTAACCAAACTACCCTAGAGTAAGCCTGACGCTACTAACGCAATGCCAATGCCACTATAAAGTGTGAGTTCCATATTTTACAGTTGCCTTTATGATTGCGATAACATACATTATTGGAAGTGTTTTGCCCACATAAGTCTAAATTAAAATCTCCTATCAGCAATTAAGGAGACGTTTAATTTATGAATTACAATCATGAGATTATAATCATTTTTAATTTTTGTATATTTTTTATGAAAAAAATACTATAACGAATCATAAATCATGATTTAAATTATAGTATAAATTTTTTTACCAAACGTCTCCTAAACTAACAGAGAACATCCAAAAAAATTGAAAAGGGCAAAAAAAAAAAAAAAAAAAAACTCCGAGGCATAAATAATTGCAGTACCAAGTCTAGGCTGATATATAGAGTCTAGGCCTTGAAAAATCAACACATAGGTTACATGATATCAAACAAAGACTTACCAACGTCTAAGCTAGCTGCTACCTGCTAGCGAGTAGAAGAAAAAGGTTTGCCCTAAATTGACGTCTCTACAGAACATATGGCATGGGATTGGTAGGTAAAAGCCGAAAAGGGCTTAATTGCAAAGTGGGTTTTGCATGTGAGCCTCTCAGCCCCACCTACATCCTCAATCATGTGACTGTCACTACCAGCCTTATGACTTGAGCCTTGTTACTATTAGTTTGGTCCCCTTATTGCCTTTGCCTCCAAAAAAAAAAAAAAAAAAAACAAAGAGTTTATTTATTTTATTTTTTATTTTTATTTGTGAACGTTTAGTTTATAGATTTATTAATTATAATTTAAAATTATTTTTAAATTACGTGTATTTTTTATAAAAAAAAATAACGAATGATGAATTATAATTTAAATTATTATACGAATCTACTGACTAAACGGACGTGCTCTTGATGTGAATCCAGAAACTCTGATGTGCTGAAAAAAAAAAAAAAGACTGATGTGCTGCAATCACACTGTACCCATTTCAGTTTTGGGGGTGCCCTTCCAAAATACAGCATAGTTCCAGTTTCAGTTTGTTATATATTCATGTCCTAGCCGTTGAACAGGGATCCTTGGGCCCCATCAATGTGGAATTTTGACTTCTAAATTAAAGAATGGGGTAAGAGCCAAATTGCTCTATAGAGCTAAACATTATTGTTTCCATGTTTTTTTTTTTTTTTTCCCTCTCTTTTGGTTCCCAACCAAAAACGACTTTTGTCATGAGATAAAGACAAATAGTTATATATAGTTGTTATTCGTCACCAGAATCATTCAGATTAATAAAAATTTATTAATTTAATAAAACAACGAAAATTGAAGATCTGTATTTTATTGGTAGGATATATTTTCATGTCTTATCTAACAATTCTCACTATAAGTTTTTACATCAAATAGACAATAACGTTAATCCATAAGCGGTATAATTGCTTTGGAGTTACATCTTAACGGTGCTCCTGGAATTGGAAATTTAATTAGTACCTTAAATGCTTGGCTAAAAGTTTGGTCGTTTAAGAGCTCCAATGCAATCTCTTAGTAATGCATTTATGCCGACATGTAAATAAATGCTCATAGTATAGCAGTACTACCGCTTTAAAAGTTGGTGTTCCATTAATGTAAGATGTCTTTGACGAAATAAGAATAATGCTGATGAAAGCATAAGATGAAGAATAACATATATATATATATATATATAGAGATTATATATATATATATATAACTCATGAAGAAAATGTCAGAGCAACCTGTCACGATGTCTGACCTTTTGGCGGAGGGTTATGATCATCATTAATTATTCATTATTGTATAAATATGATTTGCACAAATATAATGAGTTTAGTCAGTCTAATTATCCTGTAGCAAAGTTGTAACACCATATTTTGAAGAAAATAAATATCCTTACGTAATTAATATGATTTCTTTGCCAAAAAAAAGAAGGAAAAAAATATATATCATATTACGATATGGTCGACATATCATGTTTCATGTTACCTTCAAGGCTATGTTACCAAAAAGAGGTACATATGAGAGACATAATTGTGTGGCGCAATTTCCCCGACCCTTTTCAATTTTCTCAGTGCAATTTTTTTTTTTTTTTTTTTTTTTTTTTTTTTTTTTTTTTTTTTTTTTTTAAAAAAAAAACAAATAAATAAATAAATAAAATAAAGTTGAAAAAAAAACAAATAAATAAATAAATAAAATAAAAGGAGGAAATTTCTCTAGGCAAATCCTCCTTTTGACTAAAGCTACAGAGGGGAAAAAATGTCGACAGTTCAAACGGTAATCACTCGCCATAGTCCTATGAAATACCAGGAAATAATAAGTAAGAGAAGAAGCCAAAAAACTCAATCTGGTTTTAAAACTGACCAACTGTTTTTTGTGTCACAGGAACATTCGGTCCTACCTGTAAGATTGCATGTGGCATTTAATAATTAATGTGTTATATGTGACTATGGTTTTTAGTCTTTTGGTTGCTTTCTCAGAAGTCTCTGTCTTCCTTTTAGGAAAAAAAATTTTTTTTATTGCAGAACCTGCAAAGAAAAACATCTGATAAACTGGTCTAAGACTCTAAAGGTCTTTCTCTGGTAAGTTTACATTTTGTTTCTAATGATTTCTTAAGCTCCATTACTTTGCAGGGCATGACAAGCTTTAATGGCCATATCATTTAATATACGATGATTTCTTCTCTTTTAATGTTTTGTATACTGATTTTTCATTTGAAGTGTTTTTCCTCTGGAAAAAAAAAAAAAAAAATACTGTCATTTTAAGTCTGAATTATGAAGCTGCACTTGTCATGAGTCATGGATTCAATATATGGGATGTAAAGTTCGTCAGTTTAGCTGGAAAATGAAAAAAGTTTTCAGACTTTTCTTATCTAAGTACTTCTAGAGTCGTCGGTGTAACTTTTTGTCTAGATTCTCTCCAGTTGTACTAATTGTTGCGGGGTTAAGAGGAAAAAAAAAAGAAGAATAAATTAATAAATAACGAATAAATCCTCTAAGATTTTGGACTTACATTACAATGCTGATGAGTACTGTCTTTGGAAAAAAGTAACTATAAAAAATTGTAAAAAGGTGGTTTTTATTTTTTATTTGTATTTTTTTGGTCAATGCTGAAGAGTTTCCAACATCAAGTTCTTGAATTTTCTGATCTTTTTTCTTTTTATCTTCATCTGGGGTTTTTGAATTTCAAGTTTTTTCTCAGTCATTGCTTTGGATGTTCTGATGAGCATTCTTTAGAGGTTCCAGGTTTTTGAGATTCCCTGGGAATCTTTTGGGATGTGTAATTTGATTTTTCTGGCTGGTTTTGAGTATTTGGGCTTTTAGCTGTTGAACAAAGATCAGCCATTTCCCTGTCCATTTCAATAAAGACAGCCCCATAAGTGCCTTCTTCAGCTCTTCGTTTTTCATTTATATATATAAATATATATTTTCCCTTTACCTGTATAAGCTTGATTTTCAAATCTACGAATATAAAAAAGATCCCAATGTATTCAATTATTCAAGCCAGTACACCAGAATATTGATAACTTGAAAAAAAAAAAAAAAAAAAAAAAAAAAAAAACTTTTGGCATTTTTCTAGTACACTTTTTCCAGCTTATTAGTACAGAAAAGGTCCCATAAGGAAATAAAAAAACACCCATTTCAAGTTTTCAGTCTAGTGGGTGGATTTACTCATGAAATTGAGTTAATACTTTACAAACATTCTGCTGATCAATGTTTATCGTTTTTTTCCCCTAAGTTAGTTGCCGTTTGGTTTGGGGCTTCTTCAATGGAGTGATGCTTGTTTACAATGCGCTTGTTCTGGTGGCAACAGCTTCCGCTGCTCATACTGATTCAGCTCTTAGAGCCCAGCAGAACAAGCCACAAGTTATATGGTACTATAACTACTACTCTTATAACTTTCCTTATTCATAATTCGTGTGCGTTGTTCATACAACCAAAGAAGCTTATAAGAGACTGAACACATTTTTCATACTACTAGTCTTGCTGAGGCAGGAAAATGATTTGAGTTTTTTTTTTTTTTTTTTCAATGGTTTTGATTATAAGCTTGGTAGACACTATTTGAAGGATAACAGACAAAAAGAGTTGAGTTGACTTGGGTTTTAGGCTAAAAGAACCGCGGTATTTTTCGTTTAGTTTTTGCCAAAAAAGTGCATTTTGTTCATGTTCAAAGAAGTGGCTTCAGTGCAAGGCTGTTTTTTGTCTTCTCACCTACAGCTGAAGCTTCATTCACTTTCAAGACCACAGTAGGTAGTTCTCAGCAACCGAGTAGCGTGATTGAAAGAAATCCGTGCCTAAGACAACGGGCATGTGTGAATTGCTATAAACTGAAGGACCCAGGTTTTGTTTCTTTGTAAGCACCCCTTTCTGTGTGCTTGATTGCAGAACAAAGTTGCATTTGTCACACCAATGCTCAGTACATAGTCATATTAGAAACTTATGCTTCTGCAGATTCCCCGGAATCTGTACACTTTCTCTGCAGGCCAAAATACTCAATCCATCACCATTTAGTACAGGAGCTTTTCCTTCACATTCCTCAATTCATCTACAGGAAAGAATTTATAAATCAGCTGCAGCCAATGGGGATAGTGGTGTTCCAACTCTCACAACTGAGCAAGAAGAAGGTGGTCATGATTACAAGAGGCCCAAAAAGAAAGTTGCAGCCATAATTGGCGGTGCTGTCGCAGCTCTGCTCGTGGTGGTTGTCGTATTTCTTGTGTATATCTGTTTGATGCGTGTCAAGAAACTCATAAGGAGAACATCTGAATCAGCATCTTCCGTACCTTCTTCACCTGGTACGATTAATTATTAAGCAGCATATCAGGATGATAATAGTCATAAATTAACTCTTCAAATGGCACACAGATAAGACTTGCTAATCACTTTGCTTTTGATTACAACTAATATTTTGATCCTGGTTGACAAATTGAATTTAGGAAAATGATACTAATCATGAGGAAAAAAAAGTGTCGTGACATATCATGAAAATTACACTCGACTTCTTAGGGGTAAATAATCGAGGACAAACAATTAATCATACCTTTGTTTCTGAAATTTCTACAATGGCATCTCCATATTCTTTTGAACTTGGGGGTGGGGCATTTAGACTGTAGGTGTGAAATTATTACACACGCCTTTGGATTCATGATGATGATCATGACGAAATTATATCATGATGTTGAGATATGATACATTGTATAGTATACATGTATGATGTACCACATGGTATGATTCATTGTTTGGCTGTGTTACTTAACAATAGTTTCTTCTCTCTCTCTCTCTCTCTCTCTCTTGATTTAGTTGAATGGGAAAGAGGGGGTACATCCCCATATGCTGTGGCTCTCTCTCCATTTGATACACAGAACTTGAGGGAGCTAAGTATTCTGGAAGTGGAGCAAGCTACATGCAATTTCAGTCAAAATAATATCATAGGAGAAGGTAGATTTGGTTTGGCTTATAAGGGAATGCTTCAAGATGGATCTATTGTTGCTATCAAGCGGCGCCTACAAACTCCAACTCGGTCTTTCTTTCATCAGGTAAACTTGAGAAAACTGTCAAGAATACAGACAAGGCCTTCGTTCCAATATGCGCCTTTGCTTCTTCTTCTTTTTTTTTTTTTTTTTTTTCATGCAGTTTGGGCCTTGGCACTTGTCTAGTGTTTATAACCTCTTCTTATGATCTATAATTTTGACTGATATTGAAATCTTATGATGCAAATAACAGGTGAAGCAAATAGCTCGTGTCCAGCATGTGCATCTTGTCAAGCTTATTGGTTTCTATTACGATAGTTATCAGCACCTACTTATCTATGATTATCTCTTAAATGGAAATGTCGGGAACCACCTATATGGTACTATCTCTTCATAGATGTGAAAAAAATATATATAGGTTTTTTGCACTGGTGTACCAGAAAATTTTGTCAGTGTTGACAACTTGAAATTCAAACTTTTAATTTTGACAAATGGGATCTTAAATATTTGAATTGTAGTCCAATAACTGAACACATGTCAATTAATGGACAGAAACACCCCACGATTTTTGCACACATGTATCCAAAAAACTTTTTTTTGGTTGGCAAGTTGGACCCTAAAGCATTTTTTTTTTTTTTTTGCCTTTCTTGGCACATATGTATAGTTTACAGTTGTTATCAATTTGGACTGTATTGTCAAGAATCGTCAAATTTAGTATCTTATATGCGAAAATTAAAAGGTCATGATCCAACTTGCAAATGATGAAAAATTCAGGATGCATTGGTGCGAATTAACTTAAATTTTTAACTGACCGGTTTCTATTTCAGATAGTGAAGGTTTACCAATTGGAAAGCTTGGCATACGACATAGGGTATCAATAGCTTTGGGTGCAGCCAAAGGTAAATCTGCTGGTCCATTTCCTCTTCCACTTTATTTATCTTTCATAAGAAACAAACAATTTGATTTCTCTAGTCTCTTATTATGGATCAGGACTGGGACATCTTCACAGTTTGGTGCCTCCTCAACTGCACTTGAATTTCAGGACGAGAAATGTTCTCCTTGATGAAACCTTTATGGCTAAAGTATCTGACTATGGTCTTTCCAAATTGCTAATTGAGGGCAATCACGCTGGTTCATCTTCAGCCATTGATTGCTTTCTTGACCCAGAGTATGTTATCCCTCCTTGAAGCTAACTACTCACTGCAAACTACATGATATTCTTTGATGGAACCTTAGGCCGTTGGGAGACGAGCCGACTTTAAATTTTGTGTGCAGCTTGCTATCCCGTGCTCTGATACCATGTTAGCTAAATATTCCAAAAATTTAATTGTTAGGGGGTGGGCCAAGATCAGACCTATGAATTAAGAGATGCAACAAAATAACTTATTGCAATACCACATAGATGATTCTTGATTGCTTTATATACAGTACCAGAAAACAACTTAAATGTCACTGTTTGATCAAGTTTTTTGTCCTAGTCTTTCGAAATTTCGATCGAGTCATACTTTGAACTACTATTCAGTCCCATGGGAGTATTAGACAGGCAAATCTATGATTTGAAGATATCATTCTTCAGTTATCAGATTTTTGGGGGTTGAAGTAAATTTCTTACTGATACTTAAAAATGCCTTTTTTTTTTCATAAAGGTTAGATATGCCAAAGAATGTTTCAGACAGAAGTGATGTGTACAGTTTTGGGGTCTTCTTACTGGAATTGATTAGTGGACGTGGAGCAAATGTCAGAAACCGGTCAAACTCGGGCGAAAATTTAGTGTTGCAGGTAACGTTTAAACTGCAAAATCTTGCCAACCCATATTGTTCCTTATAATTTGTTCTTTGTTTTCCATAATCAAAACAGCTCTTCTGAAATGGACGTGCGATATTCAATTAAGAAAAAAAGGTCAGAAAGCTAAAAGATGTGATGAGGCATAGAGTTATTTTGTTCTTTTGCAACGAAACTCAGTAAAAAATTTAAACTCGAGTTATAACCTTATTTAAGTTCATGTTTTTTTATAAAATTTGAGTTTAAACTCGAGTTTGAACTCGAGTTGGGGCTAAACTCAATTTCAAGTTTCTCTTTCAACTCGAGTTCAAATTTTTCCTTCAACTCGAGTTCATAAACTCAAACTCAAGTTAATAATCATTATTTTTTTTATTCTTAAAAATGCCATAACTTTTTCGTTTTAATTTTGATTGAGATGATTTTTTTTTCTATGCATTCATAACAAAAGACGAATAAAACTCCACCCATATATCCTATTAAAATTTTTTATCACCATTGAGTTTTTATTAAAATACTATCTAAATGCAAATTTAAGTTTTAATCTACTCAAATACAAACTAAAATAAATTCTCAATTTAAATCATAACTCAAATGTACACATCAAAATACAAACCCAAATTACAATTTTAACTCAAGTTATAACTCAAACTCAACTCAAGATCATCATTCAAGTCACTCTAACTCAAAAATGTAAAAGAACAACCCCTTATTGTTTGAACCTTTTAGTTTTAACTACAAATTCAATGTTGTCTCTGAAGGCCAAACAAACAGAAGACTTTGAAGAATTTGTAGATAAATCATTAGGAAGGCAAGCTACGGGAGCTGCAAAGCAGATGATGGAATTGGCATTGATGTGTATAGATGGAAGTGCAAGAAGACCGCCGGTGAAATTCGTCGTCGAAGAGCTAGAAAGAATTCAAGAGGGAGAAAATGCTCGCTTGAGTTCTGAACTTGATCTTCAGATAGGTGCTGTGACTCTTGGGAGTGAGCTCTTCAGATGAGTTTCTGGTAGTAATCTTGTCATTCCTTATTGATTTTTCTTTGGGTGTAATTTTTTTACTATAGTAACATAGAGGAGGATTTCAATTGTAGCAACATTCTTGAAGTAAATAAATCACATGTACAAAAAAAAGGTCTCAAGATTTAAAACATATCGTTATCTTTGTTCCTGTACTTGGCCAGAAAGATCATTCTGATTCCTCGTTACTTTGTTACATAGTTGCCCAAAATTTAAGACCGTATTTGGAATTGATCTTATTTTTATTTTTTTCGTTTTTGAGAAAAAAAAATGAAAATGTTTTCAAAACGCGTTTGACACAATAAAGACAAAAAATATAAATGAAAACGATTTTTTGGTTTAGTGTAAAATAATAGAGAAATGAAAAAAGATTTTTTGTTGTTTTTCATTTTTTATTTTCATTTTTTCCTCTCTCGAGCACAGAGACATTAATGAGTTTTTTTATACTGAAAATAATATGTTAATAAAACTACCAAACATATTTTTAAAAATTATTTCTGTTTAAGATTGAAAACGTTTTCATTTTTATTTTTATATAAAAAATAAAATTATTTTAGAATGAGTTTTAAACGCGCTCTAAAATTTCTTGTACGAAGAAAAATAGAAAAATACGTAGTTGCCCTTTACAGATGTGAGAAAAATGATTACGGATTAAAGGTGAAGAAAAGGCGATAATTTTGTAGTAGCAAATAAATCACAAACTATAGTGAGACCTACAAATTTTTGTGACATCTGTATGCTCAGATTGCCTGCTATCGCGCCGCTGTTTGAGTCTGTTTGGCCGTTGAAGGCTAACAAAACGTAACTTTAAAAATTATATATACATATATATATATATATATGCATGTATATATATATGTATGTATGTATGGTCTAAGAAAAAAGAGTAAATAAAAATAAATTGCTATTGATCGATTACTGTCGCGAACTGCTCGATCGGCAGCATCGGAAGTGTGAACACTCCATATGGTGCAAATTTAATGGTTTGAGGCATTTTATCAAAACAAAAGGGGAAAAAAGAAAAAAGTTTTTGTGATGTAGAATTAGTGGCATTGGCCATTGTCGTATTTTTTAGAGTACATCTTTTTTTTTTTTAGCCCAAATTGAATGCAGTTGTTGGCACGTTAATTGTTGACTTGGGGAAAAATAATATAATATGTTAATTGGCAGTTTTAATTATACTAAGCAAGGTTATTTTCTTAATTCATGATTTCTTACCTGTCCATCTCTCTCCCCCCTTTCATGCAGCTTGAATGGGTCTCAACGTTGACTCAGTAGTAGTATTAGGAACACTAATTCTGATCTCAATTTTTTTGTATTAACTTATGTAGTATAGAATTCTCATATTTTTATTGGTAGACAGAGTCACTTATTATTAATTGAATTGACAATCTTTTAAATAACTATTAATAAAAGGATGACAACTCACATAATACGTGAATTAGTACAAAAAATTTAGGCTTAGAACTAGTGTCTCTTAACATTATACTTTAATCAATTTTAACTTTGAGTAAGCCCTTCTCATTCTTTAAAGGCAAACAAACCAATGCAATTGATTTTAAGCAAATAAATGATCACTCCAGTATGGTTGGTTGCTTTTTATAGAAAAAATGTTTTTCTTTTAAAGAGAACAAAAGGACTTTTTTATTTTATTGGAGGGGATAAAACGGCATGCTTTTTAATTTAAAGGCTAATAGTTTCAGTTTTTAAAGCTATGTTAATTCGAGTTTTTAATTCGAATTGAGATATGACGTTATATAAGAACTTTTTACTGTAACAAAAAAGTTAGATGTGACTATTTTTTAGAGTTTTTTACTATAATAAAACTCAAATTTTAAATTCAAATCGGTGAAATGAACGGGCCATATATTTTTTCTTTCAGGGGAAGTTTCAAAGCTATTAAAGGCCAGCTCATAAATTGAAAGAATTGAGTACCCACTGAGACGTGCATGGGATTATCTACTATCATTTAAGAAAATGACCAATTGCATTTCTGCATTATATTCCGAAAAGAAAACAAAAAAAGATTAAGAAATGATCAATTGCATTTACCATTATATTCCTACAAGACAACAAGATTTTTAAAAATATCAATTGCATTTATCCACTATAATCGTATAGCAATATAAATATAAAGAATTACCTATTATATCTCACAACTTCTTATCTTAACAAAAAAAAAAAAAAGACGACAAACAATATTTATTTTAAATTTGTATGATGCAAAAAGATTATTAGCATTATTCCATTCTAAAATAAATTATCAGCATTTTTTCGTTAATTAATTCATGTAAGTGAAACGGGATTGGTCCAAATTCCAAAAATGCCTCATCATTTTTAGAGATTTATTTTTTGTCTAATTTTTAAGTCGCTGGTCTTCTTCCTTTAAACTGAACTCTATTAAAGTGTAAACCCTACTCCCGCGGATCTCACTCCTTCCGATCCGTTTTCGTACTCACTCAGAAATGGCGAGTCGACTCTCTATCGCTCTAGCATTTGCCGCTCTGCTTTTCTTCTCCAACTCCGTTCTCTGCAAGGAATCCAAGGCCAAAGACCTGGACGACGACGATGAGGATCTGAGCTTTCTCGAGGAATCCGACGACAAGAGCGACGCCAATCACGGCGGCCACAACCACTATCCAGATCCGGACAATTTCGACGACGAAGGCGATGACGACTTCGGGAATTTCTCCGATTTCGACGAGCCGGACGCCGATCAGGAGGCCTACAAGGAGCCAGAAGTGGACGACAAGGACGTCGTCGTTTTGAAGGAGAGGAACTTCACCGGCGTGATCGAGAACAACCAGTTCGTGATGGTCGAGTTCTACGCGCCGTGGTGCGGTCACTGCCAGGCTCTGGCTCCCGAGTACGCCGCCGCGGCGACGGAGCTCAAGGGAGAGAATGTCGTTTTGGCGAAAGTCGACGCCACGGAGGAGAACGAGTTGGCTCACGAGTACGATGTCCAAGGCTATCCGACTATCTACTTCTTCGTCGATGGCGTTCACAAGCCTTATTCCGGTGCGAGGAACAAGTGAGTTTTGTTTCTCTGTTTGATTTTCCTTCTCTTATTGATTACGGCTAAAATTCGTCGGTTTCAGAGGAAATTGTTTATTAAATTCTTTTGAAGAATTTGTTTTTTTTTCTTTTTTTTTTATTGTGTGAAAATTTAGGGAGGCCATAGTTACTTGGATTAAGAAGAAGATTGGACCTGGTATCAACAACATTACAACAACGGAGGACGCCGAACGCATTTTGACTTCTGAAAGCAAAGTCGTTTTGGCTTACTTGAACTCTTTGGTGGTATGTCGTTGTCCTTTATTTCTTACCAATGGTTAAATTTTTGGCCAATTTAACCTGAAAAATATTTGAAATTCCTGATAATAATGACATCACAGCTTTATTTTGCGTGCTCTTTGAAATGTTCGTCTTTGTTGCTGGTGGGTGAAAATTAATATAAGGAGAGAAAAATAAAAGCATGTTTTGTGACTTATGTAAAGTTTATTAATTTTTGAAATTATTTTGACGCGTTTAGATTGTTAAGTACGTATAAGAGATGCTTGGTGTTCTTTAGCATGGAAAATGGCCTGCTGTAGACAATGCTAATCTATCCTAACGTATGGATTAGGAGTGAGAGGTTATGGTCCGTGTGTCTTGTTTAATGTTCCTATAGAATTCAGCAGTCATGAGACTATACAAAGTTTAGAAGATCACAATCAGAATCTGATGATTAGATGGCCTATTTAATTCATGTCATTTTCCCATTTTTTAACAGGGTTCGGAAAGTGATGTACTTGCTTCTGCATCACGACTTGAAGATGATGTCAACTTTTACCAAACAGTGAATCCTGATGTGGCAAAGCTTTTCCACATTGAGCCTGAAGTGAAACGGCCCGCCTTGGTCCTACTTAAGGAGGAGCCTGAAAAATTGATCCACTTTGGTTTGTTTCTCTAGTGTTTTTCTCAATTTTCATTTAATGCAAATTCTAATTGTCCGAATGAAGACGGAAAGGCCATGCCTCATATTGCTTATCATTTCTGCAGATGGTAAATTTGATAAGTCGTCCATATCTGAGTTCGTGTTTGCCAATAAGCTTCCTCTGGTTACCATTTTCACGAGGGAAAACGCTCCTGCAGTTTTTGAAAGTACAATTAAGAAACAGGTTCGGCAATCTTGAATTCTGAACATAGCATATATGCCTGTGATCCGTGACGGTGTATGTATGTATTTAAGTATATTGGAAATAACTGAGAAAGTTAATAGTTTCTTGGTGACGGTATTTACACTTTTAAATTTCTGCACTCAGTTGCTGCTGTTTTCTACTAAAAACGATACAGAGAAGGTTGTCCCAATTTTTCAAGAGGCGGCAAAGTCTTTCAAGGGAAAGGTATTGCCTCTAATTTTAAATAGCTTTGGACTTGTTTTTGGATAATGAAGTTTTGAATCTTCGATTGGTTTGTTCTGTGGATTTTTTTGTCATTGTCGTAAGAATGAAAACCGCTTCAGGGTTAAATAATATTTTCCTTTAGCTAGTTGGTTGTTATCTATGACGTTTACCGTTTTACATGTTCATAACATAGATTCAGTATGCTGAGATTGAAAAATTAGAGGTAGATTTAGTAGCCTTCCAATCTATTTCTGCCAGTTCGGTTGCTGGCTTTGAAAGTTTTAAGCAAGAGGACTCACAATGTCCTGAACTAGAGCTAGAACAGCTAACCCGGATTTAGGTATACTTCTGTCCTCTGAGCTGGAGGTACAAATGTAGAGAGTTTTTAGGTCCATGTGGTCTACAAAAATAGAACAAGAATTGGAACTGTAACTCCTGTCTTTACTTTAGCTACAGGGACAGTTTTACCGACCTAAGAGACAATAAATTAGAGCTGGAATTAGCTTATCCTATTTATTTCACTTCGTTGTAGGTACCTCTAGAAATCTTTGGAATTGAAGTTTAACTTTGCATTTTGGTCAAATTGAACCACTCATTCATATTGATTTTTCCTTATTACTTGTAGCTTATTTTTGTTTACATCGAAATGGACAATGAAGATGTTGGGAAGCCAGTCTCAGAATATTTTGGTGTTAGTGGAGATGCTCCGAAGGTAATCATTTCTCTTTTGCATCTCCTTACATCTCTCATTCTAATTCACAAATTTTAACGTTATTTTATCTGCTTAATTGATTTGGTGCTAATAATATCTCGTTTCTCACAGGTTATTGCGTACACTGGAAATGATGATGGCAAGAAATTTGTGCTTGATGGAGAAGTGACCGTGGATAATATTAAGGTTGGATCTCTCTCAAACTCTCAGAAAGATACCGGGTTACTTACATGTTTGATAAGCTTAGATGATAAATACTCGCTAATTTTAACGTAAATTCCTCAGGCTTTTGGGGAGGATTTCTTGCAAGACAAGCTAAAGCCTTTCTTAAAGTCGGACCCCATTCCTGAAACTGTAAGTTTTATAATTCATTCCTGAAACTGTAAGTTTTATAATTTAATTTTAAGGCGCTACTTTTTCCTGCAAGATTTATAGGCTAACTTTTATTTTATTATTATAATTCAATTGATGCAGAACGACGGTGATGTAAAGATAATTGTTGGAAATAATTTTGATGAGATTGTTTTGGACGAATCAAAGGATGTGCTTCTGGAGGTAAGAAATAATAAATATATTAGTTAGTTTATCTTTGCGAGAGGCTGAACTGATGCATGGTTATATGCCAGATTTATGCACCTTGGTGTGGCCATTGCCAAGCTCTGGAGCCAACATACAACAAGCTTGCGAAACACCTACGGGGCATTGAATCTATCGTTATAGCCAAGATGGATGGAACCACAAATGAGCACCCCAGGGCAAAGGTAATCCCAGAGTTGAATATTGTAAATTCATGATTGATACAAACTAACTCTATGCACGAGGTCCACCTTTATGGCTGCAAAGCACCATTTTTTTTGTTCATCGATCAATTATTGACGTGTGAAATCTATTATGCTTGTTTTCAATATACCATATAGCCAACTAGTCTCTGCATTTATTACACTCTTTTTGAAATCTTTATTGTTCACCGGAAGCGTAGACTTTGTAGTAAATATCTGTTCCTTTTCCTGTACAGTCGGATGGGTTTCCAACAATTCTCTTCTTCCCTGCTGGAAACAAGAGCTTTGATCCGGTAAGTGGTGATTCAGCGGTATAATAGTAGGTTCTGTATCTTTTTTCCTTCGTTTCTGGATATCATGTGGAGCATCTGGTTACTTGGTGTATGCAGATTACCGTAGACACTGACCGTACGGTGGTAGCATTTTACAAGTTTCTGAAGAAACATGCATCAATCCCCTTCAAGCTCCAGAAACCGACTACATCTCCGAAATCTGAGAGTCCTGATGCAAAAGAGACCTCGGATGGTACTCAGAGCACTGAAACTAGCACTAAAGATCTTAAGGATGAGTTGTGAGGAGTTTAATTTTTTTTCTTCTCCTGCTTTATAGCAAGGAATATTTATCAATAGATGACGATAGGATCAGACGGACTAGAAAAGGAAGAAAACAAACCCCTCTTCCTGGGAAAAAGGGACAAAAACGATTAAAAAAAAGAAAGAAAGAGTGCATCGAGTTAAAAGAGAGGTGTATTAACGCATTTAAGTTTTGAGTTTATATCCTGTAATAGAGTTCTTTTGAGGAATTAATAAAGACTCCTTTCTACCTCTTGATTCTTTGAGTGTTTATGTGGACTTCTATTTGCTTTTAACTGATTTGTACACAGCAGGACAGTTTTATTCTATTTTGTGTTGTGTTAGTATGCTAAGCTTTCTATTTTTTTTTCCTTCCCTTTTATTATTTCATTATTATTATTATTATTATTTTGGCTAACGTATGCTAAGTTTATGGGTGATGGTACAAATGTTTACTTTGTATACCTGTTTTTCTTTGGAACAAAATAACCTGGAAGATCAGAATTGGATGTTTAACCTGACAAACAGCATTAGTTATTTAACAGTAAAAGAGCTTGTGCTGGGAATCCGGAACTTTCCAACATTCTGGTTGTTTGATATTGTGTGTTAAAAGAGTATTGCCTATTGTCATCATCCACAAGAACATTGACCCACTAGAATCTCCACTTTTAGGTATTTCTCACGAGTCACGCCTAACTCACTTATCATATCACTACTTTTTGTGGTCGGAATTCAGAAAACGAATGGAAGTTAAAAAGGGCACAAGGAGTTGGGTGAAAGGAAAGAGATTATTGTGTTTAATTTTTTAAACAGCAATTTGCGTCTTTTATTTTTCTTGGCATTTTACTTGGAAAATTCATGCTCAAGTGGTTGTGTTAGGCACTTCTACACCAAGCTTAAGCAATTCGTTGTTTGGTTGTTTTCAACTCATTTATGGTGGGACTTGGGCGAGTGTTGCAAATTGGAATTCGTTTTCCACATGAAAAGCAAGTTTTTTTTTCTTTTTCTTTTTCTTTTAAATGGTGGTGTTATTTGTTGTGTTGTGTATAAGGAAAGTTAGTCATTAGTGCTAGATAAGCTGTATTATCATAGCTAACGGTGCTTAGTTTCATAGCATTAACTTATAATGAAATTCTTTCGTGGGCATTGCTTCTGATGAGAATTTTGATTAACTATTATAAACAGCCAGCTGTTCACGTGTTATTGTGGCTTAGAATCTAGTGATGGCATGTTTACTTATCAGAATTGAGGAATAAGAGTCAATTCTATGTTTACTTACTCTTTTTTATCTTAAAAAAGAAGTGAGATTGGTGGGTCCACTCAAATTTAGTTTTAAAAAATGGGACGGCACTCTTATGCCCCCGTTAAAATTGAGATTCTCATTCCTGATATTAATATTAAATTACTAGTATACCCTTATATTACTTATAAATATAAAATAAAAAATAATAATTACAATCTATATTTATTATTTTATTTGCCTAATATTATAGTATTAGCCTAATTATTGTTAACTTTAATATACTAAATATGTACTTTATTTTCTTTAATAAATTAATAATATATTTTTTTTATTTTTTAATACTATTTTTATTTTTATATATTTTATTTAAATGTTGAAAATTTATTATTTTAAATAATGGTACAATTTATATTTATTATCATATTACCCTATTATTATACTAAATATTTTAATAATGATTAATTTTAATATAACAAGTACACAATTTATTTTTTAAATTAAAGATATATAGTTGACTTAAAAGGTATATTAGTATTTTTATTCTAATTCATTTTTGTTATGAGTGTAAGTAAACATATGAATGAAATTTAAAATGATTTTAATTTCAAATTCTATCACTAAATAAATAACTTATTCTGACTCTGATTCTTCATTTTAAATCTTACTTGCTCCCGATCATGTCCACTTCAATTTATAAACATTTTTATTATGCGTTGATAGACATGCCGTGAAAGTTGTTTCCTTCTCAACTCTGTAATAGTGGAAGTCTAGCTAAGCTATCATGCCTATTGATTAGCGGTTAAGAAAACAATACGATGAATAAAGGTTTTTCTATTTTCTATTTTATTTGCTTAAGATAATAATTGAGGAAAGCTATTTTAAAAATAAAGGAGAAAAGAGAACACTTGAAGAAGGCGTTCATGGCTGGAGACCTATTAATTGAGTCTTGAAAACAGAGAAAATTTATTTTTAGAGTTTATAAATCTGAATTTTTACCTTTTATTTTTAATTAATACTTTTTTAATTAATAAAATTATTTGATTAAAAAAGATTAATTAATAATAAAAAATAAAAATATAGAGACACACTTTATAATAATATTTGTCTTCTTTTCTCTTGAAAAACTATGATATATTTATATTTTTTCCTAAGCAACTGTGATAGATTTATTAATCACGAGACGTTGAGCCGCATTAAAGCCCTTATGATAAGAATTTATTGTACGCTGTCATGGTCAACATTTCACATTCTGTCCATGCATTTAAAAAGGAAACTTATTTACCAAAAGAGATGCGTACTAATTAGGAAACTTCCTACACCGACAATAAATAAATCCAATATATACAAAAATAAAAATGAATAAATAAATAAAGAAAATAAAGAAAAGGAAATCTCTACTCCCATTTTTGGCGTGTATAACAAATCACCATTTATTCAAGTAAAGGGTCTTTACTACATTTAATAACGTTAATTCTGAAAGGAAAAAAAAAAAGAAAAAATCATATATATATATATATATTTTTAGGATCTAGAGTATAAATTTTCCCTTCAAATTCTTTTTTTTAAAGTTATTTTTCAAAATTTTCCCTTCAAATTCAAACCACCCATGACACTTTTATTTCCCCAATGTATTAAAAAAAAAAAAAAAAAACCAGTATAACTCCTGCTTCTTTGCTCTCGCAAATTCCCAATCCAAATCCCCAAACAAAACCATCCTGTATCTTTCACAAACTTCCGGATTCTTCTTCCCCAAAATCCTCTCTCTCTCTCTCTCTCTCATTTTCCGTTCCCGTCAATCTAGGTTTCACATTCTCCTTTTCGCGTCTCCCGAGATCTTCTCTTTTTCAACCGCCTTTTTCTACTTCCTCTCACATTCAGATCTTCTCTTCTCTCCGCTGCTTATCACACTCCGTCTCGCTCCATTCTTCATCAAGAAGTCGAAATCCAAGATCCGCATTGCCTGTTTGTGAATCTCTTCACGACTCTGAGAAGTTTCCGCAATGGCGAAGCGATTTGGCGAATTCTTCTTTACGCTTCTTCTGCTCATCGTTTGCGTAGGATCTGCAGTGTCTGCGCAGTCGCCGGAGAGCGCACCGAGTCCGGCGCCGGCACTCGGCGCGGATTCGCCTATTCCTGTGTCTTCCGCTCCAACTGTCGGCGCTCCGGTGTCTGATTCTCCGACTTTTTCGCCGCCGTCTCCTCCGCCGGAGACTCACGCTCCAGGTTCCTCTCCAACATCTTCTCCTCCTCCTTCTCCTTCCACGGAGAAATCTCCAGTTCCGTCTCCTTCGCCGGATGCGAGCGACATCAACCACAGCGACATGGACGTGGACGGAGAAGTACCGGAGGGATCGTCCGGAGGAATGAGCGGAGGCAAGAAGGCAGGGATTGCGGTCGGAGTACTTGCAGCTGCTTGTTTGGTTGGATTGGGAGGATTTGTGTACAAGAGACGCCAGGACAACATTCGCCGATCTCAGTACGGCTACTCGGCGAGGAGAGAGATACTTTGAGATCTAATTGCTTCTCTTAGAGGTCACTGAAATTTTTTTCCGCCATTTTTAGTTTCTTTATGTCTCTGCCATATACCGTGCTTTAGTTCTGGAGATGGTGAATTCGATTCTTGATATTCTTTACCGGGGATTATATGAATTTTCGATTTGATATGATTTCTTTGTTGAAAAGAGATATCGTAGTCCATAATAGTCAGTGATGTTTTTCATTTTTAGAATATTGAATTTGGAGCCATTATGTAGCTTGATTTTGCTTTTGGTTGATCGGATCTGCGCTTATGCCTCATTATCAATTCGTGGTGATGGTCTGTCGCTGAGCAAAAAGAAAACATATAATTCCATTGGTACTTCTCTTTCTCTCAGCAGAAACAACTCAAGTCGTATATATAAAAAAAACGCTTTAATAAAAGTTTAGAATTTAAATTTTTACGATAAAAGACACTGTAGTAATATAATTTGTCATGAATTGGCCCGTTTATTTCACCGATTCGAGTTTAGAATTTGAGTTTTACTACAGTAAAAAGTTCTCAGAAATAATTACATCTAATTTTTTTATTACAGTATAAAGTTTTCACATAAAATTACATTTCAACTCAAATTAAAAACTCGAATCAACGAACTGGGGTGATTTTTACTTCCTTTCTTTTTAGTTTTTCTTTTTCTTTTTGATTTTTTGCAGTAAAAACAAAAAGTTTCTGAAAACAAAATGCATGTACGGGAGTGCTTTGGTGAACATTTGACTTTCTTTTTTTGGTTAACACATTTGACTTTCTTTGGAAAGAAAGAAAAAAAAAAGAGTTAATGTTTGGCTGGTTTTCACATGAACTTTTAGAGGAAGCAATTTAAATGTGAATAATGCGTAAATCACGTTCTTTTCGTATTAATGAAGTCCGCTTTTGAATTTGAATAATTTATCAAATGGAAAGAGATTAATTAAAGATGGATTTAAGACTACTCAGAATGTCTCGTCTTATTTTCTTATCAGTGTTTGAAATTCTCTCTGAATTACTGATTATTAAATGGTTGACTCTCGGCTATGCAGTTTATCTATGTTTCTACCGAAAAAAAAAAATTATAATAATGTTAATGCATGTACCAAAAGGGAAAAAAATCCTTAAAAGAAAAAAAGAAATAACAGGAAAAGCTAAATGCCTAAATCAACATGTATTAACATGCAAATAGTTGTCGTCGTTGTTGTTGTTTCTTTTTTTTTTTTTCTTTCGGCCTGCCTTTTCTTTTTGAGATTTTTTTTCCTGCCTTTTGAGTGAGACTGAAAACAAATATGTAGCATCAGCCGCTCAATTCGTCTATCTACCCCTTTTGGAGAAATTAATGTCAGAAATTTTATCTGATTCGACTTGACTTTTGAGTTGGTACACGAATATTGCTATGGTACACTTCAGGGGAAAAAAAAACCTTCTCTGGGGAGCATAAAACATAGCATGAGACCTATGAATTGGATCCACCTTTTATGAATTATAGTGCATAACACCAATGTTTGCCTCTTCAAACAGTTTTCTTGTCACACGTCTTTGACTGAACGTGACACTCTTCAATAACAGAAAATCATAATCGCATATTATTATTGAAGTTGATACATAATGTCACAATTTATTTGTTACATTGATATACAATCGAGGAATTTTAAGTAATCAAATTTACAGAAATTTATCGCGCTAAATCTCTCTTGCGCATTAAAGCAGTAAAACTTAAGATTTCCGATAGATAACGATTAACGTGGGCATTACAATGTTGTTTCTGACGGTAGATGAGGAACATCGTCCATATTACGCTGCTTTTTTTATGCATTATTAAATGCATATGTTGGAGCTTAATATGTGCCTAATTTTTTGCTAAAATTTGTCCGTAATTTAATATCTTCTGAGCTAGTAGTAAACATATAACCGAAATGGGGAATGCCCTCTCACTAAAAATGCCTTTATTTTTCTCTCAAACAGCAAAATGCAAAACTCTTTTTATTCTTCTGTAGGAGGGTCAACCCAGCGGCCATGATCTTTGATTAGCTGGATCAAGGCATCGGTGGCATGTTCCATCTCAATTCCACGCTTCACCACAGTCTGAAACACAATCCAATATCCCATCAATCCAGGCCATTTTTTTTTTATATTTTTTTAAATCAAATCCACAATAAAGAATTAAATGTTTAAAGAAGTATGTGTAATAAAAAGCTCAAGGAGTGCCTCGATTAATTCCTTTTGCTGCATAATGTCCAATTCTATGGGTTGTAAGGAGAAACCAAAATTAACTAATTAAAAAGACCCTAGAGCTAGGCCGGTTGTCTAATCATTTTGAGCCATCGAATCAAATAATTTTAGGACTTAAGGAAGAGAAAGGAACAATTCTTAGAGTGCGTTAAATAATCCAAAAATTTCCACACCGGACCAATTATAAGTTAAGTGGGAAATGAGAATATACCTTCCCAACGTAAAGGTCGATCTTTCCTGGAGCACCGCCAACGTACCCAAAATCTGCGTCAGCCATCTCTCCAGGTCCATTTACGATGCAACCCATGATTGCAATCTATCACATGAAAAAGAAAGAAAATGAGTTCTTTTTTTTTAAAGTATTGTTTACAGTTAAATAAATTTTCGTTCAAGACCATCTGATCACAAAAAACATGAATTAAGTAATTACCGAAACGCCAGGCAGATGTAATGTCTTCTCCCGAATCTGTGCACTTATTTCTTGAAGGTCAAACAATGTTCTGCCACAGGATGGGCATGAAACGTACTCCTGCAACAACATTTAAGCAATGATAAAATTATTTCCACTATCATATCTTTTTCGTGTTCTAAATCCTTTTACATGTAAAAAAACCCCGTACTGTCTTTGTGTTCCGCATTCTACACCCTTGAAGTAGGTTGAAAGATGTGTTTCTAAGAAAATCAAAATCCTTATCTGGTGCTTCCAATAGAACACCATCACCAAGTCCATCTACTAATAGGGCCCCAGCATTACTACCGGCTCCAATGACCAAGTCATCCCTGCAAGAAAATGGTCTCAAGTCAAAACTCCTCACCTCATGCCTTCTTATCTTAGGACAATAGGAGAATGTATCTCGTAATACCTGTGGATTCCATTTGGAAAGCTAATGTGGTGTATTACAGGAAAGTTCAGGGCATTATCTGACAAATACTCGAAAAGCCTACATCCAATGTAAAGTTACAAGACAACGTTAGGAGTGGCCAAGACAGGCAGAAGCAGGGAAAAAAATGTTAATACTAGAAATTAAGTACTGGATTACAAATTTAAGCAATTATTTATGCTGTCAGATAACTTCTTATTACCTCCTTGCTGCATGCACTCTGCTAGTTTTATCTTCACCAAAGGGAAGATCATGAAGAATCATAGTAGCATCGATGCCTTTGAGAATCTCCAGTTCTTCATAAGACTCATCGCCACGTAAGGAGACAACCAAGCGTGTTCCTGAAATGGAGTAGGTTAACGTGTATAAGTAGGGTACACGATGGGAATTATTGCCCAAAATGAAATTATTCCTTCCAATTAATGGACCCTAGCCCTCCCTCTCCCTCTAGGAAACAAGAAATATAGCTTGGTTATGGGAAGAAAATGTTAAACAAAATACTAGTTCTTCAAATAGCTTTTTTGACATCGTTGTACCTTCTGGCAAAAGCTTGTATGCACCAGTTGATAACTCCTTGAGATTTACTAGAACCATGGCGTTCGGCAATGGCTTTGTTAGCTGCTCTGACAAAGGAGTTATGACCCCCATACTTATGTCTATCAACCTTTTGAGAGCCAGTCGCTGATTAAATAAAAAGGAAGATCAAAGTCATTCCCATCCTCTTTAAGTTGCAATATTGCAAGAGCACATTAAGGCATTGAATAAAATTATGAGAGGATAGGCTAAAAAGAAGATTAAGAGATATAGAGCAGGCTATTGATCTGCTCTGACAAAGGAGTTATGACCCCCATACTTATGTCTATCAACCTTTTGAGAGCCAGTCGCTGATTAAATAAACAGGAAGATCAAAGTCATTCCCATCCTCTTTAAGTTGCAATATTGCAAGAGCACATTAAGGCATTGAATAAAATTATGAGAGAATAGGCTAAAAAGAAGATTAAGAGATATAGAGAGGCTATTGATCCTAAAATGAAAAAACAAAAAAAAGGGTTCAGTAGGATTCTCACAGCATCATGATCGTCAGCTGGTGGAAGTTCTCTCAATAAGATCGAGTCTACTGTTGCCAGGTCCTGAATCAATGGAATAAAAACTTGTCAACGAAACAAAGATCAATTTCTTGCAATTGCTGAACAGTACAAAATGGAAAATTTATGGACCTTAAATGGCATGCCAATAGCAAGTTTTGCTGCTAGTGACTTGTAGAGGAGCTCTGGCGTCTGGAACAAACAATAAAGTTTAGAAATTTTTCTGGTTTCCAGATCAGCTTTCCCACATCCACAAAAGTGAAGAAAAGAAAGAAAATGGGATAAACGGACGTATGATACCAAGTGCTACCTTTAATTGATCAAGGGACACAGACATGAGAACGGAACCATCACGATGCAAGACACCTCTGTAGTCTACCTCTTCACCCTGTCAAATGAAGTATCAAAAAGTTGTCTAAAATAATATAACTTAGGCAGCAGGATTTCATCAAATGATTTCAACTCTCTGAGATATTAAAAGCTAACCTCTTTCTGAATAGGCAGTTGACCAGATCGACGTTGGAAATCGAAATAGTGTCTGTGTTTCTCTTCAAATGGAGCCTGAGGCAAATTCATAACACCAAGGAAGTTGGAGTGGATTTAAATTTAACTTTGAAGTATCTCAATTAAATGAAAGGATATTGTAGAATCCTACCACCCCTTGCTGAAGATCAGCAACTTTTGTGCCAAGGTTGGCCAGACGTCTGCAAGGATCTATCTCCTCCTCAGGTGGTTCAGTAAGTGAAACCCTAATAGTATCACCCAAACCATCCTGCACGTCCAATACCACATTCTCTTACTAAACAATTATCTAAAAAATCCTTTCTGAATCCAGCTATAAAATTATGGTGGCTTTAGCAAACTGAAAGCAAACCAAGAGTGCATCAAATTATGAAGCTAAACCAGGAAGGTACCTGGAGAAGGGTCCCAATGCCAATTGCAGATTTCATCCGCCCATCCTCACCTTCTCCCGCTTCAGTAACTCCGAGGTGCAGCGGGTAGTCCCAGCCTTGAACATACATTTCAGCTACAAGGAGACGATATGCTTGGACCATGACAACTGGGTTGCTTGCTTTCATTGAAAATACAAAATTATGGAAATCCAACTTCCTGCAAATCCTCGCAAACTCAAATGAAGACTCAACCTGTTTGAGCAATAGCATTTAGAGTGACACCCTTTAGTTTTGAGTGGAAGAAGTCAGTCTAAAAAAGATTCGGCTGAAGGACAGAAAAAGTTTCTTCACCATTCCCCTTGGAGAGTCTCCATAGTAGCTCATAATACGATCTGAAAGGCTCCCATGGTTTGTCCCAATACGCATTGCTCTTCCATACTTTTTACATTTCTCAACCAACGGAGTAAAAACCTGGTATTGTAAACCACAGAGCAATTAAGTAGAATATAAATCTACATTGGTGAGTATCGAATAACCATCAACCACTTCTTTATTAAGCAAAGTATTATGTCCGCACAACATGATTTTTTAGCTAATGAGAAGACAGCTGAACAGCTGAGAAATGAACGTACAAGTGACAGATAAGAATGAGACATAGGGTCTTTATTAATGAATGTTCATCCACTCAATGAATGTGTGTTTAAAAGCTCTTGTGAATTTACTGTTCGTAGATGACTCATATGTTTAAAAAGTAAAGAGCATTGAGTGGATAAATGAAACAACATAGTCTACAAAACTCTTACTTGTTTCATCCTCTTACTCTATTCATCATCTTCCTAAGATATATTCACTGTAACGTACACATTCTTGTTTTAAATGTTTACTAAACAAAAAAGGGTGGAGCATAGTTAACGAAATAGCTCATGAAATTAAGAACGCTTTGGACATTAGACATTATCAGAGGTCATGAATTGATAATGAATGGCTTTAACCTGCTCAATATGCTCAAGTTCTTTCTGATAGTCCTCATCAGTGTACTCTAGCTTCTCAAACTGAGCCCGTCTGTCAGCTGCAACAAGAAACTTACGTGAATTTAGAAGAATTGACATCATTTACTCGAGAAACAAAACAATCGAATAAAAAATTCTTACCAAAATTTCCAGGGTTGACACGGATTTTGTCAAAGCATTCAGCAACTCTCAATGCTACGGAAGGAGCAAAATGGATATCTGCCACTAGAGGTATGTTGTAACTGCACAAGCAAATGACAATAACATTATCTATCCCCATACTCCGAGTGTAACTAAAATTCTCACACATTGATCATAAAATGCCTCGAACTTACTTCTTCTGCACAAGTGTATTCTTAATTTCAAAACATGCATCTGCTTCTTTCTTCCCTTGAACTGTTATTCGAACAATATCTGCTCCCTTGTCTGCTATTCTCATTACCTATAAATACAATAGCAATTTTGATCAAAACGGTCGTTACAATCAATAACTAACATTTGGGCTATTGATAAATCAGCCGAACCTTAACCTCTTCTATTATTTCGAAAAACTTGTTTGCAATATATTCTCAACAGCTCAAAATATTATTCAACCTTTACCAGATAAATAGCCACACGTTTTAAAAGAATTCATAGTGTCAAGTTAACTATTCAAGTAGCTACTTTTTAGATAGCCACACTACACAACATAAAATGCCAGACATTCTTAGCATAGCCAGAGATGTGATTAACATAATGATACACAGTCAATCAAGTTTCCAAAGAGAAAATAAACAGAACACTCATTTACAAATAGCTGATCCACGAAGGAAGTGAAAGAACCTGTTCAACTGTTCCAGCAACATCCTTTGTGTCACTTGTGGTCATTGTTTGAATCCTTATGGGATGTTCACTCCCAAGAGCCACATTTCCCACCATCACAGTTCGCGTTTTCCTTCTCACAGTTTTGTGTAGGGATTCACAGTACTTTTGTCTTGGTACTACATCCAGAAAAAAAATGAACAATAAAGCTTTTTTTTAAAAAAAAAAGGGGTTAGAAAATAGACTTTGAATCTCCATAGATACCAAAACACGAGGCCTAAAGGGAAAACATTGAACCAAGAGTTTCTCTTCTTTTTCCTTCTTTCTTTCAATTTCTCCCAAATAGCACCAACTACAAACAACACAGAACATCTTAAATTATGGAAAAAAATTATTACCTAACAAAGGGCTTCCTTCTGATGTGGATTGAAGTTCAGCAATATCTGAACCAGGATTTGAATTCCTTATAACCGAGACTCTTGTTCTAGCGAACTTAACCCTCTTCAAATCAGAAACCTTCACAAAATCCAAGCTCTTGGCAAAGCCCAAGCCGGAGTCCCTGCTTTTCAGACCCGAAAACGCAGCTGGTACAGTTCCGGCAGCCATTTCCTTAACTGCTGAGACTTTACCTTCACAATTCCACAACAGAATTCAATATGAATTTCACTTTAACTGGTCAATAGTATTACTATCTCGTGTTTTGGAATTGACACGCCTTGTTTGGTTGCCACGAAAATCAAGCTAATTAAATTAAAAAGTTCAGATTTCGACGAAACTCACTCCTCCACCAGCGGGAAACTATAACAAATATATAATAACCAACAAAAGTCAAACCTTTAAAAGAAAAAACTACAAAAGTCACTTTCCTCTTAACAAGTTTCCAAGCAACCAAACAGCGGCTTATACCAGCAAACCAGACGAATTTAAATCAAAATCATATTAAATAGAATTTTAAAAAGAACAATTCACATAACGACCAGAATTACCTGAAATTGAACGTAATTGTTAACTGAAAAGACTCAAAATTTTTACGGAATAAAATGGCTCTTTTTGTTCTGAAGATTAACGACGAGCAGTACAAGCTCGAAAGAAGCTTCAATCAGTGAGAGATAGAGATTAAGGATTCCGGTCAAGGAGAAAAAAAAAAAAAAAGCTTTACCTGGAAATATAGCAAATAATCTGTCAGTCTCCGAGCTTGGAAATGTCTTCGATCAAAAGCGGCAGAGAAGACTCTGGAGGAGAACGAAACTGGTGGTCGTTATTAGGCGAGGAATTTCACAAGTTCAGAAATGGTTTTCCTTGTTTTGTTTGGACATCTATTTTTTCCCAGAAAAATTGATAATTTTCAGGGAAAATTTTTTGTGCAGTTTGCGGATGGGGATTTGTGAGAGGGAGAGTTAAATGACAAAAACGTTCTCCCTCGGCATCTTTATCTATTCTTATATATTTGCAGCCGTTAGTCGTTGACTGCTTTTTCTTTATGCCTGTGGTCCTCGTATTTTTGCGCTATCTTCTTATTTCCCCCAAATCTTTATATATTTGTAATTGAGCCTTTTATCGACTTTATACCACTATAAAACGTTCATAAATATTTTATTATTATTAAGTTTTTGAGGAATTACTGCTGTCATGTAATAATTGAGTAGCAAATAATCATCTTGAAGATGGTGCCATCTTTATTCCTAATCCTTTTTAGCCGTATTTGTCACATGGGATAAGTAATTGAATTACGATAGTACGTGATGGGAACTTTAAAGGTAATAATTTTTAAATACCTGAAACCTTTTCCTTTTTCACTCTTAACATGTTTGATTACTATTTGCTCCCTCCATTATTATATGTTCTCAACCACCTGTTTTGGACTTTGACCGAAAACAATATTGGGTTTGTAATTTGCAGGTCTCTTAAGGACTAAAGTGCAAAAATTACGTAGACACAGCGAGACAGCAGCCAAGTAGGAACCAAAATATTTTTTAATTTTTATTTACTAAAATTTTCTTTAGTATATCAGTTTATAACTTCTAACAACCAAAGTAGAGAGAGCACGTGAATCAAAGGAGAAGGCTGAAGGCGGCTGGCCTTTTATTTCGGTAGTCCTCCTCTTTTTAATATTTATTTTTTTATATGAAAATATATATATTGATATTTATTATTTGCATATATATATATATATTTAAATAACCTTTCACGAGTAGCATTAGGACATGTACATGATACTTGAATTTCCGGTACAAAATGTGCTAGCCAAGTGGGCTCATGTGTAATACTGACATTTCATTACAAGACAATATTATAATTAAACTGTTTTCATTTTCTTAGGAAACTAAGATCGGTATAGTATTATAGCTATGTCTACAAATCTTGAACAAATAGTCTAGTTTTCACAATGTAATGAAAATTGGTCAAAAACAGGGGAAAAAAAAAATCAATTGAAGATGAGATGGTCCAAGGTCAACACCCCTTGGTTGGAAGAGTAGATTGGATCCTCATTCACTGATTTTGGTTGTTGAATCGTAATTTTGCAAAAACTTGTTGGATTATTCAAATAAATATTAAATATAGTAAAGATAGAAAGCTTAGTTGAATATTTTGGAAGTCAAAGAAAGAAAACAAACCACCTGTACTAGAAGCTGATTTATTATGGCTAGTGCTCGGACCTTTTTTTATTAAGTGCCAATTTTGAATGGAATCCTGCACAGCCTCATAATGGTAAAACCATAAAGCAAAAATATTATATTGGCCAATTTAAAAAAGCTTAAAAAAAAAAAAAAAAAAACTTTGATGGTGGTATGGTTTCAGAACAATTGCGTCGAAGGCAGATAGATATACATTGGGCTCATTATAGAATGACGCACGTTTCTTGTAAAGATTATAAAATAGAGAAGGCTTATGCAAAAGCACTATGAATTTTAGTATAATTAATTAAAATAATTGATTATAAAAAAAATAAAAATAAAAAACTCATTAAAATACAATGAAGTAGACGTGGTAATAGTTTTACCAATGCCCATATAGAAATAAATCCCTTGGCCAATGCCATATGATATCGAACCTACAAACAAACATGGGATGGTTGTAGCCTACCGGTAAACTCGCACTCCAAATCTTTAATGCTGGGGTCTATAATTTGAATTTCCCATCCCAGTTCCAAAAATAACAAAAACAAAAAACATGAGCTACACATGGTTTCAAGTACCCATCGCTTCTTCGACTAAAGAATGCCTTTCAAGGATTGCAACAGTCTCCACCATTGCACTGCAAATTCAATTGCCAAAACATAACACAGTTAAATGCTCGTAAATTCACATGTACGCATGCCCAAAACAAATACAAAATCAGGGTGTGACAGGATAAATAAGGGAAAGTAGGATATTTAGACTTTACCTTCCTGGTCTGAGGATTTTGTACTTCCCTAGTCTGGTGAGGTTCACAACAGTTGAGCCTGCTCTACCTGAAGGAAGCTCGCCGCCATCATAAACATAGGCGCAGTGTTCCCACAGGTTCTCAAAATCCTTGATGCTAACACTACTTGGCTGCCCACTTAGATTTGCGCTTGTAAGAGCCAGCGCGCTTCCCAGTCCACGGGCAATGACTCTTATGAAGTCATAGTCGGGCACTCGGACTCCAATACTCTCCAGTCCCGGATTTAGAGACTTCTCAAGAATGCTTGCCTCCCCTAGAAACATCAGAAGGACCACAAAAAGGTTTTCCAATACGTCATCACCTTAAGTATAAACGTTACTATTCATGACAATTCTGAAGATCTCAAGTGACATGATAGCCACCCATTATTTCACGGAAGTAGCAAGACATTGTCTATGTATCACATCTTTTACACTAAAAAGTCATAATTGACATTGTCTGACACATTTTTTAGACTAGAAAGTCATAATTTCTTCTTTTCCAGGAAAGTAAAACATCTCAAGAACAAACCTCGCTTTAGTACAACAGTGACAGGTCCTGGTAGGAGAGACTCGAGTAATCCATTTGGCAAATGCTCCGTATCAGCAAACCGCTTTATTTCTGATACATCGCCAACGCATATTGCAAGTGGGCTTGTGTGTTTACGCCCTTTAATCTTGTATATCCTATTAACTGCTTCCAAAGAACTGCAATTAGGCTCCCATTGAAAGGAACCAAAAGTTAGCATTAGTGTAGCACTGACCATAAAAAAAAAAAAAGGCTGGCCAATATATTGCAAAACTTGGCAAGTGGTAACTTTACTTCTTTTTTTTTTTTTTTGCCAATTATTATTATTATTATTTTTTTGCCAATTAAGTGGTAAGTTGACACTTGTATAAGATTGCTAGTCATAAATTTCCATTTGGAAAGTTCACTTAATATCCAATGTTAATATACCCGTTACCTTACCACTATTACTTTGGTTTTGGTAGTTACAAATAACTTTCAAGTTGACAACATGACTATGTTTCAGAAGATTTTGACTCAAACAAAAGTTTAAGCGGTCTCCAAATGCAAGTTAAAAAAGAAGAAAAAAAATATCACCAACAACAATGTCTCTTTGAGGAATTCAGTCAAACAGTTCCAAGGCAAAAAACACGGTACAGATAATTCGAAGCACCGAACCATACCAAGCATCGCAGGCGAATCCATAGAGAGTATCAGTGGGCACAGCAATGACCTTTCCAGCTCTAAGAGCTTCGCAAGCCTCCTCAGCGTGAGTCTCGGAGGCCGGAAGAACCACCCCACATATATTCTCGACGCAAACGCCGTTTTTCTCAGAACTCAACGCCATTTTCTTCCCAAAGCTTGCTCTCGGAACCGTATGATTTCGCGAGAACGACACAAACCCAATGCTGGGTACGCCTGATAAAGTCACGTAATTCAGTTCAACATGTGAAACTTCAAGATAAAATAGAATTGCATAGAGAGAGAGAGAGAGAGAGAGAGAGAGAGAGAGACTGACGGTGGATGTGATTAAAGAGCACCTCTGATACTGAGATGGGCAGTGAAATAAGGAAGCAAAGGAGCGTTGAACAGAGGAAGTCTAACTGCAATTCTCGTTGGGAAGTTCATGTTCATCCTACTCTGCTTTACTGACCGTTTGTCTGGTCATGTGTCACCAGTCAGTCACCCCTACGCACGGATAGATACCATACGATGCCCTAGAAGGAAAAGAAAAATGCGGCTCGTCTCAAAATATTGTCGTTTTGACGTCGAATTTTGTTATCTTTGCGAGAAAGGACTCGGGTCAGCTGTCCAATTTTGGTCCCTATAATGATACGTCATTTGAAAATTCTGAAATTCTTTTTCAACTGATTTTTTTTCGTAGTTTAGTATTTGAATCTATTAGATGAAATGATAAAATGTGATTTTTTTTTTCGAGAATTAATATGTGATTGTTTAGATATCTTTTAGAAAGAAAAAATTAGACATATGATTTGATTCTCTCAAAAATAACGATACGTCATTTGTTTCAACTGATTTTTTTCATAGTTTAGTATTTGAATCTATTAGATGACATTGTTTAGATGTCATTTACAACAGAAAAAATTAGACATGTGATTTTGATTCTCTCAGAAAGCATGTGTTTTACTGAAAACGACATCCCGTTTGTTTTCTCTTGACGACATGCAGTTTTTAGTTCAATTTCTCCGTAGTTTGATTTGGAAACGACACATCAGTTGTGGCTTTCGTTTGTCGTGGAAGTTCGTTCTCGTTCGTTGTTTCAGTTTGATCTGTATAAGCCTAACAAGAGACACGTAGTTGTTTGTATTGAAGCTAACTAAAGTATTGTCGTTTCTTACTTAAAAAACAAATTATCCATCATTTCGGGAATCTTTTAGAAAAAAATAAATTATAAACTACATGTGGTTTCATTTGATAAGTTTTTCTGTCGTTTAATCACGAAAACGAGGCCTTTGTCGTCTGCAAGTTTTTGTCGTTCACATGAAAACAGAAAAAAAGTTAGCTGTCGTATATGCATAGACGACTGTGCATGGTTTTAAATTTTGAGTGCGTTTAGAATTTATTTTAAAATGATTTTATTTTTAATAAAAAATAAAAATGAGATTATTTTGAGAATCATTCTGAGACCGATTCTGAAATTGTGTTTGGTTAAATTTTCAAGATATTATATTGAGTATAATAAAAAAATAAAATCATATTTATTAATTAATATATTATAATATTGTTAATAAGTACTAAAAAATAAAAATTCAACCGTTTTTTTAATTTTTTTACAAAAATTATTTTCACTGTTTTCGTTTTTAAAATATTTACTAAACAAATTCATTTTCATCTTCATTTTTTAATTTTCAAAATACGTGAAAACCGTTTTTAAAAACAGTTCCATTCTTCTAACTCGATAATATAACATTTCTTTTAACAATTTGCATATTGAAGCCACATGTCGTTTCCTGCAAAGAAGATTTGCTCCCTGTTTCTGTGTAAACATCTCGTCTAATCTAAATCATTCGTCGTTACGTGACAACAAGAAATGTTACTCAACTTAGATTTGTCAATAAACCAAATGTCGGTTTCATATGAAACGACAATGTCGGCCATTTCGGTAAACAAAATAACAAAGGGGGTATTTCGTATTTATATAAGAAAAAACGATTCACAGCTTGTCAGAAAATGGCATGTCGTTTGTTATAGAATGGGTTCGCCTCAAAATTGGTAACCAAACTGGATAAGCTAAGAAAAGAAGTTGAATCATTCACATTTGTAATGAATACTGTAATAAATAAACAAATTGTGAAGCATTTATGGAGATGACAAGTGTTGAACAAGTTTAATAGAAACGTCGCTCATCTCAAATTTGGTCAGATCACACTACCGCGTGACAATGTTGAAACTTACGACATGATCATCATCATCATCTTCATCAACAACATCATCAATTAGTCGTGTTGGGCATTTTCAACTGAGAATTTATGTCAAGCATGAGATTTCATTTTAAACTTTCTTCTTAAGCATCTGATTGACACTACAAATAGAAGCCTGTACAATTGGTGTAAAAATATTTAAGATCCTGGCAAGTAGCAGCCCATATTACCAAAATCAAGAATGCTCTCGTCTAGATTGAAATAAGTTCTCCACAACTGCTTAAAATATATTGTATGAACCATCAATAACTAACTCAACTCCTACTGAAAGTACCTGGGATTTGGCCTACAGTTTGGAGGCTATATACCCTATCTGAATTTTTTACAGTTCCTGGGATTGGCTTGGCCTGGTCACCACTCACCGCATTACTTGGGGAGCGTGGCTCTGCTGCGATGAAGCTCGCCATCTTCTTTTCCATCTCAAGAACTCAACAATGATGGAGCTCCCGCTCATGGAAACACCGAGCCCAGCAAATGTTGCAAGCAGAATACACAAAACTGCTTGCACATGAATCTGAGTTCACAAAATAATTCACTATTAAAACAAGTATATGAAATGAACAGATCTTAAAATAAGTAATTGTGTACAGGGTTTTCAATTTTTTTTAATAATACTATTGATTAATTAATTTTTTCAGAGCGGACATCGTCCTTCGTCCATTCAGATTAATCTGTGTTCAAACCAAGGTCCATGCAAGCACCATGTTTTGAGGAAATCAGAAATAAAGCCAGTATAAACTTGGACTGGTTTCAGTAAATTGAGAGAAAGAACATCATTGGGATTTCACTAACACCGCACACATTTTATTTCTGATTCAAGACCATCCCGATAATCTGAATCTACCGCACATAAATAAAATGAATTTGAGAGAAAATTTAAGGTCAAATTTGCCCACGGAACAGTAGTAACTAACTACTTCTCAATCTATTGTTTCTTTTTGCAAAGGGTTTTCAGCACAAATGCTGGCAAATATTTGAGCTTCCATTAAACAAAAACAAACAGTACAGAGGGACACATCTTACCAAGGAGTAAAATATATGAGCAAAAAGAACCACCAGAGCAAATTGAATCGATGCGTAAACCCAGACAAATCTTCTCTTCACTGAACAGAAAAGGCGTTAGGTAAGTGTATACAAATCCCCAAGAATTTATATCATCATCTAGGGCTGTGAAAAACAACACAAGAAATTCACGAGATACGTGGTAATATTTATCTCTATTACATCGTAGTTCATAGTTAGTGACTAATCCTAGCTGCTACATGGGCTATTTATATTTCTCGAGTGTTTTCTAATTCGACACATCGTGGTTCTTCACCAAAATGTGTCACAATTGGTCATATAGCCCTTTTGCTTTCCTAAGTTGCCAAAATTTTAAAAGTTTCAAAGGTTCTTTTTAGGCATACCCATGGTTGATGCAGTCATAGATGAGAGGAGACCCAGTACACAGGAAAATGGCAGAGATATGGCAATTGCTCCTGTATCCATTTTACCCACCTGTACACAGTAGATAACTACATATTACATCACTGTCACCAAGGACATATAAATGTAGAAATGAAAGGACTATAAGAGCGAAATCTGATGTTACCAGCAACTGCTCAAGAAAACAAAAGTAGGCAAGCATGCTGACAATGACAAGCACAGGCACTTCCTGCCAAACCCTAATAAGTTTTGAATTAAAAAATAATTAAAAAAAGTTAGTGCATGAACATTTCTTACATTTAGTATATAAGATAAACAAACAAAAATGTAGAAAGAAGAAAAGAACATCAGAAAAAACAGTTTCCTGTAGTGACTTTTAGTTGGAATTGTATATTAGGTGAAACATAAAGTAGTTTTTTAACACGTAAACATAATTGAAGCATGAAAAATATCATGTTAATGCAGTTATGTATAGCATAGAATGATGGTGACAGACAAAACGTTCTATTGGTACACAATAATGAAGACTGGCAAGCTAGTCGACAGAATCAGGAACTTTCTTCCGGATTCCAACAAAAACAAGACAATAAAGTAATCTTCGTCTATACATAAGGATATCACCTCAACTTTGGACTCAAACTTTTCGCAGCATAAAATCCTCTCTCATTTCGCAAGTTCTCAACAATGAACAGCAAAATGTAATCATTTTTTTTTCAGGCACAAACACATACAGATGCATATGTATGACTGTAGGAGTCTGCGTTACTATGACTGTAGGAGTCTGCGTTACTTGCCTGAATCCACTAGCATCTGCTATCTGAGATATACCAGCTCCAGTGTTTCGAGTTTGGATGCTTTGGATTCGTAAAAGGGTGACAGATAGGTTCCGAACCTCTTGCTTGCAAACATCACAGGTCTTGTTACCTTTGATGCTGAACCATTTTATGGCACATTCTTTGTGGGCCAGAGCAAGTTCGCCTTTGCAGCTGCATTCCATCTTCAGAGTCTCACCCCCTTCACATAGTTCAACCATACAAATTCTACATACAGCCTCTTCTTCGGGTATGTCTTCACCATTGGCATCGTCATTTTCTAAGCCAACCATGAAATTAGCATAGGACATAAGTTGGTTATCGCAAAGAAATAGATTTCAGGAACTCGGAAGGGTTGTTCTTTTGCAACAAAACTCAGAAAAAGTTTAAACTCAAGTTACAACTTTATTCAAGTTCACGTTCTTTTAAGTTCTAACTTTATTCAACTTTACTCAACTTTATTCAAGTTACAACTTTAACTCAAATTCAACTCAAAAACTACACTCAAGTTACATTCCAAAAGAACAACGCAAGACTTCAAAAAAAAAAAAAACCAAAAAAACAAAGTAAGAACAAAAAAAGATGAATCAAACATAATTGGAGTTAGAATCAGATTCTAAGACCTATTCATTTACAATTCCTCCATCTTTCAGCCTTCTTAATAGCTAAAGGAAATCTTTAGAAAAGTTTTGACTTAGTGCAATATACTTGTGCATAGAGGTGTTGCACATTGCTAAGAATTTAAAATTAAAGTGGCAATTAGGCAATGATCAAAATCTCAGCAGTACTTGAAAGTGAAACTATGGCCAAAGCCATGTAGACCAAATAATGTTTGACATGGGAAAAACTACAAAATAAAGTCAACAAATTATGGTAATGCACATAAAATATTCAAAAAATTAGAAGTACCAGCATCAACTGTTGGCGACGAAATTGAAATCACATCTCCGTCTTTCACTCGGGGAGTGGAAGGAATTACACGAAAAAATGAATCCATTCTCCTCATGCTTTTTTCTTTACTATTGACGGGGACTGAAAGTGAACGAGCTATATTTCGATTCTGATCTCCTTTTCTCTGAAAGGAAACAAAACCTAAAATTAAAAAAAAAAAATGTATAGACATCCTTCCCTAGATGCTTTCATCAGAAAAATTCTACAAAATGTAAGTCCAAAAGTAACTTAAATTCTGATGCCCTTAGGCTTCTATAGCTGACCAAGTCAAGGATCTATATCGTGAATGTTCAGCAGCATGTACTGTTAGAAAGGCCACTATTCTTCTTGTGGTAATAATCAGGAAAAACTTACGATTCGGCTTGGGGTGCCACCTACACTTCCACCAGGTGTGGACTCTGGGTTTGAATCCATAATTTGAGTTACCGGTAGAGATGATGTTCTGTTTATCCTAGGTGTGAATAGCTTTGTAAGGGACAATGACCTTGCGATTGCAGGCTTCTCTCGTGTTCCTGCAGCAGATGCTTCTGATGGCAAGTTTTCAGCCTTCTCAATATCTGAAGAAGTTCGAGACTTGAAGCTGAGTTTTGGAAAGAGGCCTTTTATGGATGATTTGGCCCTAGAGGAAGATGGTCCGGGAGATCCATTAGTCCTTGCTGCGGCAGAATCGGGTGTCAGGAGAAAATTTACTTTCCTCGGGGTAGGACTAGGTGTTGTTGATGGCATCTTTATTCCAACAAAATCTGGTGAGGATGCATCTGATGGTCTGGAGGGGATCTCCAGGAAGAGGTTTTGCCGCTTCCAGGGATGAGCTTGTTGTGTTTCTTCGGTTATGTTCATTGACCCTTCAGCCTGGAAAGAACAAGGATTCACACATTGAACTAAGAATACGTGAAGAATCAAACCATCACGAGTCATACTATAGATACCGGAAACTACTACCAGGCCAAGCAAAAAAGAATCAATTTTCCAATCTAATAGCAGTACAAAAAACATACTGCTTCAGAGACAAGCTGGAGACAGAAGGCTGAGAAACTAATTTCATGACAAACTAAATCATATCCTGACACTCGTATAAACATCAACATTTGCTTATTTCCGGTGTATTCATCGGTTTTTCCATACCATTTGATTATGTTCTTGATTGGCAAAGATGTCTCACGGCAGCCAAGTGTCATAAGAGGTTAAATATTGAAATGGGGTAGATTGCGGAAGTTCTACAACGATGAGCATCATACAAAAACATAATCGGGTGGAAGGATTTAAACTTGGTTATTGAACAGAATCTGCTGTGGTTGGAACCTGATATAAAATAATTATCTACTACACACACACACATAGATGTAATAATGAACGTTATGTATGATTTTTTGACCAATCAGAATATCTACTATTCAACTAAGCTTAAGGGTTAAGCCCACCCGATTATGTTTATGTGGCCGCTGAAAAATTTAAACGATTTGAACACATTATGCAGGCATATATAACTTGAATTAAACATACTGGTAATTCTAATTTCAAAAAGTAGCTGAAAAAAAAAGTGAAAAATGGTATAAGAGTCTTACTGGTTTCGCATATATTGGTAGCTAAAAGCAAAAATCAGAGCAGAAACTAAAAAGACGTAAAAAAAAGTAATAGAAAAAGGGGGGGGGGGAAAAAAGCTAAAATACAGAGTTCCCCAATTTAAATATTAGAAAGTAGAAACAGGAAAAGAAACGTATAAACGCTGACCAATAACCCAAACCTAAAAAGCGCTTATGGAAGACTTGTCTGGAATTCCGTAAAGCATGGAAGTGAAAGAAGCGTGATAAAAAAGGATAAGGAAAAAAAAAATAAGAAAGAAAAAAAAAATTAAGAGAAAAAAAAAACCAGATTAGAAATGGAACATGGAAGAAAGAAAATGAAAACCTTCTGATTCTGAAGTGGAAGAGAAGCAGAAGTTTGTTCGGATGAACGCTGCTGAAGTTGTTCAGCGCCGTGATCAGCTCCCATTTCCTCGAATACAAAAACTCAAAGAAATTCAGGCAAAAACTCCCTGCATTTCAAAAAAGCTAAGAAATACGAAGGAAAAGATTGAAAGAGAGAGTTCTGGAGTTAGCTTGGGAATAGGAGAAGTGACAGTAAAGAAGAAGAAGAAAATGTTTAGGAGAGAGAGAGAGAGAGAGAGAGAGAGAGCAATAAAAAAAGGAGAAGTGAAATAGGAGAAGTTGGTGTGAGAAACTATGGAGAGAGAGAGAGAGAGGGAGTGTCCATTTATGGCAAAAGGAGGCGGTGGGACTGGCCTACTGCCACTGTGCCACACCCTCCCACTCCACCCCCACAAAGACACTCTCTCTCTCTGTCTTTCTCTCTCTAACTCTCTCGCAGTGCGCGCGCGTCTCCTCCTCTCCAGTTCTGCTGACTCATAGTCATGCTTCATGGACCTTTTCCTTTTCAACATCCACTTTTTCTTCTTTTCTTCTTTTCTTTTTTCTCTTTTTCGTTTTGATTTGATGAATATAATAATTAATAAACTATTCTTAGTTGTTGTAATTAAAAATTATCTTTTCTTATCTGGAGGCCATAGATGTTAAATCATTCCCCATTCAAATGTTAATTATATATTTAATATTAAAAAGCGTTATATAGTATGTAATTTTAATTTTTACTTATATAATGTTATTTAAAATGTTAAAATTTATTTTTTTCTCATAATTATTAATTTTTAAAAATTATAGAGAAATTTAACACAATATATAGATGTTAAATCATTCCTCATAATTATTTCTTACATGTTATACTTAGTGAAAAATTTACTACAAAATAATATAAAAAATTTAACACAATAAATAACATTGTATTGAAGAGTATTTTTACACTCAAATATTAAATTTACAATTGACACATCAATTATATCATTATTATATAATATTATTTAAAATGTTAAAATTTATTTTTTCTCATAATTATTAATTTTTAAAAATTATAGAGAAATTTAACACAATAAATAGATGTTAAATCATTCCTCATAATTATTTCTTACATGTTATACTTAGTGAAAAATTTACTACAAAATAATATAATAAATTTAACACAATAAATAACATTGTATTGAAGAGTATTTTTACACTCAAATATTAAATTTACAATTGACACATCAATTATATCATTACATTAGAGATGCTACAACTAATTATGTTTTGTGTATAAGATTTATTTTTTAGGCTTTATCTACGATCTCTTCATAAAGTCTTTTCTTTTAACATAACATATGCACGTGAAAACGTAACATTATAGTTATTTAACATAACACAAATATTTTTTAACTCAACATAACATAATAATTTTTAAGGTAACATAAACGCTAAAAAGACGTAACACTATTGAGAAAAAATTAAATATCTTGATATCTCACATTTTTAATGTTAGTATTATGTTAAATAAGTATCATATTACCTTTTTGTTGGAGGAAAGAGATCGAAGAAAAGTCTTATTTTTTTATTAATATAATGTTTCTATCCTACGCTTTAGTATATAAGAATAAAACTGTAACGTTATATTTATTATGCGTAACAACATTATAAAGTAATTATTACACGTAATAGATGTAATTTTATACATTATTTTTCTAAGTACGACTGATCTTCCAAGAAAATTTATAAGTCTTTGGGAGAATTTGGTTATACATATAAACATAATAAGGTTTTGAATGCTAGTTCACATCCTAATTATCATGGCAATTTTAACTTGATAAAATATTAATAATTTTAGATTGTTATTGATAGGCTCACATAATAACATAAAATACTTCACTCAATATTATTTTGTTTTTGGAAATTGTATAATAAATGAGCATTACAAACCGTTGAAGTTATCACATTGTCATAAGATATCGGATTTGAGAAACATTATTAAGTATTAGGAGTGTTGTTTATTGTTTTCTGTTATTATTCTGTCAAGAATATACGCATCTTATCTAGAAGACTGAGTGGCACTAACACCTCCTAAACTTTTATATGTATAAATCATTATATGTTGTCCTATTTTTTATTTAAGTAGTAGTTTTTCCAATTAAATTTTGACACCTTATAAATTGTTCAAATATTTTATTTTTATTTATGTGGTCAGATTTATAAGTTTAGATGACACGATAAATAATTAATTAAATGACAGCTACAAGATATGAAAATAAAAACAATAAATTTGGATTATGTATGACGCTTTGTCCTGAGAAATATTAAGACCTTGTATTATGGACAGCTACAAAATATGAAAATAAAAACAATAAATCTGGATTATGTATGACGCTTTGTCCTGAGAAATATTAAGACCTTGTATTATTGTTCATTGCTGCTTTAACTCTAGAATTATTTATTAGACACTAAAAATTATGTATTATTGTTTATTGGAACTTTATCTCTTCAATGAAAAGTTATCAAATTAGGGTGTTCAATTAAAGAATTGGCAAGTCGACCAACAATGAAAAGGTGACTAACAAAGCAAGGCAATATCAACACCAATTCCGGCCGTAAGTTAAAAGGTCGAGCTTTCCAATAGTCTATCGGTTTGGCAATCAATTGCAGAATGATTGATGTGTTTTACAAACCAACGCAAGCTAACTCCCTTTTATTATGTATTGAAACCTGTTATTTCGGAGGCACGTTGAGATATGGAGTTTGAGTTCTATTCACTAAGAGGCTTATGTCTCGTTTATTTGGCCGATTTAAATTTTCAGTTCTAAGTTTTTACAGTTAAAAACTCTTAAAAATGTCACATCTAATTTTTTTTATTATAATTAAACGCTCTCAAGAAAAAAAAACATTTCAATTTGAATTGAAAATCCGAATCCGCGAAGCAAACGGGGCCAATATCATCATGCATACAAAGTAACCTTTGTTTCCTTTCTCACTAATACGGCATTACTTGATCAGTCAACTTAGTCGTTAACAACCGATTTATTGATTAAATATAATAATTGTAATTTGATTAACTTTTGAATTGAAAAAAAAGGTATTAATGAACAATAATATAGTTTTTAATGCCTCGTAAAATAATTTGGATAATGAGATAACTCAAAGAGTAAAGTGTCGGTAAACGATAAATATATGGTTCTTAGTACATGACCAAATAATTTAGAGAATAAAGTCCCAAATATGCAAAAATTTAAGGGGTGAGTGCTGATTGGTCTATTTTAGTAAACTTAGGCACTGATTCGTTGCATTACAATTAAAGAAAAACCGATTTTTGCACCGGAAATATTTGCTTTTGTTGCTTAATAGAGTCCTCACATCCTTCTTTTCAATGACAAATAAAATAGATTATATAGAAGTAAAGTGTGCGAGCCGACATTCAATAACCCCAGAAATGGCAAGATGTTGTGCTTTATATCAGTATTTTTTTTTATGCATTATTAGTATTAGGTAAATCCTAAATCTCATGATGAGTCTAAGAGAAATTACGAATTTATGGGTGAAAACGGGTGGACCAGGCCATTGAGCATAATGGGAGATGACAATTCATACAAAATCATATCAACATCACTAATTTAAGCCCGCTTATTCTTTTGTTTAAGATTGTCTTTTTTTTTGAAGAGTTTCCCAAGTAGGTCTGACTTACTGGTAATTTCAATTTTTGATTGTTTGATCAGATTAAAATCACATTAAATTGAAAAAAATATACAGAACAGACAATTTTTGATACAGATCCGACGGCTGACAATAAAAAATTACTGATAGTATATTTTTTTTTATCTTAGTGGAGAAGCTCCCTTCTTTTTTGGGAACAAAATAAAGAGTTGACCAAAAATTTCTTGGGGTTACAGTAACACTCGTGTTTACTTATAACATTAGGGGGAAAAAAAACAAAGAAGAAAAGTAAAGAAAAATCTCTCATTTCCGTGATTCATGAAGTGTGTGATTGAGAGCTGCCATCAAAACTATGCTTTTGTTGCAACTAAAGTTGCATATTGAACGAAAACAGTTCAACTTGGGGTGTAATTCTGTGTCATCAATAATAGTAGTGAACTGTGTTAACTGTATATGTAAAACAGATCATAATGCAATGATTTTGGTGGGTATAAAATCTTGGTATATGCCATACATAATAACTAATTAGTGACAAGGTGGAATCCATTATAAAGTCTTTAATCATCACGGCCCTGACTTTAGAAAGTTGTATCCTGGACCAACCTAAAACAAAAGTATCCATAGAAACATCCATCAAAGAAAACACCTTCTAAAAAAAAAAAAAAAAAGATATATATATATAGAGAGAGAGAGAGAGAGAGAGAGAGAGAGAGAGATGGCTAGTTACCCTATGTGCACTTGATATTTGATAACTTCAATCGCAAAGGTTTGTAGCTTAACATTCTTTTCACTATAATAGAAATGGAAAAAAGGTGGTCAAGAATAGACAAAGGAGGTTTCTGAAAATGTTAAGGATGCTTTTGAAGTTTATTTTTATTTGAACTGGTGTTCGAAATCAAACTTGGTTTTGCAGACTTGTTTTTAAAAGAGAGTTAAAGGTCGGCCTAATAATAAAATGTACGTAAGGTTATGGTTGAAAACTCCAGCCTTTTGCTTTTAGCAAAAGTGTTTTAGGATCTTACGTTTTATGAGGCGGGAAATCCCTTGATTGCTATCAGAAAAAGCATATAGATTGCAGTCAACATTCTGTGTATTGATTAAGACATATCATCTAATTCATAGCGTTTTGGAAAGAATGGTTAATTAATTCCGATTAAGTGGCACTAATTCAAAGGAATATTCTTTGGTACGCTATGCGTACTGGTAAACTAAGTTTTTCTAATCGTTGAATTTGCGTATTTTTAACTTTTACGTGATTTTATGCAAATCTGACAGACAGAAAACCTGATTTACAAGTATGTTGACGTACCGGAGAATGCCCCTAATTCAATAAACTATAAATGCCTGAAACTTTTTGTTCTTAAATTATTTTTAGTGTTCTTTTTAAAGGTTTAAGTAGAAAATTTAAACTAAAATAATTTAAATTTTTATTAGAAAAATACTGTAATAAAAATGTTGAATTATGTTTCGAACCAATAAAACACTGTATTATTGTTTTATGAAATAAAAAGGAAAAGAATGAACCAAACCATATTATACCGTTATGTTGTCTAAAAGAGTATTTTTCTATAGAGATGACTAAAATTCATTCATTCATGTGACACGTATGTTTCAAATGAAAACATGTTAATTAGATCGTAGGCTTTCTAAGAGGATGTTTGGTAGAGGGATTCGTTCCCTGATTCGAATCATGATTCGTCGTTCGCTACAGTATTTTTTCTCAAAAAAATTCACGTAAATCGAAAATAATTCGAATCACATGGTTTGAATCCTCCAACCAAACGTCCTCTAAGTATCATATATCTCCAAATTTATTATGTTTTTAATTAAAGGGGGGAAAAAGAGAGAGAAAAGGACAAAAGCAAATCCCAGACGTAAGTTTCCTAATCGCAATGAAAACGTTTCCACTGTCCCATGGTGGTGAACAAAAAATAATAAAATAATAATGATATTGATATTTACAAAGGATTTCTTCCTTAGGCAGTGTGATAGTTCATGTCTCCACAAAGATAATCAAAAACTAAGAGTGGGATATGGCAATGGATTATTTTAAGCAACCACTAAAGTGGTTCTATCTTTAAAGTCTTCAATGGCTGCTAAACAGCCATAAGAAACGATAAAATTAAGAGAAAGAGTAAAAGGTAATTGGCTTATTCTCAGATCATTATCTAATAGGGCCTAATCAAATCATCCCAAAGTTGATATATTTCTTTCCCTTATTCCCATGCTGATCCATGGTCCTCTGTGCAGGTGTCTACATACTACCGAGAGAGACAACACGCAATACTTGGATTAAAAGAAGAGAAAGCAAAAAGAGAGTGAGAAAAAGAAGCATGAATAAAGAGCTAAAATGATGTTTACTTGACTAGGTCCCGTTCATTTCACCGATTCGAGTTTTATTATAATAAAAAGTTCTCAGAAATAATCACATTTAATTTTTTTACTATAGTAAAAAACTCTCGCATAAAGTCACATCTCAAGTCAAATTAAAAATTCAAATCAGCGAACTAAACGAGTCCTAATTTTACAATTGTTAAATGAGACTTTTCTTGTAAGGCGGCCTACCAGTAAAATCAGTTTCTGATCGTTAAATTTGATCAAAATCACATCAAATTGAAAAAGTATACAAAACATACAATTTTTTATACAAATCTAACAATTGATAAATAAAAAACTACTGATAATTTATTTTTTTCTAATTTTACCCGAGAAACTTCCTAAATTATAAAGTGTGACTCGAATTGAATGGTGAACAATAATACCTTTCAATTTTAGTGCATGTTTGGTAGGGGGATTGAGGGATTCAAATCCCCTGATTAAAATCAAATCAGTGTTTGGAAAGACAAAAATAAACAGTAAAAAATGTGATTTGAAAAGTGATTGGGATCATTTTGGGGCCTGATTTCGGAATCAGGCCCCCCTGATTCACCCGTTTGAAACCCCAGTGCACAGTAAAATTTACTGTGCACTTAATGCTCACACCCAACTTCCAACGACCCTGGCTTCCTCTCCCATGCTTCAGCAGAGAATCTGCAGTCCCTTTTGCCTCTCGCATGGGTGAACAGCTGAGATTCCCTCTGGCTTTTTCTCTCTTCTCCAGTCTTCTCGTCTATTCCCAAACGTCCTCGAACGTTGTTCGCAAGTTCCCCCTCGGTCGCTGTTGATGAGAAGTGGCCGGAGTAAAGGGGTTTTTATCAACAATCAAAGAAAACTCCAGATTCGGTACCGATTTCACCGATACTATGGAAGCAAGCTCATTCCTCGACTTCACCGGAGAGAGGTCAAAAGGTCGTTGAGGACTCGGAAGAAATCATCTTCTGCGTTTGGAGTGCTGCATCCGTTGTCCTTCATCTCGTCGTCGGATTCAAACTCTGTAACGGTAAGTTCTCCTCACCTTGTATTTCTCGTTGGTTTCTAGATGTGACTTTTGGTTTCTGGAAAGTGGATAGTGATTTCGTCTGTGACTTTAGTTTCTGTAGACTGGATAGTGTTTGATTTGGTTGTGATTGTGGTTTGTCGAGACAGTGCTAGACTTGGTTGTGATTCCGGGTTCAATTTTTGTTTTCTGGAGATAGTGTTTGCTTTCTGAGATCTTGGTGCATTTGTTTCTGAACTAGGTTAAATATCAACAAAATTTTTGCTCATTCGCATAAGAATTCTAGTGAAAAATTTGTCTATAGATGAGCTTCTTTCCCCCTCTGAAACTTCTAAGAAAATGGTTCCAACTCTCATTGCCGAATAGTGAGAAAAATAGGAAAACGACAACGCCAAAATTTTGAGAAACAAGGAATTTTGATAACTTTTGATTTGTTTCTGGCAGTTGGTTTGATAATCCTGATATGGTTTTTGATTTGTTTTACGTTTGATTACAATAGTTCCTGTAAGTAATTTGGGGACTGTGAGTAATAGATCTACTATTTTTTTTTTTTTTAAAGAAATGCCAACAATAATAATGATAAGTATAACTAAGCTGGACTATAGTTGTGTTTAATGTTCAGTTGTGTTAAGCTTGTTTTAATGTTCAGTTGTGTTGCATCTGGACTATAGTTTTCATATATATATATATATATATGTATATAATCCTATATATCTTACCAAGAATCGGTTAGAGATGGTAATTTCTTTTCTTCTTATTTTTTTAACTTCGGTGGGCCCTTTTTTTAATAATGAATAGGAATGATGTTCTGTTTAAGAACTCAGGTCGTAAGGACTTGAAACTTAAAAAAAAAAAAAAAAATGAATTGACCTAATAAAAAGAAAGAACTCAGGTCCTAATGTTTAGTTGCGTTGCATCTGGACATATTTTATATATATATATGTATGTATGTATGTATATATACTAATCCAATATGTCTTACCAAGAATCCAATGTGTATATATACTAACGAGCAGTGCAAAATACCCCTATCAATAGAGGTGATCCGCATCTGCAAGCAAAAAAAAAAAAAAAACAGTGTTAAAATGTCTGTGGCCAAAATTCCAGGGAGGTTTCTGGATACCAAAATTCCAGGGAAGTTTGGTCCCCTTTTGAGTTAAAAGCCCCCCGGGAGGCAGGTTTGGTCCCCCTTAGTATGGTTTGTTGTTGTTGTAGTTGTTTTTTAGTTTTGTTGTCATTTTGTGAATGTGGTGTCTTCCGTTTTTGCATGTGTTGTCCTGCTCCTGGTTGTGATCTGCGTGCGTAGATGCCAAGAAAAACTAGAGATGAGAGGCCACTTTTTTGGAGCCCTGCTGCAGAGGCTTTTTTGCTAGAGAAATTTTACGAATACCACGACACTAACCATGGTCGCCTACCAGAAACTCATCATTATAATCACTGGGCCTCAAAAATGGCCGGCTTTTTTGATGGCTATGTTCCCGATGGTGAGCGTCTTAAGGAGAAACGCCGACGATTGGGTAAGGTATACGCCGCGTACAAAATGTTACAAAGTCATACAGGAGTAGGATGGGATTCTACCACTTCAACTTTCACTTGTTCTGAGGAGCTACAGAAAGATCTTTGTAAGGTAACATATGACATTGATTATAATCACAATAACAGTGACATATTTAAATTGTTACAAACTTACCTCTCTACTTAGAGGTTACTAACCAATTCTCTAATTTATTTTTAGCGAAACCGCGATGTGAAAACATTGTTTACTAATGGATGGAAGCTGAACGAGGCGTACTTGGCTGCCCTATTCCCCAGTAGAGTTAGAGCAACTGGATTAGGTGCATATCACCCAAGTGTAGGAGAAAGAGGCAGCGGATGATGCACACATGGAGGATGTTACTGCTACCGATGAACAACAACAGCCAACCAGAGATGCTCCATACCAAAATAGTGATGATGACGATGTGCGTGATGATCTTTCCAGCCGCGTTGAACGTTATGGACGGCGAAATGCAACAAATATCGCCTCATCGTCACGTGGGATTCAGAAAAGACAGTCCAGAGCAAGGAAATCCAACGATTCTTCGCGGGAGATGCTACTCTCATATGTTAAGGACATGAGAGATGATTTGAGAGAGGATCTTCATACAGACAAGGAAAGCCAGCCATCTTTGAACACCGTCAATGGCCCTAATGAAGCTGATATCATCCTAAATTCGCTTGCAGAGATGGGACTTGATAAGCGTATGCAAACACATGCTTTTGACAAAATCATGAGTTCCCCTACTTGGCGGCCAGTTTGGGGCAGAATTGATGATGACATTAGGCGGAACTTTATTAGTGACTTTATTGAAGTCCCACAAACTCCAGCCCTGCATCTGTTTCGGGATCCTTATAGCCAGCCACCTCGCAACTTCTCTCAAGTCCCAAATCCCTACAACCAGCCACCTAACCCATACAATCACCCACCTAACCCCTACATCCAGCCACCTAATTCATACAATCAGCCTCCACAGCCCTATAACCAACCACCAAACCATTACAACCGCCCACCTACGCCTTAAATGGCGAATGTTAGTGCCAAATGGTCCGATTTTCCGCCATGGTGGACCACGATTTAGTGTCTACTATTTTCATTCGAGTGTTATCTACTTAGTGAGGTTTATTTGAGTCGTGTTCTCTAGTGTAATGTTTAAGTTGATTATGAGTTGTATCCTTTATTTCTGAGTAGTGCACTTGGACCATTGATCCGGATTGTTGTGGTGTAATTTTTTTAATTCCAAAATCATGACTTGGACCATTTGAGTTGTGGTTTATTTCTGAGTAATTGTTTTAAATACATTTGAGTTATTATAACCAACTCCTCATTTAGTTTGGAACGCAGGTGGTTGACGAAGTGGATTACAATAATTGAGATCATACTTGACACATTTTTTGTATTTATTTTCTCGTTACAGGTTAACGCGTAAAGCAACATCATGCAGCCACAAGGTTCAGCAAACGAAAGTCATGAAGTGGAGTCAAGCAGAACGAGACGCCGTAGAAGGGGCTTTCGTGCATCAATACGCCTCGCTACAGCCGCCGCCATTGTTTATGATGAGTACCGGGTACCAAGGCCGATGCATAACTCTGCTTTAAGGGGTATAGACAAAGTGAACGAGTTATTAGCAAATACTAATGAGGCTGCAATGTTTAACAAGGTGCGTATGGGACCACGTGCATTTAGGATTCTTTGTGAAATACTAATAGAGAGAGGTTTGTTACAACCAACAAACAATATGAACGTCCCAGAACAAGTATTTGTCTTCTTAACCATCGTTGCACAAAGTCAAACTAATCGTGAGTCACAAGATGTATGGCAACATTCGGGGGAGACAATTTCACGAAGATTCAGTGACGTCCTAGGTGCAATTTGTGCGTTGCACGATGATTTCATTAAACCTCCCAACTATGACAAAGTTAGTGATTTTGTCCGTGGCAATCGTCATAGATATGGGACTTGGTTTAACGTAAGTTTTGTTTCTCAGTCTTATCAGTATGCCACAACTTTGGTTTATAAACACACTAACATATTTCATTATGGATCTGTTGTTCAGGACTGCATAGGTGCAATTGACAGGACTCATATACCGTGTACACCGATTGGTGTTCAAAATCAGACTGCGTACCGCAATAGGAAAGGGTTCAACTCTCTTAATGTAATGGCAGCCTGTTCATTCGATATGAAGTTCACATACATATTTAGTGGTTGGGAAGGTTCAGCACATGATGCACGAGTGCTTGCGGATGCGGTCGCCGAACCCAAGTTCAAATTCCCACATCCACCGCCTGGTAAGACCGCAACCCATCTATATGATTCTCAATTTGTTACCTGTTACAACATCCAAATTCCAACAAAATTCGTTTAACTTGCGTAGGAAAATACTATCTTGTTGACGCGGCGTACGCAAACAATAGTTGTTTTCTTGCTCCGTACAGAGGTGGGACTTACCACTTGCCTGACTACCAAAGGAGAAGTGGTGGATTTAAGGGACCTAAAGATGTTTTTAACTACAAACACTCATCCCTGCGAAATTGTATAGAGCGGACATTTGGTGTTTGGAAGGCTAGGTTCCCTATATTAAGGCGGACCAATAACACTTATCCAATGACTAAACAAGTGAAGATTCCAGTGGCATGTGCAATCTTACATAATTTCATTCACATAGTAAATGAGGGGGACTCGCTTCTAAATCAGTACTATCGTGATGGAGTACCGGTTAGTGAAATAGATCCAACCAATAGTGATGGATTTGATGACGATGACGATGACGACAATGTCCCCGAGGAGCCAACAGTAACAGGAGCTACAGTTAGCCGAACAGAGATGGGTCATTTTAGGGATCGCCTAGCGAATGACATGTGGGTGGAATATCAAAGAAGCCGCGGGAGACAAGGTTGACAGTGCAAATCAGCAATGGGGTTCTACAATATTACTTCATATGCTTGTATCAATTATATTTGAAATATGAATGAATATACATTCTGTTAAGACCTTTCATTTTCATTTTCTTCCTCTGCTTTTTCGTGGACACATTGCTTGGACTATTCATATTATGTATGTTGTGTGTATATATATTTGTTCATTTATTTTAGTGTGCCGAAGAGAGTATGGGGGAGTTGCCATGTCTCAGGAGATCATTCTCTTAGCTTTCTGGAGGTTTTCGTGAAGCCAAAGAGGTTAGTTTGTAACACTAATAGTATTGCATTGCAAAAATGTTAACTTATGCTGCTTTGGTGGTTCTTGGTTGTTGGTGGTTCTCGGTTTGATCTTATAATGTTTGTTAGCTTTTATCATTATTATTATTATTATTATTGCATTTGTGAGAAAATTGAATGCATTTGTTATTACAGGGGACCCATTCCACGCACTAGGCGAATCTGTCTCTTTCGGAAGGTTTTCGACAGACTCCCTGGCTTGGGAGAGATGGTTGGCATTCTCCCACAATCGGTACTTGGAAGAAGTTGAGAAATTTGCTAAACCGGCTTGTTAAATAATGGAAGCCGTGGGAGACAAGTTTGATATATGCTTGGCATGCTATATAATTTTATTCACATTTTTTCCATTTATTTCTCACTTAGCTTGTTATAATTTTGAGTTATAATTATTTACATAATTTTTTTCTAGTACTTCATTTTTTAAATTATATAACGAATTATATTTTTTTTCAAATTACACGCAAAGAATTATATTTATTATATAATTTTTTAAATTACATTATTTTGGTCATGATTCAAATTCAGAAAATAAGACAACCAAACACTGATTCGAATCACATTTCAGGTTAGAATCAAAATCATGCATATACACATCTAAACGAAGGTTCTAATCACTCTGAATCATGATTCAAATCATGAATCATGGATCTGAATCAAATGACTCAAATCACCTTGATTTCAATCCTTATACCAAACGAACTCTTAATGAATTTGGGTCCGATTGCTTAGGTTGGTCTAGAGATAGCCATTTTACTATTAAAAAATTATTTTTTTTAAAAAAAAGAGAAAAAAAAAAGATAAGGCTTACAATCTATCTTCTTACTCTTCCCGACAGAGTGCGACAGGTTCAACATTAATACTTGTTACCTAATTTTTATGTAGTGGCCCCATAAAAAAGCTTGTGACCGCCACATCCCTGTTTTGTGAAATTTTGGTTTTGAACGTATCATGCAGCTAAAAATAAATATGTGCCAGATAGGGTAAAATCACATTTGACGAAGAGTCAAAAAAGCCTGACCAAATCCCATTTATACGTTATATATGTTTTGTGGCATACCCTCCATATATACAAGTAAATTAATTCGTTGCAAACTTAATTAGGAGCATATAAATATCTAAAAATATGATCAACAGAGTGTCAACATCCAACCGACAAGTATAATTCATTTGGGTTGCTAAGTCCAACTCCCACCAAACATGGAGTCATGTCAATTGTCAAATCCATCCGATAATTATTAAGTCCTAATACTGTTAAACCAGTGACTTTGGCATAAAAGAAAACATGGAATGCTGTAATATTCTTATATCATTTTAAGGGCCCTGAGAATGTATAATAAATATGTGACAAAATATTTTAGTAGTCAGGGTTCAGTGCTTAAATTAGGACAATCAATGCAAAATTGGAAGATGGAAACAAGAATAAGCTGAAGCGTTTGGCAACAAAATTTATTGGCGAATTCTTTCCGAGGCCTGTTTTTAACTGACAGGACTGATATACTTATCTCTCTAGTAGCATCACCATTTCACAGTGTGCCGTGTGCGGGAAAAGGTCGACGGCCATGGATTTTAGAGGCCGGAAGGGCTCCGAGACCGGCATGGACTTGGCCCTGTGCCGTGCTAGACCGGCAGCGCTCATGTTCCTCCATCCTCGGTTCTTGTTATTCCCTTTCTCGCTTTTCTCAGCAGACGGCGTGCAAAGCTCAATAGCATTCGCCACTAAGCTTTCGGGATTGCAGGAAATGTAACTACACAAAATGGGGTACGAGTTTAGATTGAAGACATAAATTAAGGAGAAGAACTAGAGAGAAGAATTGGAGAGTTAGGAGGACTAACACAAGTCTACGCAGAAGTGGATGAGTTCTTAGAGCTTTAATCACCTGCATTACCCCAGAGAGAGAGAGAGTCATGTCAGTAAGCCCTTACTTTGCGGATAACTAGTGAGAACATCATAAAATCATATAGGATCCAGAAAAGAAAATGAATAATAAGAAAACACTTAAAAACCATAAAAGTTTGTGCACGCACACATGCCATGGATATTTTAGAGAACTAAAGGCATCATGGAAAAAAAAAAAAAAAAATCTCCTTTTCCATTTGGCATCAGATTGATCTTTCTCCAAACCACGAGATAGAAATGGGGCATTGCATGAAGGAGATACAAGGAGACTACCAAACACGGCAGGAGTGTTACTTACAGTTGGATGAAGTCCACCGCGTGGAGGGTCAACAATGGCAACAACATTTTTGAAACATTGCACCGAAGGATTCCCATTTTCAGAAGTGCAGTTGCTTTCAACTTGGCTATCGGGTTCCGGCTTTCCGTCTTCCAATGAATCAGATCCAGTTTTAACCTTTTCAACTTCATGGCTAGAGCTCTCTCCATGCTCCGCTACGTTCTCTGCAGAGTGACATAAGCTCCCTTTAGGGTCTTGTCCATTGTCCGTTGAGATATCTTTCTCTTCAGCTGTGGAGCTTACTTTATCTCCACTCTCAGAGATATTTTGATTCTCATCTTGTTTCTGAGAAGCATTCAAGTACTCCTTCAACAAAGACCCCATCACATCCTCCGCCTATGTGACATACAAAAATACACATTTGTTAACTGTGACAAACTAACAATAAGCTTAATTATTCAACCAAAAAGAAGTTACTTTGCCGATCACCAAAATCAACCGAGTTGAAAGTTGAGAGTCCAAATCTCACCTTTGAACAGACAAATCTGCAATTTTTGATGCCATTAATCTCAGCATTTCTCTGAGCATCTAAAACAGCAGAAGCATTCATTTCGATGCCAACAACCTGAGATGAATTCAGAAGCAGAACAAGTTCAATCGTTATTGAGACGACAGAAAATAAACTAGAGGGAAGAACATGGAAACCAAGTTGGAGACCATTACCATACCCACACGATGCGCTAAAGTCAGTCCAATTGTTCCAGTTCCACAGCAGACATCAAATAGCAAAGTATCAGGGCCCAAACCAGCCCAATCCCCAGCCAAAGCGTAGAGCTTCTCTGCCGCTAGGGTGTTAACCTGCAGTACAATTGGACTTCAGTATTCACTGAAAAAGAAAATAAAAAAATAAAAAACTGTCAAGCATGAGAAACGACGACCTGAGCTTCTTACCTGGAAAAAAGCTGTAGGTGAGATACTGAATGTTAGATTGCTTATATAATCGTGAATTCTTGCTTCGGAGAGAATGTTAGTCCCCGTTTCAGGAGAAATTTCCACTTTAGGAATTGTTAATGACCGCAATGGTGCATCGGCTGGTGCTACATTTGATATTCCTTGATGATCCTGCAAAGATGAAAAGGCGATCAGATAGAAAATTAAGGCATTTAAGAAAGACCACATCATGCTACGCTAAAATACAAGAAATCAAATAAGCTGATGCGCACAAGAAGTACTTCTTGTAAATCGAAAGCACCAAGGGGAAAATGCTATATGATTCAACGCAAATATGGCTTTAATTTGATGTGCTAAAGAAAATTACTGAATTTCACAGAAGCCAAAAAAGTTGCATTGGCACACCACTTGATAGGGACAGAGTTTTGATATTTATAGGTTTCAGGCTGACATCGGAAGAGATTTTACAACCTAATAGTAATCTGATCAAGATAAGAGACATGAAAAGGAGTTGACCTTCCAACTAACTAGCCTGGATACTGTAGCAAATCTAGAAGACTCTAACCACGACCGTAAAGAAAACACGCCGATTTTGACAGAAATTTCTGTGATGAGTTGGTACCTGAACAACTAAAGCTGTTAGAGGCAAAGATGCAGAACTTGCAGCAGCTCCTGCAGCAAATGCTTGAGCCAGCCTCTCAAATTCACTAGTTACTAACACATCATCAAACCCCATGGTAGAAACCTGTGTATCAAGACAGCAACGAAAAAAATAAAAAAGTGAAACCGAAAATTGTTTTCAAATCACCGCCTACATGGTTAAATGGTAAACCAACTATATAGTCAACAAGAGTTTGCCAATGGAAAATTACAAGGAAAACTATTTTACTCGAGCAGCTAGTTAAACCAGACTGCAAAAAGCCAACTCCGGCTTCTCAGTACATTCTAGTAGCCTTGGAGTTGAAGTTTGAACATGCTATTGCCGAAGATTTATGACTTTACTAAAGAACTCAAACTGCCAAATCCAAGTTCAGAACTAACCTGAACCATAAGCATGACCTCAGCAGTGTTGGTTTCAGAATTTGCAGAATCAGCAACCTTTTCTGGTCTCCTACCTTCTCGGACCTTAAAAATCACAACAAATAATGTTCAGTAAAAGAAGAGGAAAAATAACTTTTTAGTAAATATGCTCAGGCACTGTCCATAAATTTTTTTTGCAACTTGCAAGGTTTCGAAGGAGGCATCCAAAGTCCTTCTCTGAAACCAGGCCAAGGAGAGAATTAGTAGAACACGTGCTCCCTATCTACACCACCATGGAAACACAGGCAAAAATGATGATAAAAAAATCTTTTGCATGCAAAGCCCCTTGGATTCGGCCACCTACTGTTAATTGACGCCAAAAGCCAGTATTCTTAAATCTGTTCCAAACAGGTAAGCCAGAATCCTGCAAAAACTCCTGAAAGATTGAAGCATATTTGCATGCGATTGTCGAAACATTGGGGCAGTCCACAGGTTCTTCAACTGCTGTCACGCCCTCCCTGTAAAATATAAATAACTTTGTTATTCGACAAAATGGTTCGGGTTTATTTAAAAGAAAGAAGATGGTGGATTTCAAAGAAAAACCACAAAATGCACATAAAAACTTCAGATTACCTAAAATTTCCAAGCATAAACCCCACTGTTATTTTGCCTTGTAGTGAATATCCAACAGAAAATTCGCACTTGTTGCGGTATCCATTTACAAGTGGAGATGCAAGTATACCCTCGAAGTTGCACGGAAGGCCACCTAAAGGATGTATAGAAGAAAACATTGAGCTTGGATCTCATTCCACTATAAAGTAGACTGATCGGAAAATGAAATAGAATTGCAAAATAAACAGTCAAGGATATCAGATAAATTATTAAGCAATGACGTTATGTTTACTGTTACAACTCTCAGGATATCACAATAAAGTTGTAAATTTTTAGGGAATAATGATTTCTCGAAGTCTGTTAGCAAAGATATGAAAACCACCTATTTCCCTAGACTTGAGAACCCATTCTGGTAGTGAAACACCATTAGGACAAGCTTTACGTGCATTTCTAGTCTGAAAATAAAAAACTGTAATGGTTCAGAAACAATGGTTGGATAAAAATGCAAATAAAATGGAGACCAAAAGATGCAAAAGAAATGACAAGGTAGATAAGCCAAGTAATAAGATGAGATACTGACAAGTCTCTTTAGAATCTGCATAAGAGAACTCTTTTTGTGCTCCAACTGCTCACTATAGGGCATATGGGCAAGGGGAGTCACCACATCTCGGGCACTTTTTCCACTAGACGCAGAACCATTGAGTGTTGAATTCTCTTCATCGCCATCAACATCCTGAGTCCCATTAGAGGACACAGAGACATCAACAACATCACCAGATATCGCAATTTTGTCGGTTTTCTCAGCATTTGGAGGGATAGCCATTGTTGATATGTTCTTTTTCTCAAACGATCGGGGTTTGACATCTGCGACCTTTATTCCCTTGTTGCCAAAAGATTTTCCTTCCAGCTCCTGTTCCATTACAAATAGAATAAATCAGCGAATAAAAGTACTCGCACTTTCGCAGAGCAACAACCATCATGACATTCAGGAAGCAGGGATACCTCCAGAGCGCCTTTTAACTGTTCCACACTTTCGAAACTCACGAAGCCGACGGTCATGCCCTTCTTCTTCTTTGCAGATTTACAAGGAATTCCCTGGCAAAATAAAAGTACCCCACGTACATGAAACTTCAAAATAAGTTTATACCACATTGACAACTGATAACCTTAAGTTTCAATTGCAATCTAAAAATGAGTGCTTTAAGCCTCCATAAGGTTTTAAAAGGCGGAATTGGACCTCGAGGCGTTTTGCCTTTACGAGGCGAGGCGTAAGCCTCAAGGCGCTTTGAGGTGTAAGCTTAAAAAAATGCATATAAAAAATTTAGAAAAAAAAAATAATAGTAACAAAAACTAAATCCATACTTAATAATCATTAAAAACAAGAAATTTAACCAAACATCCACATAAGACTGAATAATTATGAAATCCTAATATCAAAAGGTTCATAATGCACTTCTAAAAGCCTAATCGCCCAACTCATCAATCATCATCACTACTAAGAGAAGCATCAGCCAATTTAAATCTCTCAGTGTCCATGAACTCTTGACTGTTAGTGTCAAAATCAGAATCTATCCACTCTTCTTCTTCATCCTCTTGCACGGTCTCCTTGCCTCTATCACCTAATAATCAAAATTAAACTTACGTTACTATCTCTTATATGATAATTAGAGTAAATAATAGAGAAGAAAACTAATAATTCATAAGGCATATCAAGCCACTAACTTGTCCTCTGCTTTTTATAGTTTTTTGAGCTCTAGTACTAGTACCTTCTCCATCCTCAAAAAGATCAATGTCAAGATTGTCAATTGCTTCCTCCGTTTGAGTTTCGCCTTCATTTTCATTTCCAGCTATCCATTCATCATCAGATGGCAACTTATCAATGATTAAGGGATCCTCATCTTGCTGAAGTGCCTTTTTTTTCAAATGTCAATCTTTTAGCTTCTTGTTGAACATGATGTAGACCAAGGAATTTATCTTTTGTGCAGTCAAGCGATTTCTTCTCTTTGTATGAACTTGGTCGTGGGTACTCCAATTGTGTTCACATCCCGAAGATGAACAAGTGAGACTCAAAACTCTAACTGCAAAGCTAGCCACTCTGGGGTACCATCTCCAAATTGGGACCACCAATCATCTGAATTTAAAATTGAGATGAAAATAATTAGCCAAACAATCTAAACTGTTTTATTAGTCAAAATTAATAAGATAGTTTCTACTTTCTGGGATTGCGTTTCATGTATGATGCTTGAGCTTGACGAAGGCCAAAAAACCCTTTCTTCTGTCGAAATTCATCTAGTTGGAGGTCGGCCTTCTCTAGATCATTTGGGTCCTTAAACATCCTATTCATGCAATGGTACAAACCAAGCTTGATCTCAGGATGGTTGGAAGGATTATCGGAGTATCAAATCCTTGGATTCAAGTAGTATGTTGCAGCATGTAAATGTTGATGCAACTAAAGATCCCATTTTTCATCAATGATCTCCCCAATCTCCTTGTAGTCTTTCTCTTCATCTCCTAAGTTTTTAGCAATTTGCTCTTTTGCCTTGTCCATAGCCCCATATATAAATCCCATGGCGGGTATCTTTTCAGAGTCGACTAATCTCAACACCTTCATTATGGGTTGTGTAGACTTAAGAACATACCCAACAACTGCCCAAAACTGATTATCCTTCATGACTACCTTTTTTACTTCTTTCCCATCCGGTTTCTTTGCATATGAACTATTGTTCCATTCCTCCGATACAAACATAGATTGTAAAGGCTGCATTAGTCTATAGATGCACTCCAACGTCAGATAGGCAATAGCAAATCTTATTGCAGCATGTCGAACAAGATCCCTTTTGGTAAGCTTTCTCATCAATAACAACACCCAAGGGTGATTATACACATAATTGCTAATTTTTTTTTACTTTCACCAAAGCCCTTTTATGTTGTGGCAATTCTCCTAGTTTCTCAAGGATCAAATCAGTGCAATGAGCAGCACAAGGAGTCCAAAATAAGTGTTTTCTTTTCTCCATTAGTTTTGCTCCAGCAGCCTTATAAGCACTTGCATTGTCAGTCACCACTTGAACAACAAGATCTTCCCCAACTTCTTCAACAATCTCGTCAAGCATCTCAAACAATAGATTTACATCTTTCTTTTTATCAGATGCATCAACAGATCTCAAGAAAATAGTTCCATGAGGATTGTTGACTAAAAAATTGATCAAACCTCGATTTCTAGCATCCGACCAACCATCAGATAATATAGAAACTCTTTTTTGTTTCCAAGTCATTTTAACCTCCTTCACAAATTTTTCAGTAGTAAGTACTTCCTCTTTCAAAATTCATGTTCTAAGCTCATGCATACTTGGGGGTATAAGATCTCTACCATAGTTGCCAATTGATCTACACATATTAAAATAGGAGAGGCTCCTAGCAATATTGAAAGCAAGTGCATTTTCATAAAAGAACCTACCAATGTCGAGACATGCTCGAGAACAAGCCTCTTTCCCACTTGATGTCGTTCTAAGGGAAGGTCTTTCGTTTGCTTCCTTATCATCCACATTGTTCAAAAACCTGCCCATAGGACCTCTAACTCCTCTATCACTAACCACTTGCGGCGGTTGACAAGAGTCGACAAATCCATCACCATAATAAGAGCCAACATCCACAATTTCTTCAAAATTCTGATGCACTAACTGTTTTTCAACAGCCCACTTGTTCACATCATCAGGAACCTTAGGACAAGGCTTTACATTCTTATGAGTGCAAGCAAGGTGTTCTTTCATTCTCTTAACACCTCATTTAATAATTTGATTGCAAAGCACACATTAAAGGTGAACATAAGTCCTTTTGTCATTTTCCGATGTAATTTCTTTTCCATATTTTCAAGCCAGATTCCGTCTCCCACTACAACTACCGCTAGCATTTTGGGGAGGTCTCATCTTAATTCCTAACTTAAACACACACACACAAAATACAAGTGAAAAAACAAACAATATAGCATATAATTGAAGATTGTTAAGACTTCAAAACTTCTAATGACAAATCAAAACTAATTTATGAAACTAAAGATAACACTTGTCACATGTAACACGACCCACTTAATCGACCTTTGGATAAGCTACGTACAACATAAATTAAAATGGCAAAAAGTGGCCACTGTAACAAATGGTTTCTCTCATAAACACAGATAAGGAACACCGAACATCAATGCATAAGAATAAAAATTTCTAATATACATATTAAAGTAAGCCTTTAAAATGAAAAAAAAAAAAAAAAAAAAAAAAAAGTTGAGAAGAGATTAGATAGCTCTTGTGAAGTCCTCGTGCGGCTGCGGCTGGTTGGAGCAGAGGTGAAGGAACCTTGCGAAGAAGGAGGAGGCACGGCACCGGGAAAGAAGAAGAAGAAGAAAGAGGCACACGGCGGTCGGCGAAGAAGGAGGCGCACGGCGGCCAGCGAAGAAGAAGAAGAAGGAGGCACGGCGAGGAGGGAGAGGTGAGGCGAAGGAATGAGGAGAAGATTTCGCAGTGAGGGAGAGGTTATGGTCGTGTTTAGAATTGATCCCGTTTTTATTTTTCACGTTTTTTGAGAAAGAAAAAATGAAAACATTTCTAAAACGGCGTTTAGCGTAATAAAGACAAAAAACGAAAATGATAACGATTTTTTAATTTAGTGTAAAATGAGAGAGAAATAAAATTTAGTCATTTTTTATTTTTTATTTTCGTTTTTTCTCCTCTCGAGAAAAGAGAGAAAAAGAAATATTAATAAATTTTTTTTACATTGAAAATAATTTCTTGATAAAATTATTAAACATATTTTTAAAAATAATTTATATATGAAATTAAAAACGTTTTTATTTTTATTTTCATACAAAAAATAAAATTATTTTAGAACGAGTTCCAAACACGTCCTATATTTTTACCGTCTCTGATATTTGGGCTTTTGGAGTCGGCGGGCCAAATTCAGTTAGGGTTAAAAAAACCCACTGAAAACCTATACAAGCAAGGCGTACGCCTCACTAACCGCCTGAGGCGCCGCTCAAAGGCGTGCGCCTCAGCCAACTCCTACCCTGTGAGGCGTAGGAGTTGAGGCGCTTTTCCAGCGCCTCGCCACGAGGCGCGCCTCAGGCGCTTTTTAAAACACTAAGGTGAACCAAAAAAGAAAACAAAAAATTGAGGCAAAGTAATAACTCTGAGCTTATATACGAGTTCTGAAATTCTCGAACTTGAAATTGAAAACCATGCTTCTTCAATTGCACCAAAAATAAATAATGAAAAATCATAAAAGAAATAAGTCAAACTTGCCTGTTCGCTAAGAAAGCGATTCAAATCATCGGACCTCCACTTTCTAGGCAGATGAACCAAGCACTTGCTGAGCCCAGGATCCGACCCACCGCCATCGCCGTCCTCGTCGGCGACCACATCCTCCGTCATCATGACATCTTCGTTGGCCCCACATTTATCTCCGTCGACGTCGGACTTCTTGGCGAGCTTCTTCGCGCGCTCGGAGGTGGGATCCCAGGAGTTGTCGGGGCGGGGCCGGAGCTCGTCCTCGCCGTGGGCGTAGCGGCAGGCGGCGCCGTGGCTGCAGGAGCCCGACTGACGCCTGAAGAAGGAGCAGAGGCTCGACTTCCACAGAGGGTGAGAGGAGGAAAGCTCGTGGTTCTCCTCAGCTTGGTCTGCCTCCCTCTTGCGCTTCTCGCCGTTAGCTGTGGCGTCGGCGGCGAATGTGGAATCGGACGGCTGGCCTTTGGTTGGGATGGGGTCGGAGGCGGTTAGGGTTTCGGTTGGGGAGTGGGCGTTAGTCGGAGTCGGAGATGCCGCCATTGGCCTTTAGGACTTCCAAGTGTTTACTACTGTCGTTTTTTGTGTTTTTTTTTTTTTTTTAAATGTATTTTTTCCTCAGTTGAGTTGAGTTGAGTTGTGTTATGTTGTGTGCGTGTGCGTTTTGTATACTGTGAGTTGCTGCTGTTGTTATGTGCTCCAGTGCGCGTGCGTGCGTGTGAGGAGGGGAACAAAAACGAACGGATTAACCCGAATCCAGACCTTAAAGGGCCCATATTATTATGGTCTCACATCAACATCCAATTTAGAGCTACAAATTTAGTCCTGAACCAGCTCGAGATCCCTCACTGCTAGTCCGAATTGAGGTTTCAAGTCCAAACATTAATTTAGATTGGCCCGGTCTAAACGTTATTTTATTTTATTTTATTTAAAATATCTTATAACATTTTGACAATTGATTCAAAATTTTCATTCGGATTGTCCGGTCTGAACTTTCACCACTAATCCAATGCGAAGGCCCAAACTTGTACTAGGAGATTTTTTTCCGGAAAAGTGAAAGGAATGGGGTGATAAAGGAAGGGATTAGTAAAAGAATTTTGTTATGACAAAAAAGTAGAAAATACGATAGCTAAGAAATTTTAAATCTTTCAAAATACCATAATTATCTAGAGAGATTAAAAAAGTGATATTACTTGTCTGATGTCTCAAAATGGTCTCTAACCAATCATATTATGCCGCATCATTTAAAAATTTAAAATGTCATTTCCATATTTTAATGTTTAACAGTTTTAGTTCATTAAATGATATGACTGGTTACACGCCATTTCGAACATTAGAAACTAAGAAATAATTTAAATTCAACCCCATACCAAACATAATGAGAGTTTATTTTCCTCCCCTAGATTATATGTTTTTGTTTACTTTCTATTCTATTGACTTCCCCTCATGCCAAATGTAGTCTTAAATATATTTTCTTCTAGAAATCTAGAGATTCCTCTAATTAGGGAACATAAAGGGTGCGTTTGGAATTAGTTTGAAAATGATTATGTTTTTAATAAAAAATAAAAATGAGATTGTTTTGAGAATCATTCTGAGACCGATTTTGAAATTACGTTTGGTTAGTTTTTAAGAAATTATTTTGAGTATAATAAAAAAGTAAAATCGTGTTTATTAATTAATATATTATAATATTATTGATAAGTACTAAAAAATGAAAACATAAAAGTAAAAACAAATGTCAACCGTTTTCTAATTTCTTCACAAAAATCATTCTCACTGTTTTTTTTTTCATTTTCGTTTTCAAAATATTTGTTAAATAAATGTTGTTTTGTTTCATTTTCATTTTTTACTTTTAAGTGACTAAAGAGGCGAGTAAAGTTTTTTTTCCTTTTAATTCTCTATTTTTTTTTCTCAAGAAAAAGGCTTACAAGGATAGAGGGTAAAATACAAAACAATTTCAAAAATCAAATACCTGTATATGCTCCACACAGTGAAAGTCATCAAATATTACATAGTAATTATTTTAAAGATTCATGTTTATACCACAAAATGACATAGTAATTCTTTTAATGATATTTGTTTTTGCTATTTGAAAATATTCCAAATTCTTTGCTAAATTTTAACCTGACTTGTAAAATCTATCTAGCTACAGCCTACATGTATCAAAAAACCTTCATTACTTTTAACTATCTTGAAGGTGTCATCTAATTGCTTACCATGGACTTGTCCGACTCTCTCTCTCTTTTTCTTTTTTTTTTTCTTTTTTTTTTTTGATACTTTGATGACGACTGAGCCGGTGCATGTCCAAGTACAACCATCCGTTGAAAATAACAAAAATTGTTTCACTGATGAAAATATTTATTTATTAGTAAGCTGCATCGACTTCAGAGCTTCCTACCAAAGCCAAGAGGTCGAGTCTATAGTCAAGACAGAGAATGGGAATGACAAAACACCACTTACTAAAGAAAGATCTTGATATTGTTGGCAGCCTTGTTACAACAAACAAAACATGGGATCTCCTTTTCTTAACGTAGTGTTAGCTAACCAACCCTCTTCGGGCAGTTTTGTTCCAAAAGTAAAAGGAAAATCTATTTATGAAAGCCTAAATACAAGATTTGGGCTGTCAGAAGTCGTGGCCATAAAAGTGCTTAAGTGCCATGTCTGACCACCCGTTCGTTATTACAGTTACAGGCAAAACGAGGGGCGTTTCAAAAGCAAGGACATTGTGTAATGTGTAATTTACAGCATTCAGTTCACAGCGAAGACCACCATCAACCATCCGCTCCATTGTTTACTTTGATTTCCAGAAGTCGTTGAACTGGTTGCCGGCAGATCGGACATCGGTCTGTCTGGAACCTCAGAACCTTAGCACAGCCACTGCACATACACTGCAACCCGACCAAAAAAAAAAAAGGTCAAAGAACAAATAAAAATAAGGGCATATTATAAACACTCGGCATAACTAGAAAAGAACTTGTGTCCAAGAACAGGGAGATTATAAAAGTGGATTGTGATCCGTATCCAACACTCTTGTATTTTCACAAGGGAAAGGTTGGGACAATGAACAGTAGTGCTACAGGGTAGCCAGATAAACTTCCACCATACTTTTATTCTAGCTTCAGGTTTAAGATAAACTGCACATCCACGGGCAAGCCATTACGAATAAGAAGCTTGAATATCCTATTTGAAATCATCTCTTTAAGCACTAATGGGTGCTGTACTTTTCCGTCACCCAATCAAGTCATTCCAATCAGATAAAATGTAACAACTTCAAATAAATTCCACCCAAACAACTCTCCGGCCAAAATTAGATGAAAAAGGTTTATACTCGGGGGGGGCTGGGGATGACTGGGAAGTCTGATCTATTAGCAAGAATTGATAACTCAAACAGCCTAAAAACGGCATGTCACCGTTCTCCACGTATAACAAAGTTCATTCAGTCTTCATCTCAATAGTAAAACCAATTAATAATAATAATAAAGAACAAAATGTTTATTTACCATGTGACGACAAGGGAGAACAGTTGTGTCTCGAGGTTCTGACAAGCAAATGACACATTCTTTTCCAGAATCATTCCCATCAAAATCACCATCGACCGAATTCCCAATTCCATAGATCTCCTGCAGCTCATACCTCATCCTATTCACCCACAAAATCTGTTTCATCACCCGCACCTGGTATTGACCTCTGTCCTTTTCGAATACTGCCTGGGTGATCTGAGAATTTCCAGCTTGTTCCTGTTCGCCATTATTCAACAGGCATGCTTCAGCCTTCACCACAAGAGGATAAACTTCCGCGTCACTCCCTTTTGTTAACTCAGACTCTTCAAACATTGAGAAGTCAATTCCAGTTCCAGCAGGTTGTCTAAACTTCTGACCAAGACCTTGCTGAAAAGGCACCGTGACTGCTTTAAGCAACCTTTCCTTGGTAACTATCAGGTTACAGTCCAGGTCTTCTTTAGCAAAAAACATAACCGTAATGCTGCAGTAGACAAGGAAGGGAAATGAATTAAAAAAAAGGAACTTTAACCATATATGCATTCACCAATTAACAAAATATATACACAGCAAAGTAGGCTGCAGCTTCAAGCCCTGGATTCAACCCATAAATTCAGTTGCGTTGAAAGTCAAGTTACAACCACGTTCAACAAATTTTAGTAATCCTGTAAGTTTGGATGTGGAACTCAAATTTTCAGTCTTCCCTTCTAGAAGAGACTACGAACTCAGTCACTTAAATGAATCTATTTTCCAGTTATCTATCATGGTACTGTGGATTATTTTCTACATGGACCTGTCCACTTTGTTTTCAACTTTTCTCACACCAAATATCCAACATTCTTTCATGTGAATAGCATAGTAACAAGGTTTTGTATACTTATTGTTCAACACATTTAAAAAAATAGAAACAACACCGTTTTGTTGACCTCTTCTCCACAAGTTTGTCTCATCAGTTCCTTTATGTTCAATTCCATTTAATAGCAGGAAAAGATAGCTCAGACATATAAGAATTAATTCAATCAAGTCATTCACTTTCTACCCCTTGAGTACATATTTATACCAGCCCTCACAATCTCATTCACCAATCAATCCTTAAACATCAAATTCTACTTCCAATAAACCACTCAACATCACCACTAAAACCCCCAGCAACCCATTCCAAAAACCTCTCAAACCACCAATCAAAACCCCAATATAATCCAAAATTCAAATAACACAATCCAATTTAAACAAACTCATACAGTATTTTTGGTGTTTTACCTTCCCGGAGCAGTGGCATCAAACGTGAAGGCGACAAGGAACGTCCCAGGATTCTCCTCATCCGGTTCGACCCTCAAAGTCTCCTTCTTTACATTCACATCGTTCCTAATCGTCACTGCCTTCTGATGATCCACAAAGGGAGTGGCCTGGGGCGGAACGCCGCCGCAAGGGTGGTGGTAGTGGTGGAATTGGGGCCCGCTGGGGGCCCAGTTCCCGTGGGCCGGGCCGGGGAAAGCCCCTCCGCCGCCTCGGAACTGGTGCGGGTACTGCGTCGGCGCAGGCGGCGGCGGGTAGTACGCCGGGTAGTGGAAGAACGGCGGGGGATTGGGGTTAGGGTATTGGGCCGGGTAAGGAGTTGCGGCGGCGAAAACGTATCTGTTCCCGGTGATCTCGGGCTGCGGCTGAGGCTGTGGCAGAGGCGGAGGAGTAGGAGGAGGGTTCGCCGGCGTCGGGTGGCTCCGGTGCCTCCGGCGCCCGGAGCCGTTGCTTCCGACGTTTCCCATCGTCGGTGTGTGATCGAGGGAATTTCGGAAGAATCGGGAAGCTTGGGAAGCTTCTTCTTGTTCTTGTTCTTGTTTTTCTTTTTCTTCTTCTGCTTTGGTTGGTCCTAAAATCGAAAGAGGAAATACGATGAACTTCGAATTAAATGATATATAAAATATTTTATAAAAGGAAAATGTTGGAACGCGCTAAAAGCAGGCGAAACAGGCATGATAAATAACAAATTAGATTAAAGTAATCATTATTCTTTTTCCCAACTTGTTTTCCTCCCGAATTTTCTCGGGAAACAAGCGGATCAAATTCACCGAAAACAGAATAAAAAGGGCAAAAAAAAAAGCCGTAACATTAAAGACGGTTATAAATATTAATACCTCAGAGGCGGTTCCTGTTTCTGAAGCTACCTAATCTGTTCAAGCCCAAAGCGGAAACCTTTTTCTTCTCTCCTGAGCAAGAAGGAATCTGCTTAAACTTAACGGACACACAATGGAGGTCGAATAATTGATATATTATTATATTATTATTGTTAATCTTTTAGAGAGGGAGAGAGAGAGAGAGAGAGATTCCACCCACACCCACCCACCCAACCACAACCACTGGTCCACTACCACCACCACCAGCTGAGGCCCATGGCAAATCGCCTAATCGAAACCAACCTGCCACGTCATTTTAATCCAACTCTCATCTCTTTTTTTTTTTTTTTTTTTGTTAATAATGATAAGTGTTTTATTATTATTGATTCTCAGTAAAGTAACCCCATTTTCTATAGGACGGAAAAAACAAAACAAAAAAAGAACACACACGCAACATGAGCGTGAAGCAACACCGAGTGAAAAGAAGCAGAACAGATTAACGTATCGTCAGTAGGGTTTTTACATTTTCAAAAAAAAAAAAAAAAGATCAGACACTGTTTAGAATTGATCTTTTTTTTTTATGTTTTTCAAGAAAAAAAATGAAAACGTTTTTAAAATCCAATAAAGATAAAAAATAAAAATAAAAATAATTTTTTAATTTAGTGTAAAATAAGAGAGAAATAAAAAATAATTTTTAGTCGTTTATTATTTATTATTTTTATTTTCTCCTCTTTCTAACAGAGAAAGAAATAGATACATTAATAATTTTTTTTACACTAAAAAAATCTATTAATAAAATTACTAAATGTATTTTTAAAAATAATTTATATTTGAAATTAAAAATATTTTTATTTATATTTTTATATAAAAAATAAAATTATTTTAAAACAAATTCTAAACGGGTTTATGGTTCTACCAAAAAAAGAGAAAATCAGGCTTTTTATGAGTACGTGGAAACCATAAAACGATTTCCTCAAAAAAAAAAAAAAAAAAAAGGAAAAAGAATCAGAAACCTTATAACTACAAAGAAAAATATCAAAAAGAAAATCACAGGAAAGTCGACAGACAACAAGAAACGACACAAAGAATAACGGCATTAAACTTCATAACAAGAAGCCCACGAAAAACGATTATATCATAGACAAACGACGAAAACAGAAAAAAAATGCATAATACCAGCACACTAGAGAAAACGGCGATAAGCAATTCAAACCGAAACAAAGGTGAAAACGACAATGAAAATTACGATAACAACCGTTTAGTTCGCTGATTCGAGTTTTTAATTCGAGTTGAGATATGACGTTATGTGAGAGTTTTTTACTGTAACAAAAAAGTTAGATATAACTGTTTCTGAGAGTTTTTTTTGTAGCAAAACTCGAATCGGCGAAATTAACGAGAAGAAAATAATGATGGAAGAGATAATTTACTTGCCAGAAATACAATAGAAGAGGCAAAAAAAACAAATTAGAATAGCCACGGCGAACGAAAGACGAGACCAACAGAGAAAACGGCAACAAAGTAAAAGACAAGTAATTATAAACGACAAAAATTATTAAATGAGAAGCAAATTGGAAATCTACAATAGAAGCAATAAACGGGGAGAAAAAGAGAGAGAAACTGAAAACGAGACCAATGAAGAATTAGAAGATGACAGCAGATTACAATCACATTGAAAATGACAATAGTAAAGTATAAAAACGACGCCATGAATTAAAACGACAATGAAAGGAATACAACGGAAACAAAAGGATTATTTTCTAGAAATGATCGCCGAACTATACAGTCTTAACAACATGATATCCTGAACTTTTCTACTACCACGGGTTCATTTGAAATTGAGTGTAAAGTTCAAGGGCCCATTACAAAATAACAGAAATAAAGCAGTACCAGAATACCTGCCACAAAAATAAAAGATGGAAACGACCACTATACACACACACACTACATACATACATACATACATACATACATACATGCCTATGTATGTATTGAAGGAAGCAGCGATGTTTGTAAACGTACAAAAGGGAAGAATGAACTACACATCGTAAACAAGCCGAAGTAAAACGAAACTCCCAAAAATAAAAGACGACAAATGAAAAATGAGGACAAATATGAAACGCCAAAATTTAGAGAAACGACATAAAATTCAAAAGCAACAACATAAAACAAGAAGCGACACTGCAATTGCATCAACGTCATGGACAAAAGTGACAATTTCCAAGAGAAAAAAAATAATCCCACGATGAAGTTTACCCTCAATCTCATTATGGTCCTTAATTTTTAAAATGTCTCACAGTTGATTCATGATATTTTATTTTATTTCAATTTCGATTCTTCTATTAGCAAAGTATTAAATATTTAACAAAATCTCTAGAGATTAAGGACCGAAATTAAAAACATCTAAAGTATATAGATCAGAACAATACAAAAAATAAAAGTTAATTTACACATATAGTCTGTAAATTTTAACTGTTTTTAATTTTGATCCCTAATTTATATAGATTCTATCAAATATTTAGCACTTAGTTAACAGAATGATCAAAACTTGAAAAAAAAAATTTCAGAAGCTAACTGTGATTCACATTTAAAAAGTCATGAATTCAAATGGAATGAGAGTAAACCTCAATGAATATTTATGGAATTAACCCAAAAAAATAATAGAGCGAGAGAGACATTTCAAAAAAAAAAAAAAAAAGGGGGGGGGGAGAGAAAAGGCCACAATTAAACGAGCAAATCAATATAACAGTAACAAACGACAACAAAAGAGAAAGAAGAAGCAGCCCACACCACAGTATCCAATCGAAACTGGCCCTCTGTGGAGTCTCTCCCAGATGGGACCGGCAAAACCAAAAGAAAGATCACGTTTTTGCAAACCCTGCCAATTTGGGACCCAGAAAAGTGCTCAGAGATGGAACACATTGGCGTGAAGAATGATTTTTTTTTTTTTTTTTTTTAACTCGTCCATGCAATAACAGACGATTAATAGCAATATAGGATCATGTTCTTACTCAATAGGTTTGGTGTTCGATTATATCGTGAACTGTAGCAAATAGTATTTCAGTTGTTCATTAGTTACTCTATTCGAGCTAAGTGGCAGATTTCTAAGCAGTGTTCTCTTGTATTAAGAAGATTAATTAGGAGAAGCTAAAATGATCTTCAAACCTACGTTTTCAATATTCAACTGCGGTTTATTTTTCGAAAGAAGGTGAATAAAATAGGCACAGAAAGTAAATAAATTTTTGGGAATTTTCCCCATCCAACTTGCTTTCATTAGAGACAACAATGATGATGGGGGTGTACTGTTTCTCTAGCGAGCCATGTTACAAATCCTTGTCATGTGACTGTCTAATGCCAGAGAACATTACTGAGGTGGGCCTTCGATAATACTTCTGGCTAGTAAAACACAGGATCGGAATAGGATTTGTGACAGAACTTTCGATTCCGGTTTCATTCACCGCTCATTTGATGCGGTGATAAGACTGCTCACTCTTCTTAATAAGATCTTGAATTTGAGTCATATCTGCGCGTGACATATATGCAATCTTCCTTAAGAGTAATCTATATGCTATTTCTCTAGCAGGAAAGAATAAAAACTAATATGCAATTATTCCATCTTTGTGTTCTACGTTTTTGGCTGAAATTACTTAATTGTGCAAGTCCTGTTATAGTTGTCATGGAATTTAGAGCGACAAGAAGAATAAGAACCTTTTAGTTTTCGCATCTACGCGCATTGGCAAGCATATTACTCACGCATCTGTATACGTAAACCGATTCCAAATCATTTGTGGAAAAATCCTAACCACAAACTGATTTCCAAACACTTTAGCTTGTCCAATAACAAAATGACAAGATCTTGGAGATCAGCCCTTCATAAGAACATATACTCATGGGAATCTGTTGACATCATTGGCCAAAAAAAAGGGATGACGAAGAGCCAAGAAAATTGCATCTGAATGCCAGAAGTAACGGAATTAATAATCGAGATTGAATAAATACGAACATCCAACCATCGGTTAGTTTGAAAGCTTGAAAATTGGAAAGAGGGGAGCCATTTGAGGGAAATAAAAAGCTCAAATGAAGGCACATGAGAGAGATGGATGATCACATCTTACCAACTCCCTAAAAACGACATCTTACTTCTCAAACTCTAGCTCAGGCCTCAGCTACAGACCTCAGGCTGAGTTTGTACTTGAAAAAAAAGAAGAAACAAATTTGGATTAGAAATATAATTGGCTCCATTCGAGAACAAACAACAAGTCATATATATATATATATATTAGATACCAAACTTAAACCTCACCTTGAGATTGTGCAGAATGTTGAATGAAATTTGCACTCAGATTATAGCATATAGAGTCCCAAACAATGAAGACGAGTAAACAGCAGGTTTCTCAATTTATTAGAAGATTAAATCAGCTGTAGGTTAGAAGCAACTTAAATATAACAAAGAAAAGCAGAAGATTACAAGAGGGACCCCCAATTTTAATTTCTTTGAAAGCAAATCTAGGACACAAAGAAAGAAACAGACTCGATACATGAACGTTGAGAAATGAAAACCAAATTCTCAGCCAGAGAAACACTATTTCAGAAACTACAAATTCTAGTCAAATCCAATACACAGGATACAACCCCAAAAGGGCCATGTCAGATTGCAGAAACTGGTTCCTTCTTTTGTGTTAATCTAAAAAGAATCTTCAACAACCCATAACTGCACAGTTGTATACAAATACACCAGCATGCTCCTTCACACCTTGAACCTTCCAATCCAAAGTGCCATCCTTCACGCCCGATGTAGGCCGCCAAGCGTTAAGCACGATACCTTCACCTTCAGGGCCTCTTTGCCCACCCACAACCAGAAGCTCCTCTCCACAAGCCTTGAAAGCCAATCCCCAGCCATTTGAAGAGTCAGTTCGCACTGGAAGCCTTCCCAAAACATGCCAAGTGTTATTCACCTTGTCATACTTCTTCACCATATTCGTTAGATGCTCAACTGCATATAACTGGTTACTCACAACTGCCACAAGAGGAGGAGCCTGAGAAGCCCTGTTGGCATGTGGTCCATGTGGAAACATATTCTCTATTGTCCTCCATTTCCTTGTCTCAAGATCATACTCCTCTCCACATGTCAACGAAACAGTGGGGCTTGACATCCCACCAATCACGTAGAATTTCCCGTCCATGAAGAACCCCGAGCACAATCTACGCGGGTTGTGCATGTTCGGCAACATTTCCCACTTACCCGTTTCAGTGTTATACAACTCTGCCGACTTCAATACATTGCCATTCCTATCACTCCCTCCTGCTACAATGGCAAATGAACCAAGGCTGCCAGAGCCAAAAAGACAGCGAGGGCGGTTCATTCCCTGGCATTTAACCCAACTGCGATGTACCAAATTATACTTCCAAATAGCAAAATCCAACATTTCACGGCCAAATACCAACAACTGACTGCCCACAGTCAGAGACTCTTTATCCGCGTGGTTAAAACACTCGTCACAAGGCATCCTAGGCAATGTGATCCATTTCTTTCTCACCAGATCAAACGCCTCCCACCCTCTTGGATCAGAAACCATATACACCCAATGCTCCACAATCCCGAACTGTTTCCTCAATGCATACAGATACCCGCTTTTGATTAACTTATTATACTTTGTATTAATGCACGCTAGAGAGGCGTAATCCGATCTACAAGCCCAAGCAAGGCAATTCAGCGCGACATCATCAACAAGACCAGGGAGAAGCGAATCACTTGATCCGATCCTTCGACGACCATCATTCACTCTTCCCTTCGAACTCACATCAAAATTAGTATTTACTTCTTTTTTCTCCACCTTCTCCATCAAATAATCCTTGTTTGGTTTCTCTATCATGTTAACAAATCTTTAGTATACCCCCCTTTACACAATCAACCAAATCCCCGCAACCAAAGAATTATCTTATCTTCATAAAGTGGTTCAACAAAAGGAAAGGGAAAAAAAAAAAGCTGAAAAGCTTGAAATAATCAGCTCTCAATAGTCAGAAAACAAATTTTGATTTTTTGCACGCAATCAACCTCCATTTATTTCTTTTTAAATCAAGACAACAAAATCCATGCCACACTTCGGACTCCAAAACTTCCAACTTCGAGACACAGATTTCAGAATAAAAGAACCGAAAATCAGATCATCTCAGAAGTGAGAGAACAAACAAAACTCTCTTTTATAAGGTTTCCGGGATTATTGTCTCTGCCGAATTACCAAGAACTTCTCCCGCCTATTTCCAGCTATCCAAACAGATTTTCTGAAAAATCATAAGAATCAAAAGTCAGGGATATAAATCCATAAACAGAAAAACTAAAACAAAAATCAATTTCCGCTTCCAAAACAAGAAGATGAAGAAAAAGAAGAAGAAACGAACAGCAAATTTTCTTTCAAGGAAAAAAAAACACAGAGGCGCCGTACGATCCGAATCGAATGCCGGAATAAATCATCAGAATTCCATAGATATTCGGATCTCGGGCAAAAATAACTAAAAAAACATATTAAAAAACGAGCGAAACTTTCACATGCGAAGATTAGTAGAGAAATAAATGTGACCGTACCAAACAGTATGGGCGACAAGCCCGATCTCATCTTCTTAGTCGCCGGAGAATCTTCCTGAAAATGTTCTCCATCAAACATGTCGCCGGAGCCTTCACCGGCGGGAAATAGAGAGAGAGAGAGAGAGAGAGAGAGAGAGAGAGAGAAGGTTGGATTAACTCAGAGGTATAATTTTGGAACACAGGGCCTGGGTTATAAAACAGGAAAACTATTTTATAATTTCATAATCGGAGCTATATTTTCAAAAATTATACTTTCTTCCCCAAATTTTTTATTGGAACCTTCTCCAGTACTCTACTGGTAGGCCAAATTTTTTACCTATCAGAACTGTATAAAATCATATAAGAGTCAAAAAATATGTAAATTTAACAGTTAGAAAAACTTGACCTACTATGACAAATGTACCAGAAAATCAATTTCTTTCTTTCCTTCTTTCTTTTTCGGTAATATGTATTGCAAATTAGGAAAAAATTCAAATACTAATACTGATCTTGGTATAGAAGGATACTTAATTCAAACATGTGACTAATCCCACCAATACAATCTAATGACGCGCAACTAACTATTTTAAACTAATCTTGACAATCAATGAAAAATTTTAATCGGTTGAGAGAAAAGAAATTGATTATTTTAAACTAATCCCGACAATCAATAAAAAAACTTTAATCGGTTGAGAGAAAAGAAATTACAATATTTAGGTCTTAAAAAAAAAAACCCTTGCGGAAAAACCTTACAAATAACGTAAAAAACGACTCTTATGTGACACCCCTTAATGCTCGATTTATTTCACATTATTTTGGTGCGTAATATATCTTCTTATTTTTCTCTTTTTGTTGGATATCGTTGAACATTGCAATAGTTGGCAGTAGAAAGAGAATGTGAAAACAAGGTGATCTTGGCGGTAAGAGCTATCTAAACAAAAGATTACTTGTCAAATATCAAACTTTGATCTCACACAAGGTCAATAATGCAATATTGGATGCACACTGTGGGTCAATTATGTAGGCAGTTTGTCTGTCATGTTAATTCTACCTAACAATAATGTCTAGTTTGCATAGCTTAATTAACCTCATTTTTTTCATTCAAACATTGGTCTAGCTCTTCTTTAAAACATGAAACACAGTTTTTACACGAGTTTAATATTATGGTTATGAATTAGGAGCGGAGTTTTAAACCTTAACATTAAAGATAAGATGTGAATTTACTATTAATTATGTCTCGTTATATTAGTACGTGGCATATTAATTTATTATACTTGATTGCAACAAATACCGGTTGGAGAGATAATTGAACAAAGTCCTGCCCTTTACACATGATCAATATGAATGTAAATTGGTCAAATCCATAGACAAATTTTATTTCATGTGGCTAAGACATATTATCACTTTGACCGATTCTAGTTACGTATTTGCTTTGTAAATTGTAACTCAACATTTTCAAGCCGAACTCCAGCTAATATATATATATATATATAAAGATATATATTTTTTGAAAGTTATTAAAAACAAACTATATAATTAGAAGTACATTAATTTCCCTTCTTATGACTTTATCCTCTCATTGTTTATGGAAAAACATAAATTGTATTAGAAAGATGTAGACTTGATACGCACTTCTGTTTTCTCATGAGTTCTTAATGAGAGAAAGAACTCATGAGAAGACAAAATTTTTAAATGGAAGTCTTCAGATACTCTAATTTTTATTTTTTCTGGCTTTGGAAGTTTTTGCAACCATGTTAGCTCGAAGTTGCGAATATGTACTTTAGAACATAAAACAGGACTTCCCAGCAAAGATACGAACAAGTGGGACTTCATAGAAATTTGTGCAAAAAGAAAAGATAATTTGGGACAAATCAGATTATGTGTAATATTCTTCCAAAAGCTGGGGAATAAGTACCAATTATAAAACGTACGAAATTGTCAATATAACGCTGAATTAGAATATATCACAAAACGATCCAACGTGTGAAAACAATTAAAAATAGGACTTTTAAGGCAACTAATAGAAGGATAATATTAGAGACAGAAAAAGGCAAATTAATTAAGAAAGAATAAAATTGACTATTCCACACGGCACCAACAGGCCTTGACTTTTGGCAAAGAACTTATAATTAGCTCTGAATAATTTTGCAAAATTATTCACAAGGCGCTTTTTGTTTTTTTTTTTTTTTTTTTTTGAGGAATACAACCTCTTGTAAAAATTAAACTTTTGTGTTTTTGTTTTTTCTCCTAAATGAAATGAAACTTTTGGTCGAACAAAAATAAAGCGTGACAAGTTTTTTTTTTTTTTCTTTTCTTAGACTTTGAAGAATAAATTATATCGTGGATTTAATGGCATGTGTTAGGGACTAGAAATCAGTTTTTTTTTTTTTTTTTTTTTAAACTAAGAGATTTGAACTCTAAATCTTAGTGAAATTTCATGTATAGAATTATTGCTAAATTATAATAACATTTCGTTTAAAAATAAAAATATTATCCTATCATCTAACATTTATTAGTTTTATCTTTTGAAATCTCGACCCTATAGTAGCTTTTGAAATTAATAATAAACTACTAACATAAAGTGGAATATGGTTTTGTTTGTGTTTTTTTCAATTATTATTATTATTTGACTTGAATGGGCAACTAAGGGGTTGTTTGGTTGAGAGATTCGTACTTCGATTCGAATCATGATTCATGATTCACTATAATATTTTTTTTCATAAAAAATACACATAAGGGGTTGTTTGATTGAGAGATTCGTACTCCGATTTGAATCATGATTCATGATTCACTATAATATTTTCTTTCATAAAAAATATACATAAATTAAAAATTATTATACTCTTATGATTCTAATTCATGAACCAAACGTCTCATAATTTATTTCTCGTAAAATTGCCACTCCACAATCAATTATTCGTTCTGGAAAGGAAAAAATAATAATAATAAGTAGAGAAAATCTTCAATTAACCATCATTATGGTTTAGTCAAATCACATGGTGGACAGTACGATTTCAGGGGGGTCAACGAAACCGATTACAAGGCAGTCAAAGTGGCGGCGTTTAATGGAAATTTACGAATGCGTACAGTTATTGCGGTGGGAACGTACGTTTTCGATCATAGCTCCATTATACAATATAACAGTAAGTACAATTCGCCAGTTTGAATGCGGTGAAAATTAAAGCATAATCGTACAATCAATCTATCCACATTAAAAATAAAATAAAAAATGTTGGCAACAAAATTCAAAGTACCAAAAGTATTGAAGTACCTAATCTCTTTTCAGTTTGATGCATTCTGTTGAAGTTTCCACAGGGAAAAAAAAAATGAAAAGTTCTTTTTGCAAGTTGCAACACGAATGGTAGGTTCATGTGTGGATAATGCATTTGGACCAAAAATTTAGGAAAGAAAAAGTATTTATTAAACTATTTTTTTTCCTTCTTCCTCAAAGTATATATATATATTGGGAGCTTTCTCAAAGTTTATTATAAGAGATTAGAGATTTTTTTCCCTTACCTTGATTAATATATTTAGTCAAATAACTATATTAATTAAAAATGTATTAATAAAAAATAATAGATAAAAATTAAAACTCTTGTACTTTTAAGAGTAAGTTCAATAATTCTCTTTTTATTTGTTATTCTATGATTAGGGTTACAAGTTTGGGTTGGGGTTGTTTTGCCTGCTCAAAGCTCATCATACTTAGCCTGAGTCTGACTCACATAAAGGCTCAAGTTGGGATGGATCGAAGATCTATGCTCAATTGCCTTTTTAACTGTTTTGTTTTTATATCATCTTATAAATCAATCCAACCTCGACCTGCACAAACTTTTAAATCAGGTTGAGCCAAACAAGCTTAATTTTCCCATCTGGAACACCGAATTGTTTGAACTTGCATCTCTATCTACAACCATATGGCAGATAATATTTGGGTAAAATGAAATGCTTCATTCTTTTAGAATATAGGTTAATCGAAGGAACAATTTTGACCAATATTCAACTTTGATAAAGTAGAATGAAAAATATTAAGGTGACGTTAAAAAATATTGTAAGATAGGATTCTTTTTTATGTCACTATTGGCATCGTATGTTTTAGTATTAGATTCACTTAAAGTTACGTCAAACTAAGAGATTAGACAAAATTAATAGAATTTATAAGGCATATGACAATTCAAAATAAAACACCACCAATAGTTATTTTTTCAAACATACTGTAGAATTTTCCATGGTAATGATGCAAAAGCTCAACAAAGTCAATAAATAAGGTCTTGTTCATTTTATCGATTCGAGTTTTGCTATAGTAAAATGTTCTTAGAAACAACCACATCTAATTTTTTTGTTATAGTAAAAAATTATTACATAAAGTCGCATTTTAACTCGAATTAAAAATTCAAATCAACAAACTAAACGGACCCTAAATTGTTATATATTATTTTCAAGTAAAGAAAAATAGAGAAAAATAAAAGCTCAAGTTTAGTATGTAATAAATGAGCAAGGAAGGAATTACAGACAATTTTGAACTTTGACGTAACCTACTTGAGAAAAATAAAGGCACCATCATAACTTTTTTTTCCTTTTATTTATTTATTTTTGGCCGAAAGTGCAACCAAAAGCACTACTATTGGCATTGGACCAATTGATTATCCTTCTCGTATTATTTTATTACTTTTTTTTTCATCTTTTCTTCTTTTGTTTGTTTCTTTGTCGTCCACTCCTTAATCCCATCAACTGTGACTTTTATACTTTAATCATACCTATTGTGGTTAGCCCATCAATTAAATTAACAAGTTTTTTCTCGTTAAAGGGTAATTATGACAATTTCTTAAATTAAAGAATGTCTCAAATAGGCCGTCTTATCAATAAGATTAATTTTTTAATTATTAAATCTGATTAAAATTAAATAAGATTAAAAAAATATACAGAATAGACAGATTTTAATACAGATATAACAGCTGAAAACGGTTAAAAAAATAGAACTACTAATAATTTTATTTTTTTGATCCTATAGGAGAAACTCTTTTAAATTAAAAAAAAAATACATGCACCACTAGTTGCTTGGGCTTATGATTCATGGATCAAATATTACTTCCAGAGGGGAAAAAAAACTAAAAATAAGTAAAATAGTGTAGGGACTATTTCTAGTAGGTTGTTCTATCAGTATGACTAGTTTTT